AGCGACCTCGCCCGGCCATAGCTGTGCATCGCTGGCCATCGACGCGCATTTTCCTTTCCCTTCGGCCGCACAACGATCAATCCGCTGTCTGAGTCTTAGGTTCTTATTCTGTGCTGTCTCCTGGCTCCCTTTTCTTCTTCTTCTCCGTCTTCTTCTTCGTCCCCGTCGTCTGCTCAAGATGACTTTGATCTTCTGTCCATCCTCGCCGTCGTCCTCGCCCGCTGCTCGCCTCGTCCACGGCACCACCGCAAGCTAGCCAACGAGCCATCACCAACCCCGAGCTGTCTCGCTTCGGCCAAATATCGCCCTCCCGCCCTTTGGCCATCACTTCCGAGCGCCCGCTGTCACTTCTGCTGCCGCTCCAATATCGCCGTCGAGCCTCGGGTTGGCGGTCAAACCGCCCTTGCAAACACGAAGCCGAGCCCGAGAGATCTTCTCCTATAACCTGTGTCGTTGCACCCAGAGACCGCGAGAAAAGCTCTGTCTGGCAGATCTACATAAACCTGACCTGTCCATCCTACTGCCAGGCAAAGAACTGGCTGCCAGAGGCGAAAAATGTTGACCCAGCAAGCGTGGGATGTTGCCATGCGGCGGCGGTTCAACTTCAAGTTCACCAGTTCGGTGTGTTTTTACTCCTTCTCCTTCTCCCCCCTGTCACCCCCCGTTGTTATTATTAATATATGCCGAATGTACGAATTTACTGCACTGAATTGCGGACTGACGGCCTGATAGAAACGACCGTTTATCTCTCCTCACCCCGCGCCTGTTGTGGATGAATCGAGATACTACAATTTTGACGATACCCTGGCCCCTATACGTCCGGGGTCGCCTCTGGCAGACCGGCCAGTAATCGACCCTACGACGCTGGTGCACCTTCGACACGCCTGTATCCTGCTCTATCATAGGGTCAAGAACCAGGGCCAGCCTGTCCGGTGTGCTGCCCTTCCTCAGCCGGATCCGGGCTACTCCCAGCACGAACATGAGCGTCACAAACTGGCTGCTCACCCACCAGATAAACGGCCTATAGGCTCCGTGGACGAAGGCAATGCTTCTGGGAGGAGTATCCCACCAGAGAGTGCATCATCTGGACGCCATAGACCGCTTGTTCGGACAGACTTGCCGTCTTCCAGCTTGCCGCCTACTTCTGGCCCCGTGGCTCCCAATAGCGCCAGCGTTGTTACCGACCAGCCTTCCCCGGAGATGGGAATACGACGGACAACATCTGCTCCTATGCATACAGAGACTGGTATCATAGTCGAAGACCCTTCGTATCCATATACATCTCGGAACTGCCAGGTTCCCAGCGTCAGCCATGGCACCAGCCTGCCCACATCCCCAACCGGGCCTGCAGCCCCTGAATCCTCCCTCCAAACTCGGCCGGAAGATGCACCACACCCTTTCGCAGGTCGCACGGCTGGCAGACAGGGCTACCAAGACAGTGATACAGAGACTCTCGCACCTACAGAAACGGATATTCGTCAACATGCTGAAAGCACGCCCGGTCCTATCAGCCAGAGCATGGGATTGGTGCCAGTAGCAACACAGGCCTCCGACGAGAGATCTTCGTCGAGCTCCTCAAACTCTTCTACGGATGCCACCAATACCTCATCAACCACAGTGACCGCTACCAGCACGTCCAGCGATATCACCGCCGCGACAAGTACCTCCACTCCACCGGCCACTTCTGCGAGTGCTGCGACAACTGCCAGCCAGCTGTCACGAGTGCAGACTTTTGTCAAGAAGCTTTCCAAGTTCGGATTCAATAAAAAGAAAGCATCAAGCACCAACCGAAGAAATATGGGCTTGGGCATGGTGGTTGAGGCTACCTGAACACCGCTTATCCTACCTCCCTTTTACGCGCGATATACGGACTTTATACCCACCCTCAAGTCGTATACGCCCACTCGGAGATGCCCCTTCCATCGTCCACACCACCATCACAGCGGCCTCTCCCTCTCCGTCCTGCTTGTTATCTGCACAGCCTCTTTAGCGTTTTCTCACCACTGCGTCTCTCCAACCTGGCGTTGCTACATTTTTTTTTATTCCGATACATCTACTTGGTTTTAATAAGGCATTCCAGAGACATACCCCTTGGTCAGGACACTCGGCCGTCTCTTCCCTTCTCTCCGCTTCGGTTTTTCGTTCCGTATACCCCCCCTAAATGTCTCTCTCCCTTATATGCTGCCGTTTCTTGTCTACGATGCATCTGTCACTACGGGGTTTTTGGTTTCTTCTGCTCGTCCTATGCGCACGGTTGCATTTTCTCCCACGTTTTCTAAGCTAATGAACTTGAGTTCCTGACTCTGTAACTAATTATGAATACGACCTGCATTACCATCCTGGCATCGAAAATGCGGGGGTCTTACATAGCAATCATGCCCAAATACGATGAAAGTCATTCGACATCTTCCCTTCGCTTGGATTGACAGTTGGTGGTTGGCCGAGGGTGGAAGTTTAATATTCAGCCTCGCATAACACGTCACAACGACAGGCTTAAATTTAGATATATAGGCATGGAGAGAGGACTCAGAGAAAAGACAGATGAATAAAAGGTGAAGGACGTGCGTGGTATATCAGGCTGATTGCAGCAGTTAGGTAAAGACAGCCCAGGGTCTTGAAAAATGTCTATTGAAACTTGCACCAAGGTAAGAGTATATATTCTATAGATTTTATCTCATTTACCCTTAACAGGGGGAGTAGAGGCCTCTACTTCTACTCAATAAGTAGAAGAGGGTTTAAAAGTCCTTTTCAGAGAAGCCGTCCCGGTTGGCAAGCCCCAGGTAACGACTTAACTTCTCGTTAGAAGCAGCTTATCCGCCACAATTAATTACTCCAATGACAGTAGAATCAATCTACCATTTGTTGTACTGGACAATCGTATAGACGTTTGGTTCGGTCGATATTAATCATCAGTCATTAAGTGGTTCGTAGAGTATTAAGTAGTGAAGGTGACCAACGGATTCTTCGAATGTAATACCAAACCTGCCAAATATGGGGGGAGTAATGTGATATAACGTCTATATATATGTTAGATATTGTATATCCAAAGTCCTAGCTCTTATCTTCGTCGAAGTGTCCCAAAGCAAACGGCGGAATGTTTGCCAGTTCGGTTTCTGCAAAGCTAGGTCATCGGTCTCCGGATGCTGGAGGATGTTCTTTTTTGTCATTGAACCCATATAGATATCGCTTTTAGGCTTCTTTTCTTAGGTACAAGCTGTGAAGTCCGGTTGAATAAGTCTATATAGCTCGAGGTTGGACCATCTTAAGAATTGTAGCCAAATGATAATCAAGAATTTGATCTTTCCACTGACTATCTAGCTCACAGCCTAGGAGCGCGTTTTCCTGACTACAGGTAGAAAAGGGTACTGACTAGTTAAACAAACTCTTTGGATGAAATGCATGGCCCCCTAAGTTATCCGTTTTCCTAGCTATCAACACACATGAAAAAAGAACAGGAAGAAGAAAAGGAAATAAATGCAATGGAACAGTAGAGTAGTGATGTCGGGAATGGAGGAAAAAAAAAGGAAAAAGAAAAAGAAAAAGTAGAGTGGTCATCAGGCTTTAAGGTGAAGGTGATAGTTGATGGTGGGTCGATTGGTTCATGTTTTTGCTTTAATCAATTAATATATCGTCAGCGTCTCTGCCGCTTCATTTCACTTCCTGGACCCGGTCTCATAGGACCGCCCATGTTTGGCGAATGTTCGTGGGTTTCGTCTCCTCCCATTCCGTGTGGTCTGCCTCTTTTACGAGGCCAGGTGTTGTGGCCGGTATTGCCAGCACCGCCCCCTAGCCCGCCGGTAGGGGTTAGAGGCGGTCCGCGCCCATCTGGCCCTACATTTGGACCGTCTCTCCTGTCCCGCCCGCGGTCCCTGTCACGATCTCGGCCCCTATCGCTGCGATCTCGCTCTTTGTCTCGATCTCCTCCTCCTCCTCCTCCTCCTCTCTCACGGTCGCGATCGCCACGATCTCGGGGCCTATCATCACTTCGGCCAGGGCCGGCACCACCCCATCTGTCAAGCGGTCTATCTCCTGGCAGTGGAGGAGGCGGTGGAGGTAGTGGAATCCCTTTACCAGCAGCACCACTGCTGCCGCCACCGCTTCCAGAGCCACGTCCATCATCTCGTTCACGTCTGTCTCTCCGTCGGTTGGTAGTTGGTGTCACCTCGGCAGTGTTACCGCCTGAGCTGTGAACGCTGCGACGGGTAGAGGAGTCTCGGGAAGCCCTGGCGTCATCACGTTCGGCAACTTCATCAACCCGGCCTCTATCACGGTCACGATCGCGCTCTCGTGGTCGTTCCCGGCGGTCATCCTTTTTGGTGTCTCTGGTTCTTGAACTCTCTTCGCCAGCTCGGCGTTCGCGATCTCTTTCAACACGGTCACTAGGCCTTTCCATTGAACGATCCATGGGACGATCCAGAGGAGTATTCGAATGCGAAGACCGTCGAGAGCTGGATGCTTCGTCTACGATCTCGCTTCGACGGCTGGACCGACCAGGTCTGCGACTCTCCTCTTCTGGTGTCGGTGGAGGACCGTTAGATCGTGCTGGGAATAACTCTGATTTTCCTGTGCTGCCGCCGGCAGAGCCTACATCATTTGGAGGCTGAGGTCTGGTTAATTGAGGCAATGGACCACTGGTAGAACCGGTTTGTCTATTCGACATCCTGCCTCTGCTCATGGGGCCTTGTCCAGATTTATCACCGCCTGGCCCGGACGATTGTTGCAGCATGTTGTTAAGTCCAGCGAATCTCTTGTCTCCCCGGCCCCCTTCACCGCTCAGAGCAGCCGCGGAAGGACGGCCACGAGTGGTTGGGGACGAACTTGGTGGGCCATGGGCACCACCCCTAGGTCCTGATGGCGGTGCTAAAGGAGGTAGATTCTGTTGTTGAGAGGGTGGTGCACCGGGTCTGCCTCCTTGGTCGTTCGGGTCTTGCATGGCTTTCAGCCGGTCAGGGTGAATTCCGGACGTATCCATGTTGTTGATGTTCACGTTGGAGTCTTCCTGAGCGCCGGTTCCCTGAGAAGAGCGGTCCTGGTGGGATTGGCCCCGTTGTCCGGTCCAGCCTGCTGGCCCAGTAGGGGGCTGTCGATCGGCATTGGCTGATGAACTAGAGGGATGATGCCCTGTGGCAGACACTGCTCTGCCACCGCGGCCAGGCTGGTTGTTCCTTCTTGGGCCTGATGGAATATCAGTGTTACGCTCGAAGCTATCACCAGAACGCCCGGATGGGAATCGTGAGTCTTGATTTAGGCGGCCGTAGCTCGGGTCTGGAGGCGGTAGGTGCCCCATCCTCCCGTCTCGCTGGTAATCCTGAGATGGACGGCTGTCCGACATGCTCCCATGCGGAGCACGAGTTCCACGGGGTCCACTAGGTAGATCGTCATGTCGAGCAGGGCCTTGTGGTGCAAGACGCATACTTCTATTATCACGATCATCATGCCTGTCCATTCGAGATGAAGAAGGTCGTTGATCGTCTTGCTGTGATGGAGTTGGAGGGCGCGAACCATGACCATGTGGTGGGGGTCTTCGGTCTTCCCTTGATGGCCGTCCAGGACGGTGCGGGTATTCATGTGGATGTTGCATGTTCATGTCATCCCTCAATGATCGGGGATGGTCTGGTCGTTGACTAAGATTGTCTGGAGGATTAAGCCTCCCGCGACTATGTCGTTCTCTCCATTCTTGGTCTCGGGGGCCGGTGTGCTCTCGCATGTGAGGTGGCCGCCCGAGATGGTCTTCTGGGTATGGCCTGTGTGCCATTTCCTTCTCCGAAAGCCGACCAAAACCACGAGGCTCAACCATGCTAGGATGTTCAACTAATCTCTCATGGTCATGAGGGCCATATCTGGAAAGGCGACCGTGTTCAGAATACTTATAATCCCGCGTATCTCGTTCTCGTCGGTCGCCTGATGGTTCACTCGATCGCATTCCCGGGCCTCTCAGGTCAGAATGTCGATACTGCCGCGGAAGGTCAGGTTTACTTGGAAGATTAGCAGGTGGTCGAAGTCCTGAGTTGCTAGCTCCATGTCGATCGAAGTCCATGCGTCTTGAGGAACTGGATGGATGCGACGATTCCGACGGCGTCCGGGTTCCAGCGCCGGAGCCGGTTTGTGGAGATAGGTCATTACCCGCGTCCTGGCCACGAGTTTCATCTCTACTGGCAATGGGCGTACTACTGCGGTCAACCTGAGCATCCTCGGGCTCGGGTACCTCCGTAGCTTGAGGTTTATCATGGTATTGGGTGGCCGTCTCATCATCCAATGTGCTTGTTTGGATAGCCGGCGTGGGTGTTGGAGTAGCAGGGTTCGAAGGCTCAGTTTTGGAAGAATCTTCCGTGGCTTTTACCTCTTCCTTTTTTGCGTCCTCAATCTCTCCATCTTCAACCTCTAACCGGCCAGTGCTAGGAGTAGCCGTGGTGCCATTTGTTCTATAGGTCATCAGAAGCTGTTCGCCAAAGGATATATATATGGTAGGTAGGATCGACTCACTTGATGGTTGCAGCAGAAGGTTGAAACTCAGGTGCGTTGGCATTAAGGGGCTTGGAAGTAGTTGATTGCGGCTGTGGTGTCTGTGGCTTACCGCCAGTGACCCGGTCTTCCTGTCCAGCTGTTTCATTCTTTGGCATATTGCTGGATTCTCCAGTTGTGGCACCCGGGTTCAAGATTGTGAAGGCTTGTGGAAGCAGCCATTTCTTCTCTCTCCTGCTCAAATCTCCAACGAGGGTTGCCGATGGGATTTTGATATCATCCCGGGGATCAGAATTTGTCAGTGCGGTCACGCATGTTTGCATATCACGACCAATCCAGTTGACTGCTGGGAAATACTGAATCACAGCCTTCAAAATGCTAATTGCATTTCGAATGTGCATATACTCGCCTCCAGTCAAGCAAGTTTTGAGAGATGCGCTCAGTTGTCGGTGCCATTTATACAAAATCCGTCGGAAGTCCTCATAGTCTAGGAAAGTTGTAGGTTTTCCTTCAGGATCCATGGTTCTAGCAAAACCAGGGAGGTCACGCTTAGTTCCGAAGGCCTCTTTTTCGTACACAGCTTTGTCTGCATGCCATCTGCTGAGATCACGTAAAATTTCGAGAAGGAAGCGGCCAAAATTGTCCGCTTCCTTTGCTGTACACTGGAATATAATGCTAGTCAATCGTTGATCCCTGAAGAGCTGATCCAATAGGCCCACTGTTCGGAAATTAGGAGTGCCAGACGAGTGAAGATATTTGAGCATTTTGAAACTGTAAAGAGCATCAATAGGAGAGAGTAGGGTACGGGGAAGGAAACATTGCTGCATGAGAGCAATATTCAAAGCTTCGTGTTTAACGCGCATTCCAACAAACCATTGGCCCTTTTCCTTCTGTAACCTCGCACGAGTTTGTCCGTAGGCTCGGATATGACGCTTGTTCTCGTCCAATATTTGGTCATGAAGTTCATTAATTTGCCTCTTCTCTCTCTCCTTGCGCTGGACGCCAGCCGAGCTCATGTCCGATCTGTCGTGTGAAATAGCGATAACTCGTTTCTTTAGGCGTTCCGTTTCGTCCTCATAAGACTTTTGGGGCACATAGATGTCGTATAGAGAAAGCTGCCAGAATGTAATATAAAATGGTAAGCCAACCACGTCCCAGAACGATTCAGGAACAGATGATTTCATTTGATCCATCAGTTCTTGAACAACTGGGTTGAAACGCGAAACTGGGCTGGAGGCTTTCTCTGAGTTGATAGGATCTGGCGAGGTAGATCCCGGCGGAGCTTTACCGTCGTCAAACGACGATTGGCCATCCACAGCCATTGCATCTCCTTGCTCTGCCACTGGCTCAGAAGCCTCTTTATCTTCGCCCATTTCAACGTCGTCGTTAAGGCTTGTTTCAGGAGCTGGAGCCTCTACCTCCGATTTCTTCGCCATCACTTCCTGGATCTGTTTGCTCGCATCGGCGACACGCTGAGCAATGCTTGGACGTGATATCCAGAACGCCACTTCAGGCTGTATTCCAAATTCACTAATCAGAGCCACAACGTCCGGCACGTAAGAGTTAAATTCATCGACGGTAAAGTTAGACCGGAGGAGATCCAGATACTGTGTCAGCACACGATGAGTCTCATCGAATATGTTACCGAGTAGCTTCAATTCCGCATCAGATTCGGACTCCTTGAAGATACAGGTTACTCTTTCCTGTGCCATTGCCACAAGAAGCAATCCGGCCAAATTGGAATCAGATAACGATTTCATGAGCCTCTTTGAAGTTGTCTTGGACTCATGTCGTTTATCCAGTAGCTGCAGCATTGTTTGGGATTGTAAGACATTTCCTCCAGCCATAGCTTGAAGTTGGGCATCGTTAAAGCTGTTATCAGTAACAATACCGCCCATTGAACTGATAAGCTGTTCAAGGACAAGGAGGTCGGTGGAATTATTCTGGCGCAACTGGTCACTGACATACTGTAGGACAGGAATAGGGTTCATAATACTGGAGTATCGTTTGAAGACTCTGCCAGCGAAGGTTGCCAGGGAATTAAGCCAGCGGCTAGCTAGCAGCCCACTGGCTTGCATTCTGCTTCTTCCCTTTTGCCCCAAGGAATTTACCAATGCCCAGGTTAAAACATCGTACCCGAGGAATGTGAAATAACGTGCGCATTCGACTATAACCTCAATCAAATTTTCATAGGACTCGATTTGACTGATGGCGACATTGATCACTACTCCAGGGTTGGCATATGCAATTTTAGCCAGTGTCCTAGCCATTGGCCGTAGATTTGTCTTGCTTAAGCGTTTCAAGGAGTCCTTCGTTTGGGCGCGGGCTAGGTCAAATGCCGATTTTATATCCGGTGATCTGGATGTTTGTCCAATATTCCATTCCGCATATATCGAAAATCGGATATCTTGAGGGAAATTTTGCAGTAGCTCGAATATTTCATTAACCACTCCAGGGTTAACTTTGGTTAAACTGAGAGCTGGGACAAGAAGGCGCTTGCAGAGGTCTCTCCAGCGTGAAATATTAGATTCAGATGGATCATTCTTCATGCTGTGGTTACCGATGCGAGCCAATTTTGTGAGTAAGCTGGGATCGTTTCCAATCTTTACCCCAGAAAGGTTCAAAAACGATCCACAGAGAGCAATAACGTCGTTAACAGACTGGCAAATTGGGATATTGTCAGCCCAATCATCCCAGTAGAATCGGTAATCGGTGCCATCATTAGTATCTTCTTTGTCTAACTGTGCCCAACGGAGGATACGCCGAGGGGGTTGATCCCCAAGTCGAACTTTTCCTGATAGCGTAATAGATTGATCGGTGCTGAAAATCTTTTTGCGGGCCTTCAGTTCATCTTGTTCAGCTAATGGTCGAACATTGTTATACACCTTGTTTAAACAGTGGTGAATAATGCGGTGGATGAACTCAAGAAGTTCAGGGTAGGCATCAAGCAACCACGGGAACTTCCCTAGTATGTATAATGACTCTGGAAGAGCACCAATAGCGAGTAAACTTTTCAGGAGAAGAACCTTCTGATCAGCTGGTTCAGGTAATTGTTCTTTGTCCTCAACCTTGGGAGCCGCGGATTTATCCTGGTCATGATCCTGGTCTCGGGATGGAGTGGCAGATCTGGCATCGGGTTCTCTGATCCGGGGAGGAGGGGGCACAGTGTCATCAATCAGCGCACCGGCAGTCATTAAGGCATTGACGGCTCCGCCATGACGAGACGCCGCCTCCCTTTCCGCCTTTTCCTTCATCTTTTCTTCCTTCAAAGCGTCCATGGATTCATCTGGGCGCCAAAGATGGGGGTATAGGTCGCGCAGGGAGATAAACCCAACTTTGATTAGAAGTGCTGCAAGGTATATTAAGTTGTCGGGAAGAACATCAGATGGGTTTCGTGCATCAGAAGAGTAATATCGGAGTTTAAAGCCGAGAAGTTGCGCCGCCACTCGATTCCCTCTGGGTGGAAGCGTGCCTGTTTGTTCAATCCACCTTTTTGTTTCGCCGCTATCATTAACGGTGTCTCCTTCAGCCGCAGATATGCACTTGCGCTGTTCTTCCTCCGAAATGGGTTGCCGGCCAAGCTCAAAAAAGGCGCGTATGCCGATTTCCCTAACCCTATCCCAAAATTCTTGATCTCGGGTTTCATTTAGTCGCAACATCTCGGCTCTTTCCTCATCAGTAGTTGACCACCCAGGAGACCCAGGCAATGCCCATCGGGGTAAGCCAGACATTGAATTATGTCCACCTATACCATCTTCCTTTGGCCACCATGAGCTTGCCCTTAGGAATTTGACACAGAACCGATATTGTTTGACTAGAACAGCAGCGAATACGTCCAGAGTGACATCAAGAGCCCTTCCAACGTCCATGTCAAAAGCACCTATCATTGCCTTTACCCGTTCGAAAGTATCTTCGACCACCTCGCTGGAAGGAGGCTCATTGTTGCTCGTGGTAAAGAGCTCCGTTAAGAGCTTCGAGTATCCTTCAGACTCTTCTCGTAATAGGTTATAGTTTGACTGCCGATATAAGAGGTTGGTCTGTTTTCTGATTCCCATGCGGGCAAAAGTATCACGAATCAAGCCGAGGGATTGAAGAAGTGGAGTTTCCAACTGAAGTCGCATTGTCTCGGAGGGGATACCAGTTGAGAATAGAAAAGGGCGGAGGTTAGGGTTAGAAGGCTCACTTTCGGTGAGAATGGAGAGTGTGTCGAGGAATATTGTGCGTGGATCAAGAGCTGAGTCGATAGTCTCGGTATTTCCGATAATCGCCCGTACCGTGCCCCCAAGATCTTGAGGAGGCACACGGCCCTCGAGAGCTAACTGCACAAGCTCTTGGAATACTGACGACAGAGTAAGAGAATCACCCTCCGTTCGAGCTTTTGTGCCGATTTCGATGATGGCTGGCTGTCCAATTCCAACCCAGTTTGCCATACTCTCGGGCGAAACATATTCGTAGCAGTAGGAGGACGTCTTTGTAACAATGGCCTGTTGCGGTAGTTCTGCTGGAACTGTAGAAGGTTGGATGACTGAGACACCATTGGGTTTGGCCGGTTCAGATTCGCTGCTATTTGGTGCGGGGACAGGTTTCGCAGAGACAGGACTTTCACGCAACTGATGGTGTTGCTGCTGGTGCTGGTGCTGCTGCGGCTGGTGCTGAACATGTGCGCCATCGCTACCTCTCCTTGTATTTCGGCCTCCACGACTAGACCTCCGGCCACCTCTTCCACGACCCTCCTGGCCATCTCTGCCTTGCTGCTGTTGTTGCTGCTGCGCCAGATTCAGGTTACTCGGGCGATGCGGAGAAGGCCTAGGGCTATCGTTCGACGAGTCGCCAGACCAACTTCTATCGCCTCTCTTCCGCTTGTTGCCTGCAACAGGAGCCATGATGGGCTTCCTGCGCTCTGCGCCTGTCGAGCCAGTAGGGGCGGAGAAGTCTTTGCCTGAGAACTGAAGCAACGGTATCCACGTTAGCTATCTGTACGGTAGTCGAGTGGAACGTCCATGATACTTTCATACCTTCTTACGGTCATCTACGGGGGTATACAAGCTAGGAAAAGGGCTCTTCGCCGTCGTAAGGAACCCTCCGGAGCTGGCTGTCGCGGCGTTTGCTTCTTCACTTCGCCTTGTCCTCGTTTTTCGTTCAAGTTTGATAGTTGAAGCTTCAAAGCCGCCTAGTTAGTTTCGGTCCCAGTTACATATCACGTGATAGAACTAGGCCGTGCTATAAAAAGCCTTCGTTGAACGTCAAATGTCAAAGGAACACTAACAACACAACAAACAACACAACAACACATAATGACAATAAGGGAAATTTTTTGGCAAAGAAAGATATCATATTGAGAATCGTGACTTGATCAAGTACTGTTCTGGAAGGATATCACAGCCATAGTCAGCCATATCCAGTAATGTTTTGCACACCCATTCTTATCCTTCCTTCCGCCCGGTTTCCGTCAGGTTGTTACCGTTTCGTGCACCGAGCCTCAAGTAGTTAGCTAGAGGGAATAAATCGGAACACGTCTTTGCATAGCCTGAAGCGATAAGCAACATCCTCTGTGTCTGGAAACAATGGCTCCATCGCGAATAGAGGATTCTAATCTGAGCACTTTGGACACAAAACGGATAGAAACTCGAATCAAACCGAAACTTCTGCTTTCTCAGCTGCCCAGCGATGAGATGAACACAGTGGACTTTCGTGGATCATCCTTCTTTAAAACAAACGAGAACCTCCCAACACCAGATGAAGTTATGGCGATGTCAAATTACCCTCATAAAACGTTTTATGATCCACCTCCCGTTATTTTCGACCATCTTGGGCTGCTCGTGAAATTCGGCAAGCGTATTACAATTGCCGAAGCCCAATGTATGTGGGCAATGAAGGAATTGTTTGGTGACAAGGTGCCCGTTCCGGAACTGTTTGGTTGGCGAGTCCGTAATGGGATTGTGTTTATCTACATGCAACTTGTACGTGGGGATACCCTAGCTGACAGGTGGGATGACATGCCTGAGAAAGATAAAATATCTATCTGCCATGATCTCCATGGAATCATAACATCCCTACGGGAGTTGCAGTACGATGACACTTGTGGCCCGTTTATTGGTAAGTTTTTTCTTCAATTATTGGTTTTGTCTATGCTTATCAGAACCGGGTACTTTAGGATCTATTAATCGACGAAATGTTCGTGATTATATCTTTTTAACTCACCCACTCGGAGGACCGTTCAAAAATATTCGACAGTTCCATGACTGGATATCCTCTTTACCACTTATCGGGCTCTCTGTCCCTAGCGACTATGTTGATCCCTACAGGCCATACCTACCTGATGATGCGACTATCAAGTTTACACATGCAGATATTCATGGTCGCAACATTATTATATCCCGAGGCAACTCTCCTAAAATTCTCGCACTAATAGACTGGGAACAATCTGGCTGGTATCCAGAGTATTGGGAGTGGTGTAAAGCCTGCTATACCTCTCATTATGATAGTGAATGGAGAAAAAAGTGGATGTCAAAATTTTTAACTCCCTACCATGATGAGCATCTTATATTTGCTGAATATACCCACTTCATGGGGGCCATCTAGGTGCTAGACAATATTTACTTTATAAGCTGTGATTATGTTTCAGATACAGTTGTCCCTTATGCTTAATATTTATGTTTTCTAATGTACCGTCACAAGCTAGGTTCTAGGTCATTGAATACAAGGCCCTTCCCTACTCTTCTAGCCACCCAACCGTAGCTTATCCTCCTACCACCCTCCTACTAACTAACCCCCAGCCCCTTGGGTAATGATAATGGGGTCCCTGCCACTCCCTCTGCGAGCTATCATGCGGCTCCGCGTCCTTGGCCGACTGGCTGTAGGCCAACACCGTGACTTGGGGGATCACGGTGAGCCTGCACGATCTCTCGAGCTTGAGCATCAATGTAGTTTTTCTCGATGAGCTTGTCAACGAACTCTACAGTCCACTCTTGGCATAGCTTGTTGGTCACCTGCGTTACTTGTTAACCAGAGTACAATGTAACAGCTGAGGTGATACTAAAAAGGATATACGTACGCCATCGACTGGAGCTAAGAAGTTCTGACTGATTGGAGGTGGTCGGACTCGAGAAGCCGTCACTTCGAGATCCCCAATTGGTGTGTCGCTTTTTTCAAAGTTGTCGCCTTGGGGATAGGCAATATGGGACTTGTCAATTTGTCCAATCTGGACGACGGCATGAAATGTTTTGCTCATGAAAGGGTTGTAATTCCGCTTGAACTCATGTTGGTATCCGGCCATTGGGGCACCGACAACATGGATGACTGTGCCTTTTTCGGTTTCGCCTTCGTTAGGAAGGAATATAGCGAAATGCTTTCGCTGCGAAGGAGCTCCTCGGAAAGCCACAAGATACAGTGGACGTGAAGCCTTTATTACAACCAAGGGATTCTGCAAGATAGGGACTGATATTGGAAAAGTGTGGATTGATAGTAGTTGTTTGTTGTGCTTGGATATCAGGCAGGAGCATTGTGGGTGGTTGAGGTGACTTATATAGTTAACTATGTCCAGCAACGCTTAGTCACTAGCAGGGGTTCTTGCGGCGGAGGCATACAGCTAGGCCTTCTCAGCATCCAACATGTATGAAAGGCGTTAAGTGAAACTTCTCAGTGCATAGGTACCCAACACCCCTTACGCTTCGTTTCTGTCTCTCAATAGCCAACCAATTTAAGCAGCAATATGTCAGCCCAGACACTCCCTAATACAACCCCTGTGCAAACAGGCCACTGCTAACCAATTTTATATGTTCGTTAGCTCAAACCATGTATCTACCTGGTAAAAATGGTCCAACTCGCTACTTACTCTACCCAATAATATCTAGCCACCTCACAACAGTATCCCAGGTGAAATCCTTCCCTGTTCTCTAGTTAGGTGAGTCACGGTTATTTGATGCATATAGCCGCTGTCATGTAAAAAGCAATAATATTCAACAGTTATGCAAGATCCTTGTGAAGATTCGGAAACACCAGTTTCTATTACCTACCAACTAAGTAACCGACAGGCAGCTAACCTATGCATGAGGCAGCTGCGTAAAGCTCCTGAATAGCTACATCGTCCATCTATATCCCATGTAACTAACAGTAGTTGGTTTGTCGAATAATTAGCTAGCTTACGTACCAACTGGCTTCAATAAGGAGTATTTAGATACTCCGTAAGATTTATCTGATGCGTTGTTATGGGCGAGATATTTCAGTGTCCTCGGCGGCTACAGGGTTTGTCGTTGAACCTTCTTTGCGGAGATAAGCAGCTGGAGCCTCAGTTCTCTTGGCATCCTCTCCACTTAACTACTTAGTTAGCGCCTCAATCTCATGCGTTAACTATCAGCGGGGCTGAACGGATAGACATCGCAGGCTGCCACTCGAGACCCTGCATTTCATGTCTATCAAGGAGCAGTTGTAGCCAGGGCTCCCAACGGCCGGCAGAACTGCCTACTTAGGCCCGGAGAGCATCATGTATAAAGCCCTTTTCGGTCAGAAGGTAACAAATAATGCGCGTCCGGAGTAACCAACTAACTAACTACGTGGACTGGGGGGCCAAAACGCGCGTCACAGACACTGACTAATTATGTGTCTCTGGGGAGAGTAACTAATATGTATTATCACTAGGTGTACGGAGTACACTCGATTAATATTATCCCAGGTGAAGTCATATTTCTCGATGTATAGCAGTGACACTCAGCTTCAGCTATATAGAAGTGCCAATGCCAGGAAAACAGGTAACTTATGGATAACTAGCGAACATGGGCTCAAGAAACAGGTGTATTATTAATCCTGGAGTCAGTTTGTTAGAAAGGGATCTCGTATTCTCAACAATCAACTGCAGACTCCGTACGGAGTAGTTGACTTAAAATCCCGCCAAACTAAAGACTTGATAAATTGGCATGAATAACTATTACCCCGGTCATTCCGTGAAAAGCAGGAGTTAGGAATCAAGGTCATACCCATTCTGGGAAAATAAAATAAATTGAAATAAAACAAAATGGCATCTTCACCCATAGTCCTGCAGGGCGGCTGTTGCTGCAAAAAGATTCGCTACACTTCGACTGCACTACCAAAATACATGTCCAACTGCTTCTGCATCACCTGCCGCAAGATATCCGGGGCTCCCTATGCAACTTTCGCCAGATTTCCTCGAAGCTCGATAACATGGCTGAACGAGCCTCCTAAATACTTCCGGTCCTCGAACTTTGCTAAGAGGGGTTTCTGTGGCGATTGTGGCTCGACTTTGACATACGAGCTGGATGAGAGACCAGAGAGTGTCTCCATAAGCCCTGGCTCCTTCGACGACTGGAGTGTTAAGGGGGAGCTCATGAAGCCTACCGATCATATCTTTCTAGGAGAAAAGGCTGTGTGGTTTGACGTTCCAAATGACGGGCTGAAGAGGTATACAGGGGATGATGAGGAGCCTGCAGCCGGAAATGCTTCCTAAGGACTGTTTTTGGTGGGACGTCGTTGTCTGGTGCCTTTGGATTAGTTGATGCATAGTTGGAGTTCATTTGAAATATGTCCCATAATACGATGCTCAAAATAGCAGCCGGATTCATCACTCATCACATCCGCAGAAGATGTATAAAAAACTTGCAATTAAACTATTTGCGCCAGCTAGTACAATAATAGCACACAGTAGCTATGTTGGGACCTATAGACAAGCAGTATTTTTTTTAAAGCCGTTATCTAGAACGTACTGGCAGCCAGTCGACTGGCAGCATTTTTAGCATCGACCCGGTCGTCGTCTTCCTCCATGATGGTTCCACTGCGGGATCTTCTGCCTGTTCCGTGGATAGTTCCATTTACGTCATCATCAACCTCTGGCACCGGAGCCACGAAACTTCCGCTGATACTCCTGCTTAGACTGTCCCCACGACGAGCGACACCGCTCCATGCATCTCCCTTCGGACCCTGGCTAGAAGCCAGGCTTGCTCGTCTAGCAGCTGGGTGGGACTCACGGCCCAAACGACTCAAACCTCCGGAAGAGTCAATGGAGCGGATATCTGCACGAACACTCTCTAGGGTGCTCAAGGTTCTGCGTTCAGCCTCGATCTCTCGGAGAGTATATTCGCGGAGACTGAGTAGTAGATCGTTTGCGGTTCGATTGAACCAGCGGCGCTTCTCCTGTAGGAGATTGTTAGTAACCCGCTGGGTTTTCTTCAATAAGTATTCCTCGTGGCCTCGAGCATCATCTAGGGCGCTTATGGCTTCGTCCACCTTATCAGGGCGTACGGAGGTGCTGGCTTTCAGGCGGTCTGCTGCGGCTCGCTTACTGCTAGCCGTTTGCTGCGCCTGAATCAATTCACGAAGTAGGATATGTCGATTCGTTAGTGTTTCCTTCACGATGAAAGCGTCCGACGAGTGGTAGTTCAAAGGATCGCCTAGAGTGGTGGCTTCAGCGGTGCCCTGAGCAGCATGGTAGTCTCCGGTGGTTTGAATAATTTTGCCGAGCTTCTTGTAGGCATTGGCAAGCCCAGCATGAGTCTCTTGAACATGCATTTGTCCAAGTTTGACTCCAAGGTCAGACTCCGCAAGAGCAAGTGCTATTCTCATAGTGGTTAGCGTTGTATAAATAATTGGTGATTTTCATCTCGAAGTTCCGTACCTCTTCTAGCCTTTACTACCCGGTCTACCTTCTGACCAGCCTCCATGGTCCCAAGGTAGAACAGCTTTACCACTGGACGTGCATCGTGCAGCTCTGGTGTATCATCAGGAGGTGGTGCAAATTGCTTTAGAACCTTCCGTCGTACGCCGGTGGCAGGCTGCTTCATCCGGACGACGGGGCTGTACCCGGAATCGCTCTCGACGAAAAGGATCATTTCGTCGTCGACCATTAAAACATCATTGCTGCATACATAGTTGAGCCATCGTTGCATCGAAGCCTTAACGCGTACCTCGTCTTCTTCGGTACCAGCGCCAGCGGGAGTAAGCGGAGGGGGGACAGCAGGCACCAACGCCTCTGGATTCGACGATATTAGGTGATCTCCAAGCTTGATAAATTCAGAGTGAGTTCTCCGGACATCTCGGAACTGTGTAGTTCGGAACTTAGGGATATTCGTCTATTAAGAATGGAGTGGTCAGTCATGGCAACCTCACGATAATCAAGCTACCGCTCGGAGGGTAACATACGTGAACATCAAATCGAATTACAGGGTCTCTCTTCCCTGTGCGTTCCAGTGCCGTAACCTTAGCCTGTAGTTTATACTTAGGTGCATTTGGTCTAGCCTGCTGTCGAGCTCCGGTTTGATATCTCGATGGAGCCTGCGATCGTTGCTGTTGCTGCCTGTACTCCTGCTGATGTTGGCTGTCATGCCGGTATGCTGCTTGTGCCTCAGGAGAACCTACAGGATGAGAATCCGCAGGATGATCCGATACACCTGGAGAGTGAACTCTCTCGCTCCCTTCGCCGTTGTGCTGGTATGGTCCTTCTTGGTCGGTGGTATAGGGCGATTGATGCTGCGAGGGGAACGCTGGAGGGACGTCACTGCTGGCAGAAAATGGCCGTGCAGCTCGTGGAGAGGTAGAGCCCCATGGTGACGAGTCGGTAGGATCAGGATCGTTAGTTATCGAGGAGTAGTCCATGCTGGCAGCTGCTGGACTGTCCAAGGTGGAGTAGTGGGCGTTGGATAACTGTCGCGAACGACTCGGGGCCAGAGAACCAGGCAGATACGCTGTCGAGGAACAAGGCTTTGCACTTCCAGATGAGGGTGTATACGGCGGAAGCCTCGTTTGCCCTTTTGTTTGCAGAGACTTGGGATCAAACCGCAGGTCAGAAGTTTGTCTGTAGCTGGATGTTCGCTTGGTTGGTTAACTAACTACCTAGTTCTCGGTGGTTCATCGAGGCGTTGGAGAAAAGTGCGTGGTTGGTCCAGGTTCGCCGCCCTAGTCAGCTGGCTATCAATTCTCGTCGCGAACTGCAAAATATCGTCACTCAAAGAATACATTATGGATGCATTGATATTGAACGATTAAGTGCTGTTCTATTGATCCGGTGATATTATGATATAGCCAGGGAGGATTTCGACCTCAATTGACGCGGTAGTTAGTTACGGGTAACTAACCAGACTTGCTTTCAAGACTTGTTACCTTCGACCCTATACATGGACTGGAAGCCGGCGTCAACGCCGTGAGCCATTGGGTATGACTATAGCTGTGTTACCGCTAGGGACTACCTTTTCGAGGTGGTTCTTGCTGCCGACCTGTCGGGCTGGTGCACCAAAATGGCTATCTCGAGCATCTCTGCTGAGGAGATACTCGACAGCAGTGCCTGGTGGGAATGTGGAAGATCTCAATAGAACAAGAAACATTGGGATAATAGCGCATATTGATGCTGGGAAAACAACTACAACGGAACGAATGCTGTATTATAGTGGTTTTACACGGAGAATCGGCGATGTGGATGATGGCTCTACCGTAACGGATTTCCTGCCAGCGGAGAGAGCTCGAGGTATCACAATCCAGTCCGCTGCAATTACTTTCTACTGGCCTCCGCAGCAAGAGGAATCATCCAACAGCTTAACCCTAGAAGATGTGGACAAGAAAAGATTACCGAGGTCGGCTGTTCCCCATACGATTAACTTGATTGATACCCCTGGACATGCCGATTTTACGTTTGAGGTGCTACGGTCGCTTCGAATCCTGGATGGAGCAGTTTGTATTCTGGATGGAGTTGCTGGAGTTGAAGCGCAAACCGAGCAAGTTTGGCGTCAAGCATCGACATACGGCATCCCCAGGATCGCCTTTGTCAATAAACTGGACCGAGAAGGCGCTGCGTTTGGCAGGACTATAAAGGAAATTGGTGCCCGGCTTGGGGGGTGGCCAGCAGTCTGTCAAATTCCCTGGTTCGAGGGAGGTGATGGTAAACTGCAGGGGGTTGGAGACGTTATCTCCCTTCAAGGACTGCTTTGGGAACTTGGAGGGGATGGCAAAAAGATATCTGTCTCAAACCTATCTACACTAGAACAGTCTGACAGACAATTTGCAGACGAGTTGAAAAAGGCCAGGATTGCACTGGTTGAGCTTCTGAGCGAGCATGACGATACTATGGTGGAAAACTTTCTGGAGCATGATGAAGACCATCTGGCGGTCAAGCCTATAGAGATCCTCGAGAGTCTCCGTCGCTGTCTACTGGGAGACATTGAAAATAAGATCATTCCCACGTTTGCAGGTGCCAGCTTCAGAAATATCGGTGTTCAGCCGTTACTTGATGCAGTAGTGAACTTACTTCCGAGTCCATTGGAGCGGCCGGATCCAGAGATTAGCATCAATAACGTCAGATGCGGGTTGAATGAATACCTTGAAGGGAAAGCTATGGTAGGAACCTCATCAGGCAGCCAAAAGGGGAAGAAGGGAGTGATCCCAAGGTCAAAGCCGGCAACATCTCTTCAAAAGCTTGAAGCTTGCGCACTAGCTTTCAAGGTCGTTAGTGACGCAAAGAGAGGCGTCCTTGTTTATGCGCGCATTTATTCGGGGATACTGCATAGGAATGCACTACTATTCAACACAAACCTCCAGATCTCCGAGCGAGTACCTCGTCTCCTCAAGATGTACGCTTCAGACGCTGTTGAACAAGAATCCGTATCTGCTGGCCATATTGCCGTCTTTGTCGGGTTGAAATATGCTCGGACGGGAGATACACTGATTTCATACGCTGGAAACAAGCAGAGTCCGCCTGAGCCCTTAAACACATTACAGCTGCGCCCTATCAATGTTCCTCCTCCTGTGTTTTTCTCCAGTGTTGAACCTCATAGTCTCAGCGAGGAGAAGAACCTACAGACTTGCCTAGCACTCCTTTTACGAGAAGACCCTAGTTTGCGAGTTACGCAAGATGAAGATTCTGGCCAAACTCTGCTCAGTGGTATGGGCGAGCTTCATCTTGAAATTGCCCGCGATAGACTAGTAGGCGACTTCAAGGCAAAGGCGTCTATGGGGAACATTGAAATTGGGTATCGTGAATGCATCACCGGGACATCTTCAACGACCTCGAAGGTATTCGATAAAGAAATTGCCGGGAGAAAGGGAAAGGCAGGTTGCGAAGCTATTGTGGAACCCCTTGCTGAAGAGCAAGAACCGCAGCAAAACAGAGATGACCATGTCTACACACAAACTGTGGATGGCAACCGAATCACCATTGAACTGCCCAACATAGGAGAAAAGAAAGGTAAACAGGCAGACGATATGTTTCCAGCACATTTGTCGATTGACATAGTTAAAAATGCCCTTTATGCGGGAGGCCTGGCTGCCCTCGCCCGTGGACCAAAGTACCAATTCCCCCTTCATGGCGTTGACGTGAAACTAAGGCTCGACCTCGAACAACATCTCTTTGGGACCGAGACAACTGCGTCCGCCATTTCGGCGGCAGCAAGACTTGCTACTCAATTTGCGCTGAGGGAAGTGTCTTCTTCATCAGGTCTGATGGAACCAGTCATGAATGTCTCGATCAGTGTTCAGGAATCAGCGCTAGGTTCTGTAGTACATGATATCTCATCGTCGCGCGGAGGACATGTCGTTTCACTTGACGATGACGCTTCTTCTTCTCCATCTACGGAGTCAGAGGAATCGAACACCGTTGATGTGTCCAAGATATATGCTCCGAGAGATCCATTCGAGCCCTCGTCCAACCAGAGTGTGTCGGCATCCTTATCAGCAACAAACCAGTCTAGAACTATATCTGCAAAAGTCCCGTTGAAGGAAATGGTGGGATATTTGAAACACTTAAGGAGTATTACTGGCGGAAGAGGGACTTTCGTCATGAGCGTTGATAGATTTGAGAAGATGGGCAGCCAGAGAGAGAAGGCTATATTGGCTGAGATCCGAGGGATATAGAAGATGCTGGAAATATATGGGATTTGTAAGATATCTAAGAAATGTAAATGTACGATGTAGCAAGAATATAGAGCGTTTGATAGAAGAATTCACCATCAATGCATAAACCAGCCGCCCAATTGAAATGAACAAGGAAAAGTAGTCATTATATCCGATATATATGAGCGAAAAAGAAAAATGTTCGTTATATGCAAATCATCGATCCCCCAACCCTCTAGATATCTAGTGCGCTTAACCTACCAATTATCATCCCATCCATCATCCTTTGACACCGACGAGGAAGTAGGCTTGATAGAGCTCGAATCATTCTTCTTCATCGTTCCAGTGCCGATAGCTCCCGAGCCGGAGGAAGAGCCAGCACCATGCCTTTGCCTATCCCTCTCATCTCCAAGAGCAGCAAAGCTGTCCCAGAAATCTTTTCGCTCAGGTTCAAACCCTCTGGATGAAGCTGACGCAGAGCCTGTTGTACGATGAGGGCCGCCAGCTGGGCCATCACTTCCTTCTACGAAGCGATTGAATGAGTCTGCGGCTGTACGGGTGCCTGTCTGTATGTTCCGGCCGACTTCTGTAGCAGCAAGACGAGCCTGGGCTGCAAGATCTGATTCCGCAAGCTAAGAAGTTACAGTCAGTAAGCAGTGTCTAGGAAAAGAAAAAGGAGTACGGTAGAATACGCACTGTCTTTGCAGCGGGTTGAATGTATGTATCATTCACGGTCTTCGCACTCCTTCCAACGGTAGTAGTGAACCATCCGAATCCCTTCGTCAACGCCGCAACAGGATCAGATTGGAAATCATCCAATCCTGGAATCCCACCTGCACCACCACCGGGCCTTGACGAGGATGAGTCCACTGGCATCCCTCCACCGAAACCGGTATACTTCCCGCCCTCAGAGGGAGGCAAGCCTTCCGATCTCGAGGCATTGACACCTCCCATCTTCGCAAAATACGCCTCATTCTGTTCCTTTTTGCTCAGTTGGCCGGTAGCTGACTTTGATCTGGAAAGTGGTTCTCGCGAATCATTCCCAAACCCCCTGGGCGTCGTAGTGTTTGACCGTGACAACCCACCACCCGGCAGTTTGTTGTCTGTGGCGCTTTTTTTCTTAACTTCCGTCTTCGGCACAGGCACGTATTCCCTCCCTTCGACTTTCGCGGATAACCTCTCCTTCCACTCCTCGCCTACCTCGCCGCTATACCGTTCTTTCACGGTGGAGTCCTCGAAGGTCCTGCCCTCTGCGAGAGTGAGTGAATGTGCGTCAAAGAACTGTTTCCAGGGCTCGTTGCCTCCGTTCTCCATGCGTTGGATCTCAGCGAGTTTGAAGGCGTCCATGGTTATGCTGCGGACAAAGGAGATGTGGACTCCAAGGCCGCGATGGATGCCGGCGCAATTGAGACATATGAACGTTCCGAATTTAGGCGACGCCTGGGAGCAGTGAATGCAGATATCATGTTAGAAGCAGTCTTTGTAAGTGCCTTCGTTTGGAATAATGCAGCGGTGGCCAGGAATTCAATAAGGGACAGAGGTGGTTATCGTACCCATTGCGGGGAGGGAGCGCCACAGTCGCAACATCGATCGTTCCCGTTGGTTTTCTGGATGATCTGGAGCTATATTTACGATCAATAGAGCTGCCGTCAGTCTAGTCCTTTTATTCCATGGCGTAGATAACTAAGGGCGTGGGAGAATGTGTGATGTGTGCCGTGTAGCGTGAGGTTGGGTGCATAATTACCTTACTCCTTGTCTCTAGGTCGACTTCCCACGGCTTCGACATGGTGAACCGACACCGATTCAAATGGCAGAGCTAGACGCAATCAGAGTATAAGTGAAGACACGGTTATGAGCGAGCGTTGGCAGCGTGAAGCTGGAGTTGGTGTAAGTTGGCTGCAGGTCGGCGCTTGGGAGTCCCGTTTCTTCGAGCAGGCGGCCTCTCACAGTGGGACGGGAAGACTCCACTCGAACCGACGGAGACAAAGGCCGTTGAAGCCTTGGTGCCCTCGTAGTGCTGCGTGGAGAATCCGGAGAGGGCTGCTGTAGTTGCAGCGAGCAGTTAAGAGATCCTCGAGGTTCCCGTTGGTGTTGTCTCTGCAGGATTTTGGCTGCAGTTCGCTAACTATGTGGCTTGATCGAAAGGAGGCCGCACACGACAGTCGGGCGCATGCAGACACGGACTACGGGATGAGAAAAGAAAATCACCAGAAAAGAGACTAAGACTGCAAGGAAAACTAGAAGATGATATATAATAGATCCATAAATTCGTTTCCTTAATCGAAATTTTTGTGTCTAAAATACATCGTAAAGCGGCTGGGCACAGCCATGGGGGGAGTGAGAAAGAGAGGATAGGATATAGGTGTCGGGTTGATCAACTCGCAAGCGAGATGATACGGTGATCGACCTTCCAAACAGGCGGCTCGATGGGATACCGTGTTGACGATGGCCCGAAGGAGCTGCTAAAAAATGCCAAACATGGATCGGTACTTTGAAATTTTTAGTGATAATTGTGCGTTGTGTGATATTTTTTTTTTTTTTTTCGAGGTAGGATATTGATCAGATAAGCAATGCCGAATACTTCCAAAGACTCATCCAGTCTGTAGACACGAGACTGCTGGATCTCTCTGATTTTGCTCAAAGAGTGAGTTTTTGTGTGTGTGTTTTTTGTATGTGTTGTTTAAGCGGTGGTCGGGGCAGCGGCAGCCTCGGAAGAGTCAGCAGCAGGAGCGTCAGCTGGTTCATCAGCCTGGCCCTCTGGGACTTCGTCTTCCTTTCCGGGGCTGTCGATAGCGACCTTGACAGCGATCTCACGACCATTGACATCCTTACCGTGCATCTCCTGGACGGCCTTCATCTGGAGGGCCTCAGATCCAAGGGTGACGAAACCGAAGCCACGGCCCTTGCGGGCTTCACCACGGGCCTGGAGCTTCTTGACCATGAAGTGGGGGATGGGGCGGAGGGCGATCTTCGAGGAAACTGGCTCGTAGGCAGCAAAGAGCTCCTTCAACTGTTCAGGGTCAGCATACGGTACGAGAACAGTTTGTCGGTATAGTGAGCTGATGGACTTACGCCTTCTTCGGTAAGATCGTATGGGAGGTTGGCAACCATGACCTTGGTCTTGGAAGGAATGCCATCCTCTGGAGGACCACGGCGGACACGAGGACGACGGCCCTTTTGTTCCTGGGCTTCTCCGTCGGCGTTGGTGACTTCGTTCAGGCCAGCCTGCTCGGCAGACTCCCCTTCAGGGTGGCCTTCTTCAGTCTTCTAGAAATATAATAACACTCGTAAGCAAATGGAAAAAAAAGTACAGAAACGAAAGACCGGTGTAGAAAAAACGTACACGTCCGCCACGACCGAGACGGCCGCCACGGCCACGACCCCGGCCACGTCCGCGGCCGCGGTTGGAGGACCTCTTGCGTCCCTCTGTGCCACTGGTGCCCTCGTTACCGCTGGCACCAGCTTCCTTGTCCTTCTGCTCCTTCTGCTCCTTCAGTTGCTTCTGCTCATCGGGCTTGCGAGCAAGCTGGACGGAGACCTTACGCTCGAGGATTTCCTTGCCGGTCAGAGCAGCAATAGCATCCTGAGCCTCCTGAGCGGTGGCAAGGTCGACAAAGGCGTAGCCAACAGGGCGGTCAGTGCGAGGATTCACAGGGATAGAGGTGCTCTCTCTAGATCATCAGTGTTAGTAGGCGGCCAGAGGAAAATAATAAACTTAACAAGGTAGAGGGCGCCGGGCGGACAAGCGGACAAGCGGTCGACCGAGCCAGTGCCCAATTAGCTGGAAAAAGAGGAGGGGGCAGAACACAGCAAATTCCCACAATGTAGCTGCCGCCTGCTCTCCTTCTCGGCCTGCTCGCTTGTGGCCCCCTGACGCAGGGCGAGACTCACACATTGAAGCCCTGGAAGAAGTCCTTGAGTTCCCCCTCGGTGGTCGCATACGCGAGGTTCCCAATGTACAAACGGCGGCCCTCGTCTGCGCTGATGGTGGACGGGTCTGGGTTGGCAGCGGCAGCAGCCGGGGCAGCACCGTTGGCCTCGTTGACGGTGACGGAGGCCATGGTATCGGCAAGTTCATTGACAGCAGAAGACATGATCGTTCGCTTGGTTGAGAGGACTTTGCGGAGATGTCGAAGTTGAATGGCAAAAGCTGCCTCCTTGGGGACTTGAAGAGGGGGGATGGAAGGGTCGCTTGGTGCCCTAGATACTGAGAAACGGAGATCCGAGAGATGAGTTGTTGTGCTTGTCCTATCTTGAGTCTGGTTGAGATGGAAGAAGAAGCAGAAGAAGAGGAAGAAGAAGAAGAAGAAAAAGAAAAGAAGCAGAAAAGAAAAAGAAAGCCGGAGGTTGGAAAAGGAGGAGGCTAGCCGTTTTGGGATAAAACGACGTCGAAATAAAGTAGCCACAACACAGACTTGAATATCAACAACAACGTCAACACAACAACACTACAGATAAAGAGAAGAAGAAGATGATGATGATAATATCAATAAACAAGGAGATAGAGGCCTAGTAGTATCTACTAGAAGACAGTGGAGCTAGTGCGCATCGTTGAGGCAGCAAGAGAGGCAGCAAAGAAACTGCAGTATAGATAGTAGTATAGACAGCAGCAAAGGCATTGGTTGTAGATGGTATTAACATCTATCTATCTTGCTGTGACTATTATCTGTCTATCTATACAATGTCTATGTGTGAGCTAGTTTTGCTTGTCACTGTGTGCTCTATCAATACCCCAAGTGTGGCTATCACTATAGAGAGCACATATCACAAAGATATACCTAAATGCTCAATACTATTATACCACATATATATCACTGAGTGACTCATTAGCTACTAGTGTGCTTAGCTGTGTTCTGCTGGCCTTATCCTGCTGGAAAATTCTTCACAATAGGACACTCAACAACACTAGACTAACAATGGACTGATAGACTCTGCTGTGTTGCCAGCCGCCCCTTTATCAAGCAGCTGAAAAGAGGCTGGGACTGTATTTTTTTCTTTTCTCTTCTTCCTCTCTCTTCTTCGTCCTCTTTACTCTCACCATCCTCCCTCCTATATTCCCCTTCCCCTTTGCAGCAAGAAGCAAGAACTACTTGACAGCCAGAAGGCAGCATCCAGCTTCAAAAGCCTAGCATCAGCAGACTACCAGATATCCATCCGCCGAAGACATGTCTCGGTGCCACTACTACGTAGTGGACGACGACGAGGATGACGACGTCCAGATTGTCGGGATCAACTCGTTGAACCCCGAGGCTGCTCCCGGGCCTCAGCTGGGCGAGTATCGTCTCGATACTCCAAGATGTAAGCTCCAACGTTCGCTGCAGTATATAGCTGAAGATCTGATACTAATTTTTTTTTCTTTTTTTTTTTTTTTTTTCAGCCTTTTACCAGGGCACCAGCTATCTCAGCCAGCCCTTCTACACGGGCTTGGCCGCCCACGAGATGCTGGCAACTTCGGCCGCTGGCCTTGGAGGGGTGGCTCCTCTGATTCCTTTCCCGGCCGCCTACCAGTCTTCCTCCGGGCAGCCTTCGGCTGCAGAGTCCGTCTCTGCTGGCCCATTCTTCCCCCCTGCCGCCCAGACCGGCCACATCGTTGACTTGAGCTCTGTTCCTGCCTCCCAGGCTGCCCCTGTCTCCGAATCTTCTGCCGCCTCCGCCTCCGGTTCTGGGTCATCCCATTCCTCGGCCTCTTCTGGCTCTGGACAGGCTACTCGCTCCGAATATGAGCTCGACCCTACCTCAAGTCAGACCCAGACAGCACCTGCTCAGTCCACGCTACTATCCATGAACAATCTCCCACCGGCAATACGGCTGAAGATCTGCTTGGTTGGGAAGAATGGGCATATCGTCAGAGTCTGGATCGTCGCTGGAAATGGCGACTCCACTACCAATCCTGATCAGTTCCCTCCATCTTTCTTCAGTGACCTTGCAAACACAATCGTCTCGAGCTTTCCTTATGAGGACTTTGCTTATAAGCACCGCTGCACTGTCGACGAAGTCAACCATGCTCTTATTGCACAGGTTGTAGCTCCTTTAATTCAATGTCACTCAATCGATAAAAAGCAGATGGCAGATACTGCCAATGATATCTACAACCGTTGGGTTCCTAGTGATTATCAATACCATGATGCACAGCATGCCAACTCCAGCTCTCATACTACTCCAACCAAACCTGATCACTCTAGATTTCATGAGACATCAGCTAGGGAAATGTGTCCTTCTCCTCAGCTCACCCGTGAAGAAACTCTGGAATATGCTCGTGTTCTCCTCGAGGGCATTGCCGACTATGCTTTTGACACTGATAATTATACCCAAGCTCAAAATAACGCTGTTCCCCAGGCCCAGATTGTTGGCACTCCTAAACCAATCTTAACCTCTAATATTCAGGCCCAATCCGAAGTAGAATTTATTAAGAACGAGCATATCTTTACTACTCCATGTCCCCCTCATTCTCAAGATAAGGATACCAATTTATCACGCCGGCCCATGAAGCATGCAGAGTCTCCTACTTCTCTTAAGCGTATATCATCTTCCACCTCCTCATCCACACATTCAGCTCTTATCAACCCCAAGCGTCGATACGAGGACATTGCCGACCCTGAGTCTCCCTCTCCTCAGAACCAACTATCTCGCAATGAACGCGAAAACACTCCTCGCCCAACTAAAAAGGCCAAGACTGCCTTTAGTAATCTTTTACCATCTTCTAAAACCTGCGAGAAAGAGGGCCCTTTCCCACTTTTAAAGCTGCAAAATAGTGAGAAAGCGAAGAAGCCAGACATTTACCCAGCAAAGCCTCATACCTACGTTCCTCTCACTGATGAAACTCGCATTAAACGCCAACGAGTTACCGTCGACCCATTCGGCAAATACAAAAAGGTCTCTCCTTACTTAGAGCCTAATAGGAACTACACCAATATCCTACTCGAACGCGGCGTTCCACTTGAAAAGCATCCACGTACTAAGCGCCCCTTAACCGAACGTGATATTGAGACTATCAAGAAGGGACAGAAGAACTTCTTTAAGTACGCCATGAAGCTTCAGTGCGAACATATGGATCGTTTGGGCCTCCCACATCCAATTCTCAAGGAGCACCTAATTGATGAAGGTGAAGATGAAGCTCCTGCCCCTGAAGACTTTTACCACTGGGACGATGAAGGTTTCGATGACTAGACTATATCAAGTCTTGCCTTTCTCCCTTATTTCAATATTTTCTACTCTACTTTCTCACTTTGATTTCGTTTGGTGTGGCCTTTTACTCGATATGAACCTGATAGAAGGGAAAAAGGAAGAAAATGGCTGAAAATAAAAAAAATATTATGACTTGAACTGTGTCTGTACCATATCTGATCATTTCTTTGTTTCTTTCTTCCGCTTTTTGTACCTGATGTTCTTTTGTACTTTATGGGGTTTGACACTGACTAAGAATGCATTCGATAACTACGTTTCGCTCATGTAAAATGGCAAAGTGAAAAAGCAAAGATTGAGACTTGGATATGGAATCCAAGGTTACTCTCCTGTACGATCTTCATCACTTCAATTATATAAATGAACAAACACTTCACAGGGGGTATAACAAGCTTGAAACCAAAGAGGAAAATCAGGCATCTCATTCCGGACCAAACAGTACATAAAATAGCCAGCGTTCTAGTAGCATAGCATCTCTCTTGCAAGGAAACAGGAAAGGGAGAAAAAATCATATATAGAAAATCCATTGAGAACAGCGCCTCCCCATTCATGAGTCCCCTCCTATTTCCCATCATTGTTGAGAAGAGTAAAGCAATGTATAGGAGAAAAGCAGGTCATATGAAAACAGAAATGCCAGGTACATACGCTTGGTAGGTAGAAGGTATTACTTCAAAATTTTTATAGAAACAAGGAGCAAAAGGGAAAAAAAAAAAAGCTAAACAAACCTATACATGTCGAACTAAAGGGCGAGGATAAGAGTTTTATCGGTTATAGGAGTAGTCGCCGGATACTTCTGATCGGTGCCCACCGTATGCTCCTCCGTAGCTGGTGTCATAATCACTCAACGAACTGCCTGCTGGTGGGATAGGACTTAATCTAGGTGGTAGGCTGCTAACATTGGAAGCAGTGGGATCGTAAGAGGGCGGAGGACGATGGCTGCCGTGGGGACCCAAATCGTCTACCTCGCTGTTATGCAGGAGAGCGTAGGCGTCCTCGTCATTTTGGCGGGATGGAGGTCCGCCGTGGTACCGGCCCGTTCGGGATTCGGCGTCTCTGTCGTCGTCGTCGTCGAAGTCGTGTGGTGCTGCGTTTGAGGAGAACGCTGCTTGAGCGTGGGCTGCAAAGGTAGGGTCCGAGCCGTCATAGGGCATCGTTCCTGTCCGGCGGTATTCCATCACGCTTCGTAGGGAGATCAGGGTGGTGCCAATGAAGATTATACTGGAAACTCGTTAGTGGTAAAATCCCTTTGAATGCGAAGCAATACACTCACAAGACAAACACAGCCAGGATAGTTGTTCCAGTGCTTAGTCTGCACTTGGTCGGACTTCCAAAGGCGAAGACATCACATCCGGACTTCTTGCCCTTGTCCTTGTCGTCCTTGTTCTTATCGTTGTCTTTGTCTTTCTCACCCTGAGCTACACCCGTCCCGACATATGTTGCCGTAGCTATCCAGGCCGCAAACCAGAGCAAAGTGAAGAGGCCGTCGACGAACGCAAAGGCAAAGACGTTTCCGAATTTCCTAAGACGCGGCCACATGGGCACTGCCGTCAGGTATATGAGCCCGGGGATGCTGACCCAGCACTAACCACAGCCCAGCGTCAGTACTCCGTCTACAGCTTTCAATCATCAGGAACAGAGCGCCAAACGTACCAGGATGAAGTAGTACACTGTCCTGCCATCGGTCTTGCCTGCCTGAGTGAACACTGCAATTGTCATCGCCCATGCTAGGAATATTATGAATGCCTGGAATCCATGTATGATGCTCTTTGTCCGCGAGTTGGTAAAATCTGGTAGGCTCAGCATCTCTCCCCCTGTATCCTCTGTCTATAGTCTGTCTATCCGCGGCGGCTCAAAGTGTGTATGGCGTCTTCTGGTGTGTCTCCGGCCGCGGTAGATATCTAGTGGTTGCTGTTGTTTACGCGAGTAAATAGTGATGGAGATAAAGTAAACAGGCAGAACCTCGGCCGAACCGACGAAGATGCTAAACTAGAGAAGGTAACGACGCAGAAGCAGACAAGGCAGCGCTTTTATTCGGTGCGTATATCGGTGCTCGATAGGCAGCTGGCGCTGTACTGATAGACAGGCAGACTTGGGGCTGAGCGAGCGTGGAGGAAGGAAAATAACACTTGCATCTTGCCTGCGAGCACCTTGGCGCAGTTACAGTCTCCATAGTGACGGGCCGAGACAGCCACAACCAACGCAGCAAATGAACTATCAACAGCGACAGCTACAGCGACTGACGTCCACAGTTGCAGCAGCGGCATGAGATATGCTGCAGGATGACCGGGCGCAGGCATGGGATGAGCATCCTGTTCATACTTACCCACGGAGAGCAAGCAGAAGACCGTTCAGGGATATACCAGATAGCGAACTCCCCCGAAGTGGCTGCGCTGCGCCTACGAGAGCGAGGTTGACGACGCTGTGGCTGACCGGATTGCTTCTGCTCCCGCTAAAAATAGGACCCTGGCGCTTCGTATCTCCGCAGGCAGAGAGCTGGTTGATGCCTAGGCGGACGGATGGGCGAGAATTCAGTCAGCTGTGCAGTAATACTCCATTCCATGCCTAGCGTCGAAGGACAGCGGTGGTTGATAGGCGACAAGACAGCTGCATCAGAGTAAAGGCACGATCCTAACGTCCCTGTCCTGATACCGGTCAACTAGTCAACTAACTACTGACCAGGTTGTGGGCGTGGATGGGTGGTTATGGCTGTTTGGCCTCCCTGGCATGATAGTTAGCTCGCCGTCGACAGGATACCACATCGGATAATCAGCGCCAAATGGCCATCTGCGTTTAACTAGCTAACCAACAGCTATGGACGTTCTCTACTCTCAGCATAGAAGTCGCTGAAGCCATCTGCTCCCGCTTCGTGGCGCCCATGGCTCAATATTTATGTATGGACTACTACTAACTAGCAGTCTGACCCGACGCAGCAGCATATAAAAATCAACCCCCACGTCCTGTTGAAAAGATATTCTCGCATCACACACAATCTATCATGTCTGATACTGCTGCAAAGAGGAGCGAAGGGCCTAAGCAAGCAAACTCTCCTGGAATAACACATACCGACGTCTCAATTAATCAACGCTGCAGTCGATGAACAGTTTGCCTGCTCTTTATACCAAGAAATCACCGAAAGCTATTCCAACAATATGATGCAGCCTTAATTGCAAGGCTTCAAGTTCTTATGTCACTGGAAGCAACAATATATGGGCCTCATGAGTGCCTAGACATCGCGCTCATCTCCTGTTCCATCAGCCGTAGATGGGAGACTCCACTGGCATTGTCGTTATAAAATTGCCGAAGGTGAAAGACAACTAGAGACGGGCGACCGCCAGTTCAGTTCTCCATCGGGAAATAAGGGAACTTATCGAACGAGAATTTGGAATCCGACTGGCCGACATGATGGAAAGGGAAGAGAGGGTATCTCGAGAGATCTGGCCTGAAAAGACTGGGAATTGGTGGACAGACCGGCACAGCTTCCCTCTCTTGACGGAGCAACTGTATATACGCCAGGGTTTAACAGTTAGATCAGTTGAGATTACGGAGGGCTTCGCCATCAAACTATCACACAGTAGATTATTATTATTTTTCTCTATATCCTATTCTTATTGAAATTTCATTCATTTTTCATTCATTAAAATTGCTAGTTAGTCTACTCAAAACACATGCTGCTTCCTTTGGTCTAGTTATATATTTAAACGCTCATGCTAGGGCGCCCTGTGGAATAATCAATCGTACCGTGACGATCTAGACAGCGGTTCAATCTCTCTTGAATTGCAGCATGCATACTAAAAAGCTCTTCTCGAGTCTTTCCGCCGAATATTAGCTGCGCGGTAGAGTTGTTGGGCAGGGACTCCGTGGCTGCAGCCACAATAACTTGTCCCTTGCTAATAAACGGAGCGAGAAGGGTATAAACATCGGACGATTTCCCCTCATAGTGGAAACTCTGAGCCTGGGCCAGAGGCAACCCTCGTTCCTTCATGAAATGGGTTGAAAGTAAGCATACAACGAAACCTCCTGTTAACCGCGCATTGAGGTCAACAACCACCGTTCGGTTACTATGCGCATCAATAATGACATCTATCCCCGCCCATCCGACATAGGAGCCGATCAGGGTGCGAGCGACAGCATTGATGGTATCCATTAATTGCTCCTTGATCTGCTTCTGTGATCGATAGTCAATCACTGAGCCCGCCCAGCGTCCCGACTGGGTGAAGAGCTGTTCTGTGGCTCCAAGGAAAGTCACGGTTGAACTTGCATTGGACGGGCCAGCCGCACCCACGAAGAAGTTCACTGAATAATGAGGTCGCGTGGAGTGTATGAACTCTGATATCTGGACGTCAGGAACCCCACGGTCCTGGTATTCTGCCATGGCAGTGAGCATCTCCTGCCTCTGGTCCTCCCTGGTGACAATCCATGTTCCCCGACTCCCGCTGCAACGACGCAGTTTGACAACAAACGGCAGCGGCCTTGTCGAGAGGACCGAGGTGCTCAGATCCTCGCCCTGCAGTGGGGCCATCTGTAGATCGGGAGTTGGAATGTTGGGGTGCAAAAGGAAGCGTTTGTCGTTGATCTCATATGCGAAATCGGGATGGACCAAAGTATCATACTCAAGCATATATGACTTTGGTCGATAGTACCATAACTTCTTCCCATGGGTAACTCGTCGCAACTCATCTTGTACGTTATGCTTGTTCAAATCTATATAATGGATTTGTGGCCGTTGATTCGCGGAGAGAGGCGACAAAACTCGGTCAATGTTCGCCGGAAGATTGGCAGGGCGGTATAGGTATACGTCAATCGGGCCGAGTCCCAGTAAAAACTTGACCGTCTTGTAAGTCAGGACCAGCGTTCGGAATCGTTCGAGTCCTTCGTCCGTATTGTTGCTCGAAAAGCCAACATCTTCATCCTGGATATAGACTGTTTCGCGAAGAATCTGTGGATGGATATCGACGTAGGTATAGCCATTGTATATGTCTAGGACTATAGAGTCCGAGACACCATGTTCGCGGAAAAGGCCGGCAAGAGTATTGTCCAACGTTACTGATGGAGATATCTGTTCGTCGAAGAGAGACAATGCCTAAGGAGAGTTATGCTTGTCAATTTCTAATTAATCGGTTATTTTTCCGCAGGGCATAAATGATGGTAATACCGTGGATAGCTTGGAAGTGGGTTGAGTTATCAGCTCCCCTGGGATAATCTCAAAGACAAGGAGGGACAGAAAGCGTCCCACGATGAAGACCTCATTTTTTATGGAGAAGAATATTAAAACAATGGGGAATAATAAACCATAACGGAGAATATTCGTCTTGTTCGTCTTTGCAAACATGATTCTAAAGGAACACAGAGAGATAGTGAGAAGCTGAAAAGTGCGGGAAGAAATCAAGACTGCGGTTGAATTCTCGCGAATTGAAGATACCTGGCGCATTAGTTACGACGGCGGACTCTTATAAAAACTGCCATTTCGACTAAGCCACTAAGCCCCTTAAAACCTCTTGGGAGCTGAAAAGAGTTGAAGGATATGGGATTGGATCTCAGAAGAACCACCCCTGGGCAGTTTTAGGCTTGGAAACAGCACATTGCTGCAGAAGCCGCAAGGAAAAGAAGTTCTTATAGCCTAATCTTCATCAATGGTCGGGCTTGCTGACCCAACTTATAAATGTACAAATCGGATGCGTGGATGTTTTCGCAAGGTAACTAGCGACACAGAACGCTGCTGTCATCGATACTCCGTATGCTAAACCAGGACCACTAGTTACTTAGTCTGGACGAGCAAAAATTTTCCATCCGAGATTTTCCTCGATAAGCTCATCGAAACGAGTCCACGCATCTATGCCCTCGATATTCTGCAGCGTGCTCGCAGACCAATCATCTTCGCCGTCTGGCTCTGCTGGCTGTCAAGATTTGACAACTCGTTGCGTTAAGGTTCAATAATGCATCTGTGCATATGCATAATGTTAGCTAGTTAGCGGATCTCAAGTTCACTCAAATATTCGCCAGCACCCGAACCCCACAGAACATGCTCCATCCAGCGCCCAGGGCCGGACGAAGAACCTCCACGAAGCTGTGACCGACTGCAGCCCGTCGAGACATCTTGGATCCTTGGCCGTTGATGACGTCCCCAGGGTTGTCCGGGGCGGCTGCTGTCGGCGGCTATCGCAGCTCTGAGTGACTGGGCAGCCGCGACGAGGCGCGGTTTAGCGCCAATTCGTCTGCAGTGAGTTACATGATTGGCCAATATTTTGCTTGTTCAAGCCAATGGGAGTGCAGGTAAATTCTTGGCGCAACAATAAGAGCACCCCAAGTTGCTGAAGACGCAGCCAATCAAAATTTTCAAACGGCGGGCATTTGTTGACCTCCCTCGCTTCTCGCGACCTCACCAAGATATGGACAACGTGATATCATCGCACTCTATCGAGCCTTGCCCGAGTAAAAGATTGAGCTGACAGGCCTTTCAGCAGGGCTGACCCATCATTAAGCGCTCTATCGAATATCGACGGGAGTATAGAACAGGGTATCGGATAGAGGATCGAGAGTGCCCAACGGCGTGCCCAACTCGAGTCGCCAACTGGCCTAACTAGGGACCCACGGGACTAACGAGTTCAATATCAAATCTCCGATCAGCCTATTCACGAACAAATCCGTCTGACGTTAGACACGCGCCAGGCCTCTTGTCAGTATGGCCTCCGGTGGCTTACCTTCCATCCCGATAACAAGCCGTAGGCCTGCACCGACGACTACGATATAATCGGACCTTATATAAGCCCATCACGTGAATCACTGTATTCCAGTTCATATCGAGGGGCCTGACCTTTAGAAGCTCGTTAAAGGAGAGGTAAGGAAGAAGATAGAAAAGGACAGTTTCAAGAGATGGTTCGCTAAGCAGCGAAATTGCGTGGGGGTTGGAGTTCCCATACCTAGCTTGCCACCTCACATATATACAAGCTAGCTAGCTAGCTAACCAACCAGTTAAGTTACATCCAACTTGGCCCTCCAACATCGACTGAGAACGTCCTATTTCACAGCAATAAGCTACCGCATAGCTATTACTGGTGAAAGAGAGAGCTGGCTAGCAGAAATTCTCTCTATCTTCGATATACTCTCCCATCTTAGAGATATACATACTTGACTCCCCCGGTAGCTATCTAATCCCCCACCATGGCTTCCAAAGCATTCAACGTGGGGGTTATCGGCTACGGCATGAGTGCCAAAGTCTTCCATATTCCCTTCGTCAGCGCCCTCCCAGAGTTCAATCTATATGCAATTGTGCAAAGAACGCCTTCAGCTTCGGATGACGCCCAAAAGGATCACCCAGAGAGCAAGGTATATCGAAGTGCGGAGGAGTTGGTCAGTGATAGCGCCGTCGATGTCGTGGTAATCACAACTACTCCAGACAGCCATTTCAGTTTGGCAAAGCTTGCTCTAGAGGCAAAGAAGCATGGTACTGTTTATTCTCCATCCATCGGGACATGTCAAGCGGGCGTCCAGCTAACTGGTGTGTGAGATTTATAGTCCTCGTTGAGAAGCCGTTTACTCCGACTACAAAAGAAGCGGACGAGTTGATGGAGCTAGCAAAGACACAAAATAAGCTACTCACAGTGTACCAGAGTGAGTAGACTGCTAGTTTATGAATAGTGGGGGATTTTCTGACAATACGTACAATGGCAGACCGAAGATGGGATGCAGACTTTGTCACAGCGTCAAAACTAATCAAAGACGGCTCCCTTGGTCGCGTAGTCGAGTTTGAGACTCACTTCGACCGCCATCGTCCAGAACTCAATATCAAGAAAGCATGGAAGAACAAGGATATCCCTGGCGGTGGCTCTATCTATGACCTTGGAACGCATCTCATCGATCAGGCAGTCCACTTGTTTGGCCTTCCAAACGAGATCACCGGGTTCATAACTGCCCAGCGAGAGATTAATACGGAAAATTACGAGGATTCATTCACTGTTCTATTACATTATGACAGGCTGTTGGTGACAGCGAAGAGTGGGGTTATCAGTCCCGAGGAGAACCAGCTTCGGTTCTGGATTAGAGGCGAAAAGGGGAGCTTTAAGAAGGTACATCGCTATATCATCTTCTACTTTTCATCACATATCAAAGAGATTGACCATTGCCCATCATTTAGTACCACCTCGACCCTCAGGAGGACCAATTACAAGCCGGTGTAAAACTTGATGACGCTCAGTATGGCTGCGAGCCCAGTGATAGGCACGGTACGTTTTCCTTCTGTCCTACGTGACTTTCCGGTGCACATGCACATCAACACATGTGTCGCATGCAGTGCAACCAGGGATCCACGATAACTGGTTAGTTACTCGATTAGCTAGCTAACATCTACTCCAGGTGTCCTTACAACGTTTGCTGGAGGAAAGTTCTCTTCGCAGACAGTTCGGCCAGAGCCACCAACTTACAAGGAGTTCTATCATTCATTTGCAAAGGCTCTGTCTGGTCAAGGACCGGTTCCTGTAGACCCTGCAGATTCGGGTACTGTCATTCGTCTGGTTGAGCTTGCACAGGAGAGCTCCAAGAAGCGAGCAACCTTGTCTGTCTTAAGGTCCTAGAGTCATGCTGTTACTGATGAATGTATATAGTTACTTTTTCAATCACCAGGGAGCAAAGCTTTTTTGTAGATTTGTATAAACCGAGCTAGTTTATAATATTTACTGGGGACAACAGGAAAATCTATCTAAAGTCATTACTGTCTCATACAAGGTCAAGGAGTAACAGAGGGACGGGAGTAAAGGAAGCGCTGTAGACATGGAAGGGAATACATAACTAACAATTTGTTGGATCTTTTCTTTGCTCCAGCTATTCGTGAAAGAAGGCAGAAAACAACGACTACCGGACCTGCGTAACACCTAACAACATAGGGAGTTAAACGAGATCGTCATTTCACTGCTACGGAGCAATATCAAGCCTTCCAAGATGAACCGCGTTGGGTGGTATACTTATCCTTACAACCCATATATCCTCGTCGGGACATATCCGGCATTCGTCCCCCATCGCGGAGGCTCCAAATACATGGTACTGTCACCACTCACCCCGTCACCCCCGACCATTCGATTTTTTTCGCAGTGGGATGCTGTCTCAGGCCGTATTATAGAAATTCTGGACCGTGTAGGGACTCAGTGGGTGGCCGTCGAATGCTTTGAGCGGCGCCAGGTGCACAACTATAAGACTAGGGGCGAATACGCAGAGATATGCGAGACCACGGTCCTTATTACGGTGCAGGAGTTCCCGTACATTGATTCTGACTATAAGAAGATACTTCATGAATTCTACGAATGCTCAGGTAACTAGTGACATATTTCTTCAACCCATAGTTCAACGCAGACCAGGCAAAGCTAACGATGCATCACTTTATTTTCTACGGTGACAGGAGGACTCTTCATTGAGTTGCTGGAGGGAACTGTTTGGTGCGGCGCAACGGAGACTGCTTATGGATGGTCCATCAACGAACATGATCTGCGCTTCCAATATGCCATTGACGATGGGGATGAAAAGCTGTGGAGCCCCTATGGGGGGTAATCTATCCTCCACCACCTATGTTGCTACGGGTGGGATTGACAAGTCCCTGGGAAACTTCAGCTGTTATCTGCTCCTCTCCAAGCCTGGTCAGGAATTGCCTCGGATGTCAAGGAGTGCTGTTTGGCATGCCATCATGCTGTCAGCCTACGTAGGGGGAGGTTCACCCGTACCGGCAAAGAGCTAAGTAATTCATTCACCCATCACCAAACATCATAGAATGAGTTTTAGAGACAGATGAGAACACGGCTGATAAAAATAATCTTACAGGGCTTATTACTGAACATATACGGAAGAATATCAGATCCGGTGTCCAACTACTCAAGAATTTGCAATAAACAAATTTGGGAAGCCTTCCGATGATCTCGAGTATGAGAGCGAGGAAGAGGAGCACATTGGCAATGTTCTGGCTAGATCTGGTTTAGCAGTATCAGAGGAAGACAACTGCAGGCTAGATTGGGCAGTGGCTCTCTGCCAGCCAGGGAAATGCGGAAAAAACGTTAGTATGAGCAACGTGCGTCGAAACACGACAACAGTAACAATCGACCGTTGGGCCAGACCTACTATCTTGCTGGAAGAAGAGAGAAGGGCTGTCTTAACACGGTGAAGAGCTGTGTCTGTTATAGGAATGCCGGGCAAGAAACTAGAACCAACGAGTGGGCAGCTGTCAGTGGAAGAGAGGGGCATTTCGTCGTCAACGACCCCTGCGGCCAGCTCGTTGGGGAGTCCAACGACGAGGCTCTCGGAGTCGTCTGGGGAGGAACCAGATCCAGACTGACGACTGATGTAGCGGTGATATATATCACACCGCTGCACACCATTGCCCAGGGCATCCGTGAGGCAACTGGCTACGATGTTTCACTCGCCGGGGGTTCTAAAATTGTCTGACTCCATTAGTTATTCCCCCATGGGGCCAAGGGGTGCGTGCCCCAGAGCGGCTCCAGGGAACAGCCAGTAACTGGTTACTCCTCCCCATCCTAGCTCGTTAGAAAAGCCTCACCCCCATTATCTGCTTCTTTGTTCGGTTTTAACTCAGAAGCTATTCATCAGTCATAAAAGCGGCGGTTGGCCTCGGGGGGACTCGGTACCTTCAACACTAACTAGAGCGGTAGCTAAAGAGTTACTTACCTGGGTAGAGTTGATATACCACCGAGCCATGGGTCGGGAAAGCTCTAGGCTCTTATCGACCGACAACGACTTATTAAACCCTCGAGACTATTCGGTATTCAAATTGGATATCAAATACCACAGCCAACCAACCCTGCATGGAGTTTAACAGGCGAAGAGCGATAAAAAGCAAATATCAATGTGATCTGTGGATTCCCAGCATTTAAGTAACTCACCATGATACAACCAATGTTGTTCTATACATCTACTTTTCGATAAGCCAACCAGAGGAGCGTCTCTACCACTCAAAGGGCAGACAATGTTGTCCCTTTGGGTCCCAATTCCAGTACCATGACACGCCCTTTCAGCCATGAGGAGAAAAGGGGGGGAATCCTATCTCGAAAAATCCTGCTGCCGCCTCCTCTCTGCTTCGTGCAGATTGAAACTCCAGCTGCATCGTTAGCTGCGCGTGTACTCCATGAGCTGAGAAGTAGCTGGAACCACATATGTAGCGACATTTCAAACCATCTGGTTATCGGTTTTCTTTTCCCTGCTGTCGTTTTACGGTGCATGGCGTACGGGAACACCACGGGAAAATCATACCTTACTCTCAGGCCAGGCTTCCGCTGTTTGCTTTTTTAAACTGACTATTCTGGCCCTTCTCACGCGCTTCCAGTCTCTCGCCCTCTGGATCGATGGCTTGCAAAGCATGGCCCTGCCTTGGCCATTCTCGCAGTGGGCGGCCACCTGTGCTGCCCTTGTCCTACGCTTCCGTTGGCGGTGGCTTTCTGTCTCTTTGCTTCTTCCTCTGCCTCCTCCGTGTGTGTCTCTTCTTTGAGCTTGCGGATACACACAGGCCATGGCATCAAAGATGCAACAAACTCTTGCCTTGCCCTACGGGCTGTGATGTCGCTATGCCCTTCTCCTCAAGTCAGTTACTTCTGTGGGAGAAAGTAACTAAGCGTCTAGGCGCAGATCGAGGATCAGGTCAAACAAAGAAGAAGTCTATCACATCCTCTTCGCCTCCTGATGCTTTTAGTCTGGCTCTTCTGACTTCCCGGCAGCCTTTCCGTCCTTATCTAGCTACCTATCCAACTCCATGTACTCGGAATAGATGGAGGTTACAGTATCACGGGTACCCCTAGCGAGGAAGCTAAGAAGAAAAAGACGAGCAGAGGGCAAGAGAAAAAAAGAAAATATTGTCCTTCTCCATGAAAAGTCGACGAGGAAGAAGCAAAGTGCTACTCTAAAGAAAAGAAAGGAAAGAGAAAAAGACCCAGCGAGGAGCGTTCGAGCAGGAAGAGGAACGCGGGAGGGGGTAGTTAGGTCATTCATGGCCTTTTGGCTTCCCGGTTAAATGGTCCCTTTATGATTCCCTCCCCCGTACCTACAAATATGTGCATGTATGCTTCTGCACCCCCAGCGTCAATAATTTAGTTCTTCGTTCGCCCTTTATTTTCATGCTGTCAAACACGCACCAGGGCACGTTTCTCATGCACCGTCATTATCGCTATCACTAGGACCAGGACTGCCTTCGGCCTCGATATATATACATAACCTGCATATATATAACTGCTGCAGCATAGCACTTTTACATATTCTCCTTTTCCGCTCCATCGCCTTCTCTCTTCTCTGTGTTATTTGATCTCCTTGCCTTCCGCCGGTCCTCTCACTCGACCATGAGACGACAATAATCTTACCTTGCATCCATACATACCTCTAACTACCCTCCGGTTCATGTGCATGGCTGGGCAGTATGGGATTGCTGGTCTCTACACAAGGCCTGCCGTCTAGCCTTCATGTTGCTCGAAGCCAGCGAGACTTTGCGTTTGAGCGAACCTTTAGCCATGGCAGCAAATCAGCCATGATCCTAAGCACAGCCGGCATCTTCTCCGGACTCTCGTTTCTGATTGTCATGCTCCGGTGCTATACTCGGTTCAACCTACTAAGACATTGTAGGCCGGATGATGGTCTGCTGGTTGTGGCGACAGTAGGTTGAACTTTTGCAACTGTTTTATTTTATTTTATTTTATTGATGGCTGATATGTGTGCTCTTGGTAGATATTCTCCTTTGTGTGTATAGCATTTTTGGTAGACGAGTCACGGCATGGCCTTGGTAAATATACGGATGACATGTCGATTCCTGACATCGAGCGACTAGCCTTGATATCATACATCCATTGGATATTCCTGATAGTAGCCAAGTCGATGGTGAAAGTCGCAATATGTTTCCAGTTTCTTCGAGTACCGCAGCCAAAGGGTTGTTTGCTGCTGGTTAGGGGTTTGATGGGTAAGGCCTCCCTGCCCTCTATATACTAACATTCAGTCAATGCTTAAAAAAGAAACCCCAAAGGACTTGTCATAGTGACGACCATATCGCGGCTTGGCCCGTTTATCTTTCGATGTCGGCCCATCAAGGTATACTGGACATACTCCATGTCTGACGAAACTTGCATTGGGAGCAAGGCGATGTCCGTTATCAGTGTGGTCATGTGTGGTTCGTTGAGCCCTAGATTTCCGACTAGCCACCTTCACAGAGCTGATGAAGTTGATTTTTGACGGGACCAACAGGACAGGATGTATTGACAGACTTGATTCTCACCAACCTACCGCTTTACTATTTCCCACCCAGGAGCCTAGTACGGCGTGCAGGCGTTGTCCTCGCAGGCATCGTGGGATTGGGATATCTGTATGTTTGCGTCTGCTTCTGTTGACAACAGGGAAGAACCAATACTAACGATCTTGTTCCAGGGGGTGCTGTGTAGCCATTGTCAAGATGACTCATTCCATATTGAGTGTCTATCTAGACAGTGGGTATCGGTATGTTTCGGCCCATCCACCATGACATTATGATAAGTGAGAGGCTAATAGTTATCCAGGGGTGATATCTTCTTCCTCCTAAGCACGTATGCTATCTTAACCCAGATAATTATCCACGCAGTACCAAATACTGATCCTCGTATTAGACTCGAGCTCCATATCGCCACGATAGCATGTTCAATACACACCCTTCGCCCCTTATTCGAGAGCTACAGCGACGCTATATTCATCAGTCGGTACGACAATGACGGCCACAACCTTGAATATGACGACACCTCCTCAACCAGTCCCGGCGACGGTTCTAGGATACGAATGATCTCGATATCCAAATATGCACCCAACAGACTAACGTTTGACGACGACCGGCTCAGTCCAATCGACAGCTACGACGGCAAGAACAGGGGGCCACACTGCAGTACAAGGGTGGGCAGCAGTGGGCCGGCATTATCATCGGCAACAGCGTGCGAGTATAAAGTTGAAGTTAGCGCTTCTAGGGTATCATCTCCAGGGTCTTATCATCTGCCTCCTTTCTTCAAGGATTCTCAGAGCAACGGCGCACTTCGAAACGGCAGCGAGACACAACGAGGCGCACTTCCCGGGATAATGTGTACGACAGACGTATATGTTCGTATGGATACCCCGTCGGAAAAGGCGAGCGTACAGAGAGTCTAGCCTGGTTTTAAAATATTTTTGGCTGAAGCGTTTTCTTGTATACATAGTTAGTAGAACTAATCGTAATGCAGGTTTCCCGCTCTTCGGGTGAATCGTGTGGTCAGGGATTATCAAGCTTAAATCACATCAGCACCATATGCAGTAAAGCAGCTGTCTCCGTCAGTCTCAGGGGCCTATATAAGTTTGATGTCCATGGGTGTTGTTGGGTTAGGAAGGCTAGGGTCGTGCAAAGTCCGTTTCACAGGGCACTCTACAGGCCGTCACAACGGAGTCCATGCCGAGAAACGTCTGCTTATTCGAGTATATAACCAATATATAGGCACCCAAAATCTCAGCCCCTAAAGCCTTTAAGTGTTAATAGGACGACTTGTTGTTGCAGCGAAGGATGTGCCGTCGTCGATGGGATAAGGGGGTCAGCTCTGGCGTCGTCGAGACAGGGATACCACCGTCATCGTCATCGGTCTGGCCTGTCGAACACAAACGCACATAGCGAGTAGGAATCCAGGATGGCGTTCCCCATGTCTGGTGCTCTGCTGTCTTATCTTCTTGCTTGTCTTTGCGGTCGTGAAGTCGAAGGAGCAGCAGCATTAAAGTCGATCAACAGGGAGGTGAGGTTTTGCCGCGGTATTGTAATTTTACGGGCGATACCCTGCAAAGCTTCGCCAACCAAGCTTTTCCTGCGCTTCAGATACTTCGCCAGCCACCAATTCTTATACGAGATATCAAGTACCAAAAGTCCCCCCGATGGGCCTGATGGCTTCGAACTGGCTTACGAGGCTTGTACCGGCAAGACGGACCGGCCATCTTCCCGGCCTTCCGCGGAGAAATAGTCCCACGGCCAGAAGGCGAGAAACATCGCAGAAAAGAGACTTGCAGAGTTGGTGCAAGTCGGGATAAAAAAAGCCGGCGCTGGCTTGCTCTCGACGATGATATACCCCGTCTTTTCTCTGGTGCCTGTTTATATTCAGCCGGTCCCTCTCTACCTCTCTCTCTCTCGGATCCTTCTTTCCAGCGCGCGCTTGACGCTGGGAGGCAAAAGAGGCTGTCAAATCAGCGTCTCATCACAACCGGCTCCGGGGTCAAGTCAAGTCAATATATAGAGAGAGACCCCGATTTCAGTTTTCTTTCTTTCCATGGGTTTATAGAGACAGTCTCTTTTTCCTCGTCTTTTTCCTTGCTGGACATAATTCCTCTTTTCATGGGCGGCCGTTGTTTGCTTGTATAGAAAAGTGTTCTCGCCAATGAACCTCAACGACCTCAGGAGGCTAGAGATCGATATCGATATCTTCCTCAACCGGTTCATCCCGCATCCCCGATGGCACCGATATCCATATCCTGTGGCCCATTTCCTCGGCCATAGACGTGAAGCAGTGCCCAAGCTCGGGACGCTGGTGGTTATATTTTGGACGTTCATTGGCGTCTTCTGTGGCCTGTTGACCATCACCGGAATATCTCAACATATCCCTTCTTTCAAACAACATGATGCTCCCCTCGTAGTTGGCAGTTTCGTATGTACTCTCTCGATGCCCCCTTTGACTACGAACCCCCTGATCAACTGACCAAAGACACCTTTTCTGCTGGTTAGGGAGCTGCAGCCGTGCTTGCATATTGTGCCATAGAATCACCCCTCGCACAGCTCAGGAACGCCATTCTTGGACACTTTTTGGCGGCCGTTGTCGGGGTCGGGATCACGAAGCTATTTGGCCTCCATCCCCGTCATGAGGAGCTCTACTGGATAGCTGGTCCGCTGTGCTGTGCTGTTGCCACGCTGGTGATGGCTCTCACAAAAACCGTCCATCCTCCAGCAGGCGCCACAGCTTTGCTCTCGGCCGTCGACCCTAGGACAAGGCACCTTGGCTGGTTCCTCCTGCCTGTCGTCCTTCTTGGCTGCATTCTCATTCTTGTTACAGCTCTGATATTCAACAATATCGAACGGCGCTTTCCCACACACTGGTGGACTCCTGTCAGCCTGATCCCACCAAAGGCGGCAGACCTCGAGTCTTCGACTTCAGAGGAAACTGTCCACCCTGACCTATCCGACGAATCGCCCCCTGACGAAGGCAACGACAAGCAGCCCGGAGATCAGATCATCATCAGACCTGGACAAGTCGATGTATCAGGATCCATCACACTCACTGCCATTGAATATGACTTCCTCGAACGACTTTGTAGACGTATCATAGACATAGACGAGAAAGACGCTTCGACCGAAGAAAAAGAAAAAGCAAACGAAACCAGACAAAACTAGACATTTTTTTTTTTTTCTCTTTTCCTCATGTTGTTCCTTTCTACTGTCCCTTAACCCTTTATCTACTATTTGTTTCTTCTTTTTTTCACATAGTTATTAGACCAGCTCAACCAGTCACTAGTAGTTATCAAAGCGCCCCTATTTTGACCAAGCTTTACAGGAGTCGACTCAGATTGAGCCACCTTTAAAACTCGAACTTGTAGATAAGTGGCTTGCTAGGAATAGGAAAGGAAAAGAAAGCCTCTAAATCTTTCTCTAGTTACTAGTTAAATATTACATTATTCTTTTCTTTCGCCTTCACGATGGAATACCCCTTTCTCTACCTCGCTTTCGGAGCTAGATTGAGTTTTATCAGTAAGGCCAAACTCCGTCTCATGCTCTTTACGAAGATCAACATGTTTCTCTATAAACCCACAGAGAAACCCCAGGCCAGCAATGGCAGCAATCACTTGCCACACGACTGCAAGCGCCTTGACGTATACATCGATGACCTGGCTGCGTGAATCAGCTGGCAGCAGCTTAATGTGTCCGCCACTCGCATATGAATAGGCAGCACCGTCCTTCAAGAGCGCCTGGATTGCTGTATCGGAGACCAGATTTATATGCGAGTTTACCTGGCCATTGAACACGACGGATGCCATTGTTGCACCCCAAACCAGACCAAACGAGCGGACGAATGAGTAGGTCCCCGTTGCAACCGCTACGTCAGACTCTGGGAGCGGAGCCAAGGTGGACGGCAAAGTAGCAGTGAAGATGATTCCTGTGCCTCCAGACGCAAGGATCTGATACCCTACCCAAGCGCCAGTGCTGGATGATTCGTTCAACGTTGACAGCATGCCAGCACCAACAGCACTCAACGTGAACCCCAGCCAGTGTAAGGGTATGTACATTCCGGTTTTCGACATGAACACACCGGTTAGTCCGCCAAAGGGGATAATGGCGAGGGCAAAGGGCAGGAAATTTACTCCCGATATCAAAGGCGATGTTCCCTTGACCGACTGAAAATAGACGGGGAGGAAGTAGGAGATGGCCTGCAGAATAATCGCACCCAAGAAGATGATGACCAAGCTGGCTGCCGATGTACGATGTTGAAACAGCCTTGGTGGCATACTGGGCTCCTTGCAAATGGTCGAGGCCTGGTGAAAGTGGAATATAACCCATCCAAGCACCCCGAGAACCAAGGGGAGGATGGTCCGCCACGATCCCCACGGGTAGACACTCCCGCCGGTAATAAGACCAAAGAAAACCGCAACCATCGACGGGATGAAGATGGCGTTGCCCAGGAAGTCGACGCGAGCCAATGCATGGGCCCATGTTGAGCTTGTCTTATATCGGACATTCAGGAACAGGAGGATGACGATGAGACCGAGGCCACCTATAGGCAGGTTTATATAGAAAATCCACCGCCAATTGACCTGGGCAAGTTTACCTCCGATGATGGGGCCAATGGTTGTGCCAATTGCGGCGGTTGATAGCACAGCACTCAGGTACGGGCCCCGGTGCCGCGGAGGGATGATATCACAAATGACAATATCAGACAGAACGTACAGTCCTCCTGATCCAAGGCCTTGAATCGTACGCCCGGCAATTAACATGCCTACATTCCTTGAGCCGCCTGAGATGCCGCTTCCCAGGGCAAAGAGAGCGATGGCAACCAGAAGCGGATTGCGACGGCCGAAGATGTTAGCTATCTGGCCGAAAAGGGGCTGGGGGACAGTGGTTGCAAAGAGAAACGAGTTTGCGACCCAGACGTATTTCTCTGCTCCGCCGATTTCTCGGGCTATTGTAGGGAGAGATGTGGTTATGATGGTTGCATCGACGGCAGACATGAAGGACAGCAAGCAAAGGGCAGAGAATATGCACCAGATGCGCCAGGATCTCGTGAACGCCTGAGGATTTTCAACTTGGACTTTGCCATCGTTCTCTGGTAAAATAGCCGCAGGTGATGTGGACACAGGAGCTATATTGGTTGGAGGAGGAGATGTCTCCTCTATCGGAACTATGCCCATCTCGAGGCGATGCAAGGGCGCTATGGGATGTAGTCACAAAGCAAGAGGGCGAAATATGGCGGGACAGGGGCAGCTGCGTTTTTATGAGGGCAGCAACTGTAGCCCAACACGGCACGGTCGTGAGCTGGTCATAGATATTGACTGGGTATATTAAGTCCGTAGCCGCAAGGCTCAGGCCATGACGGGATAGTTATTTGACTTGAACGCATGCTTGCTCACCCGCAGCATAAGTGCTAGCCTATCTAGTTAATTAACCCGGCCCTCGCACATGTACACTGCATAAATGTTGGCAAACCTATGCTTGCTGTGCCTATAAGGCCGGGGGAGTTGGGATCTTCATGCAAGGCTGAGGGTATGACTGGGACAAGTGACTGGCTACGGGGGAGAAAACGACCAGCTGAGAGCGACAAATGCACCGAGATATATTAACAGCAGCGGCAAGGGCAAGGACAGCGGTAACAAGAACAAAGGAATAATAACAATAGTGATAATAGCACGGGTTGGCAGGCATATTAGTTATGTCTCGGTTGGTAGTGACAACCCCCTGAGCCGCCGCCAATCAACCATCCATCCATCCCCCATTCGTGATCCATCCGTGATCCTTCCCATCGCCCCCATTGCATGCATGCATAACATTTGCTTCTAGACGAGTATTGGCAGGCCGCCCTAATCGCAATTCCAACGCTTGTCATCTCATCTCACTTTCAGCTCGTCATGCTGAACCAGCCCCAGGCGGCGATCAATAGGCCGGAGACGGTTCGAAAGACAGCCTTGCCCGGCACACCCTCGCGCCAGCACACGTAGCCGTCAACGAGCCCGAGATAGCCTAGAATGAACATGATCGTGTCGACTTCGCGGAGCTTGTTTTGAGAGTAGAAGGTGAACAGCGCGAGACCGAGGGCGGTGGTTCGGCCTGACGCGGTGATCATGATGGCCTGCGCTTCCTTGGAGACTGCAATGCGCTTTGGCAGGCCGAATTCCTCGATGGCGTAGGCAGCGTTCCAGAAAGGCATCAGGCCGCCGAAGGTGGTGGCTGTGGCCACAAAGAGCGGCGGGATGTGCCATGCGGTAAAGTGTTCGAACATCGTGGGTGACTATCCTGGTAAATCCAGAGGACAAGGTGGTTATTGTTGGCTGGCTGGCTGGATGGCTGGCTGTGGTTGGGTTTGTGCAGGAGAAGGATGAAGCTGGGAGGATGGATGATGAAGCTGCTGCGGATATCAACTATATATAACCATCTGGACTGGAGCAGCGTCACTTGCAGCGTGAAACAAAGAAAAATCACCAACACCAGCTCAGATCTCATGCCTTGGCGCTGGAGTCACCCTGCATATAGTAGTTCCAACGGGACACCAAACTTCCCCTAGCCCCCTGGCCTATTCATGGTTTGTGGAAGCAAGGGGTTGGTTGATACGCTAGCTACAGCTTTGCCGGCAGGACGAAGAGCTCTTGGTCGCCATCATGATAGCAAGAATATAGTTGTACAGTGTATTGGCTTGACTAGAAATGCAATTTTAATCCATAACTAGCTGTCTGGCCTGTTCATTTTGACGCCTCCTCCATTAAATGCCCTTGAAATTTAGTCCATGTCCTTAGCGTGCATGTGTTTTTGGCGTGGATGTATCTGGTCCGGCTTGACTCTGGAATATATGGGTTGCTTTGGTGATGGCGTTTTTCATCGGAATAGAAGAAGAGGAAGACGAGTAAATCCTGGTGAAGGGTCCTGTCTTGCCTCCAAGGCCATCTACGGAGTCACTTGGCCAGCTGTCATGGCCGTTTCTCAGCTTTGACGACAACTCAAACCTCTCTTCATCCGCAATCTGGTTGTCTGTGTTGGACTTTGTCTTGCTTAGAAGCAGCTTTGACCGAATGGTCGAATATACTGTGCTGGGCCGTACAAAATTCAGCCAGTATGAATATATAGACGGCGCACAGCTCACGATAACAGTCCCAAATAGCTCTGCGAATCTGGTATCCAGTCAGTATCTATTATAGACAGGGTAAACTGGGGGTTCTTTTAAGCTAACTCACGTTGTAAGTGAAATACGGAGTCCGTTCCATACCGGATCGTCACCAAGAAACAATTGAACCCGGAAACCAAGGGAAATTATACTCATGATGACGGTTCTACCGACAGCCAAGTTAGTAAATAATCTTGAGAAAAGGTAGGTCGAAGGCTATAACATACGTAAAGCCAACCAAAAACACTATCGCCAGTCCAACTTTTTTCCCTTGCGCCATCTGTAGCTTGAGGATGATAGGGAAAGGCAGGAGAAAGATTATAAAGTCTGTGAGAACTGTGAAAGATCCAATAAATATAGCAAGGGTAACTGGTTTTGCACACCTCGCAAAGGCAGTGGCATCCCAGGGAGCCCCATTTCTAGGGAGACAGTAAACTGTCGCCAGAATTATATTGATACCATAAACGAGGAACATAAGGATAATCAGTCCATAGGAGATCCGGGATATCCACCGTACGGAGTTAAATATACGGATGTAAAGAACTAGAACCGCAGATTTTGTCGCCCACAAGGCGGGAGCAACAATCATTTGTTGCGCAAATTGTCTCTAATTGACACAGTTAGATGAGGTTGCTTCTACATATGATAGTTATAGGAGCTCACCTTGATAAACGATGTGGTTACTACAGAGGCAGGGACATCCCATGAATGCCTTACAACTCCATCCTGAGCAACTAGGTCTCTGTTAGTTTATTGCATCCAGCGTGGTGAAGAGGATATAGCAAAGTTACCAGATTCAATTACAGCCCAGTATCCAATGGCGGTTGCTTCGCCAAAAACGCACAGATCTTAAAAATCACAGCAACAGTTAGTTATATGATAGGGTCTTATATCGACATAAGAGCTCACACACAATCATCCAGGCCTAATTTGCCTGTATGTTTATAGTTGGTTATGAGGCGTATCGTGAGGCATAGCATGCTAATGGATATGAGAACGACGCCAAGTGAGATGATGGCCGAGTCAAGTGTGGGAGGGTCCACAAAGTTAGATGGCCCGCCGCTTGGATTGGGTGCAAGAGGAGTCTTTGAAGGATCCATCGCTGGATGTTGGTTGAAGAGGATATCTAGTTAAAGCAAAGGAGACCAACTGATTCAAGAGTCTGGAGGAAACAGACAGCCTCGAATATTTGGCGGTTACACTCATAACTAAGCCATGAATGTTCTTCTCGAGGAAAATGGGGAATACCATTTAACTATACAAACGGTGGACAGTCCAGCCTTGCAACAACCACCAACAGTCAAGGGTGAAAGGGTTACCCTGCAGACGGATAATGCGGCATAACTTGGCAAATCCTGGATTGGAAAAGATGGTCAGCCTTTTGCAGATTGGCACCAGTCATGCAGGTCATACAAAGGCAGGGATGAGCTGTAGGATTGAAAAGCATAGCTTACCTGAGACAATAGACCTCTCAGTAGGCTATCGATATTAGTATTGAACTGCGCCGTACACTCTGGAATCAGAATACCAACTCGCTGTGATATACGCAGGGAGTACATGCCCCTTAATCAATCCCAGAATTACGCAAGGCTGTGAAATAGCAGCCTATGTTCGTCAAGTAGAGACCCTCGACAGTCATTGGTGCCATGTAGGGCGAAGTTGAGGCTGTACTCTGAGCAGGCCGTACAGTTGTAGAGCGCTAAGCTGCTAGAACATATAACGACGCAAGTCTAGCTGGTAAAGGACGCTGAAATCCAAGCCAGTATAGTCTATTATATAGAGAGAGCATATAGCTTTTTGAGCCTCACGATAACCGCATCAACACGATGGTTTTACTCCATAGTATGGACGCCTTAGTGGCTATTCCACTTGGCGGCATCATCTTAGCCCTATCTGCCTTCTTGCTCGCTCGAGAGGAGCTCAAATCTTGCATCCTAACATCGATCTCCTTTCCAATTTCGATCGCATCGAGGCGTGTCAAAGCCTGGCGTTTTCTTCTGGATGGTCCTAATATCATTCAGGCCGGATATGACAAAGTAAGCGTTCACCCAATAAAGCGCAACAACATAGGAACTGAGCTGATGTGTGGCCTAGGCCAAAGGTTCTCCATACGAGGTCCTTGCTCCCGACGCTCGTTATGTGTTTGTGTCTTCAGCTGAGCACATCAAGGAAATTGACGCTGCCTCGGACAACATTCTGTCACTCCAGGCAGCGGCAAAGCAGATGCTCCAGCCAAAATACACAATGAACAACTTCAACTGGTTTGATAAAAGAGGCGTTGACGGTACACCGCTTGTGCGGACTCTCCGTTCCCTCCTGACAAACAATGTGCCAAACCTGGTTCCGGATATTCGAGCGGCCGTATCCAAGATATTTGATACCTTTCATGATTCGCTCCCGGCCATAAACGGTAAGGGAAACAGGAGATGGAATAGGCCCCTGGGATAAAGAAAAGCAGCAGTTCCTGACAATTTCAATAGGGGCCAAAGCTGCACCACTATATCCGATGGTTAAGGAAGCTGTTGCTTACTCCAATGCTTTGGCTTTTTTTGGAGCGGAGCTCGGTAATTTTATGCTCTTAAAGCAATAGTTTCAACCTACTTGACTGACAGGGGAAATTAGCCCAGGACAAGCAGTTCATGAAGGCTGCAATTGACTTCATCGAGAATACCCTTTTGATTGCTGAAATTCTGCGTCTTCTGCCAAACTCTCTTGTTCCGTGAGTCCGAACCCATGACAGCAAGCTAAGATCCCTCTGACGTGTGGCCATGTAGTATAGTTGGAAAGCTTCTGGCAAGGCACTTCCGGTCCCACGACGTCCTCCACAGAACATTAATACCGGTTACTGAGGAAAGGCTTCGAGAAAGGGCCCTGAAACGGCTAGGGCGTAAGATTCCTACTCATGTGAGTAAAAGAGTTCTTCCCAGTAGATGCTCGCTGTTACTGATGGCAGATCAGAAAGACTGCATTCAGTGGGTGATGGAATGTTCGCCAACGCAAAAACCGTGGTCTGCTGAGAGAATAGTGCACGAGCTGATGGCACTTTGGTTCGGATCAGTTCATGTCCTCACAACGGTAGGTTGGTGGTTTCTTCCTCATACATGATAAGTCTTACTGACTAGCACTTTATAGACCATTTGCTACGCAGTGCATGATATTTGCCTCCATCCGGAATATGTTGAACCGCTTCGAAAGGAACTCCAAGGCCCGGAATGGGAAGCTTTTGAAAAAACAGGAAAAGGCCTACCACTCCTGGATAATTTTATCAGAGAGTCTTCCCGTTTAACTCCAGTTGAGTCAAGTAAGCACCCTGAAGTTCCCTTTTGTCTCATGAGGTATGCCTTTGGCTCATAGCCAGGGATTCACTTGAATGGTATTAACCTGTTTTCCACCGTCTAATAGTGAGCACGCGTCGACAGGCATTGCAGCCATTCCAGTTATCAGACGGGACCAAAATTGAAATCGGAGATTGCTTCTGTACTCCGCAGCGAGCGATGGCAAGGGATCCCGCCTATTTCGAAAAGCCACTCGACTTCCACGGTTTCCGATTCGTGGACCCAAGGGTGCTCGCGGGCCTCGAACAGCCAGGTTTTAATATACCCGAGACTGCGAAACCCTCGCAGCTTACGGATACTAGCAATTCGCAGCTCTGGGGCACTGGACGCATGGCATGGTAAGTGTTCTCGTTCAGCTTCAAAGCCTAGGTATCACCATGGCGAATGGAACTAATGGTTTGTAATCATTTGTAGCCCCGGGAGATTCTACGCCGCAGCGGTTATGAAAATAATTCTTGGGCTATATCTCACCAAGTATGACATGGAGTTGGCAGACAAGAAGGCTCCGCGTTGGTTTACGTGGAGGTCATTTATCTACCCAAGCGCCAGCACAATTGTGATTCTTCAGCCCACTGGGTCGACTGAGTAAATCACATATTGTCATGTAGTTATCTGGAGGGCCTACACTGAATTTGCTTATCCGTGTTGTTGTGTCAAGAGGTATTAGATTTCGGTAGGAAGCTTGGGTAATTTAGATAGTTCTAGTTGGTTAGGAGTTTATCACAGACCAAACCAATCCTTTTTTCAATGATAATATCGATCTCGATATATAAAACGTAGTGTCGCGCGTAGCAGGGCAGGGTATCAAATGCTCAGTAGTCTTGAGAGCCTTGAAAGTCCTTCCAGCGAGAGGAAGTCGAGAGCCTCCTTTTTTTTTTAGGTTGGCGTTAAACAGAGTTTACACTAGTAACACACTAACCAGAATTAATTGGCGTTAGTTAATCAGCATCAACAGTGGCGAACGTCATGGATGCCGCCACATCGACCATGACACTACAGCAGCATAAGTAAATATATGAACATATTTACATTATAGTTACTGAACTAGAGCAATATTATCCAACCATTATGCATAGCTATTATTTAAAAATATATTGCTTCTGACTGGAAAATCCTAGAAACCTCAGGTACGGAGTATCGTCCAGGTAGATGATGTTATGTTCACGTGACTATGAGCCAATGAGAATTCGTAGAATTTGTTTATATAAGCTCTGACGTCTTAGACTTTTCACGCTCGACTTTTTTTTTCCACGTCAAACTCATCATCTTCATCTTCCCTCAGCAGCTACAGCAAGTCATCAAACATCGCGGGCGACTTGTTCTTCAGCTTTATATTGTGGGATAAGATAGGGTCGTCTAGACACCCCATAACTGTGCCTGCCAGCCAGCTTTTTCTCCTGATTTTTTGTTTTCAATAGACCATCGTTCATCCCACTCTTAGGGCTTCCTATCGATAAGGCGTCAAAACCCCCCACCATCGGTTTGTTTCTCTCCTTCCGCCATATTATTGATTTTTATTCCTCACTCTCGACGACCTGGATACGGATCGGACATATAAATCTGCATCTGTTGGGCATATCTGGCATATTGCTGACCTTTGATATTCACAATAATAGGTCTAATAATAATATCCAGTTAATCTAAAAAGAGAGGAAAAATTACCTAGCAAAGATGGTCTCTGCATCCAAAGCCGCTCGCCAGGCCAAACGTGCCGCTGAAGGAGATAAGAAAAAGACAGCTACCTCCAAGCTGTCATCAAAGGCCAATTCTAAGAATGTCTCTACCGCTTCTTCCGTTAACGGTGATGATGCGGAGGAGGGCGCCACCAGCGCCGCCAAGATGTCCGATGTCAAGAAGTTAACAGAGCAGACGGACAAATTCGGACTGTCAGATCGTGTCACTACCGGTGTTTTGGCATCTGTCCCTTCCAGCAGAGATGTTAAGATGTCGTCCATCTCACTCGTGTTCCACGGACGAGTCCTTATCACCGACTCTACTCTTGAACTCACTTACGGCAAACGATACGGCCTTCTCGGAGAGAACGGCTGCGGTAAATCCACTCTTCTAAAGGCCATTTCCAAGAGAGAGTTCCCCATCCCAGAGCACATTGATATCTATTTACTCAACGAGGGTGCTCCCCCAAGTGAGCTTGGAGCTTTGGACTGGGTAGTTACGGAGGCACAGAACGAGCTAGACCGATTAGAGAAACTCGCTGAGGAGGTTTTGGAAAACGAGGGACCAGATTCACCTGTCCTCGAGGATATCTACGAGGTAAGCAGTCTGCATTCTGTAAAGAGAGAATATACACTGACCAGTGTCGTAGCGAATGGATGGCATGGACCCATCTACTTTCCACACCCGAGCATCTCTCATCCTTACTGGTCTCGGCTTCAACAAGGTCACCATCAAGAAGATGACCAAGGATATGTCCGGTGGTTGGAGAATGCGTGTTGCTTTGGCCAAGGCTTTGTTCGTCAAGCCATCTTTGCTTCTCCTCGACGACCCCACTGCCCATCTTGACCTTGAGGCTTGCGTGTGGTTGGAAGAATACCTAAAGAAATGGGATCGAACTCTCATCCTCGTCTCCCACAGTATGGATTTCCTGAATGGTGTCTGCACAACCATGATTGATATGCGAATGAAACAGCTTATGTACTATGGTGGAAATTACGATTCCTATCAAAAGACTCGAGCTGAGCAGGAAACCAACCAGATGAAGGCCTACCACAAGCAGCAGGAGGAAATCGCTCACATCAAGAAATTCATTGCATCCGCTGGTACATACGCCAACTTGGTGCGACAAGCTAAATCCCGACAAAAGATTCTCGACAAGATGGAGGCCGATGGCTTCATCCAGCCTGTTATCCCTGACAAGGTCTTTACCTTCAGATTTGCAGATGTTGAGAAGCTACCTCCACCAGTTCTTTCCTTCGACGATGTCACATTCTCCTACTCAGGTGATGCTAAGGACAATCTATATGAGAACCTTGACTTTGGTGTAGATATGGACTCTCGAACTGCCCTTGTCGGACCCAATGGTGTTGGAAAGTCTACCCTTCTCCGTATCATGACTGGCAAGCTCGCTCCTACATCTGGTATTGTCACCCGTCATACCCACTTGAAGCTCGGCATGTACAGTCAGCACTCCGCTGAGCAGCTCGACCTTACCAAGAGTGCTCTCGACTTCGTTCGTGACAAGTATTCCGAGAAGAGTCAAGATTATCAGTACTGGCGTCAGCAGCTGGGCCGATATGGCCTTTCTGGTGAATCTCAGACTGCCCTTATGGGAACTCTTTCTGAGGGTCAGAAGAGCAGAATCGTCTTTGCTATCTTGGCCATCGAAAGCCCCAACATGTTATTGCTCGACGAACCTACTAACGGATTGGATATTCCCACCATTGACAGTTTGGCTGATGCTATCAATGCTTTCAGTGGTGGTGTCGTCGTCGTTTCCCACGACTTCAGGTAAGACTCAATTCCTACAGATTGATTTCATTGTTTAAAATTAAGGTACTAACGTTATCATCTAGACTCCTGGACAAGATTGCCAAAGACATCATGGTGTGCGAGAACAAGACTGTCCGCCGATGGGATGGTACCATCGGCGAGTACAAGAACCACCTCCGAAAGAAGATGATCAACGCCGGCCAAGTCTAAATGCCGATTACCGGAGGCTTGTTCTTTTCTTGCTTGATTCCCCATTTATTTATTGTTTCTCTTGACTATCCAAAAAGCAACCATCCGCAACTAACGGCCTTGCCTAAAAATCTTTTGCCATGTTACTCTTATCTTCACGGTCTCGGTGGTACGAATGGTTTTATTCCCCCTTGACTTGTTATTGCTATGTAAATGGGCCTTTCCCCTGGTCAGCGCATCGAAATCGACTTGCGCACATGGGAATTTGGATTGTTTAGACTTTAAAACTGATGTTTTCTATTCCTTCGTTTGAATTATTTTTTGCATCTGCTCCGAAGGAAGCTTCTATATTTGCCTTCGTGAAATGGCAAGGTGATAGAAAAGGCTGATCGATGAAATGAAAGGTTACTTACTACTTTCTTTATACTATCGTCCTGCTCTCAACTTGGTAAACTTTCGTACAACCATGGTAGTGCTTTAAGCTCGCACAACGATACCTTTCAATGATTGTGAGCTCGTGGGTAGACTGCGAATTCTCGAAGGCTCTGGTCTTCCAAAACACCAATGCATCGTTTTATCTTGATGGCTGCTATCATTATCCATACAGTATATATAAATGAATCATCCCTTCTTCAGCTCCCCTCCGAAGGGAGTGTCCATTCCCCCAGGCTTTTCACTCTCCAATTTGCGCTTTTTAGCGGCGCGATCTATATCATTTTCCACGTCTTGCTCCTCGCTTATAGCAGCTACATTAACTGAAGTCAGAGCAGCAACTGGTTCTGAAGGGGTATTAGCTCCTGTGGGGAGAGCTGAACCACCCGCTTTCTGCAGCCTGTTTAATGCAACGATATCTTCTCTTTCCGGGTTCTGGCAGTGAAATAGCTTCTTCCCTATCAGCTTTAGCCTCTTCATCCTCGCTGAGCCGGGAACAGTACTTGATGTTCCATTATGCTGTATGTAAGAGGCAAGTAAGTCGCTGCAGGACTGCAGGACGGGAATAAGTTTAGCGTGTATATTGGAGAGCATGTCTGAAGGCGAAGTTGAGGATGTAGGGGGTGCGGTGGCTGGGCCTAGTTTTGTTTCGAGGTAGAACTCAGCTAGTGGTCTATCGGCAATGAGTAATGCAGAAATCCATATCTGGGAAGGGGTGTAAAGGAAATATGCATCTGTCATTTGCGCAGAATGCTTAAGGATCTCTCTGGTATTGTGGTGTACTTTTGCCAAACGGGTAGCTAGAGGCGAAGCAGGCACTGGCCCAGCTATCGAAGTAGGCGGAGGTGGAAGTGACTGGATGGATTTCTGAAGTCCAGTTGGAGTAAGTCCTGGAAGATGGGGTCCTGGTGTAGCTTCTCCCTTTGCAATGGCATTCAACTCCATCATCCCGCCCTCTAATCCACGAAATGGGTGGCGTACGTCAAACGTAAACCGTAGGCCCTGTGTGAGAAGAAACTCGGGAGCAATTATACTTTCCATCGTCGAATTGGGTATGTGTTCTGTAAATGACCGGAGGGACATGTAGAAGTTATCCGTTTTTGTAGCAAGGAAGAGCGCACACGGCATGATTGATTTCGGGTGGTAGGTCATTGGGGAGTTTGTAAGGTAGAATCGTCGAAGATACTGAATCGCAGTCGCCTTTTTTCACAACATGTTAGCCTTGGTATAACTTTGGGATGCGTGGAGGCTATACATACCCTTACTGTTGTAGGCAGAGGCGGTTTATATTCGTCTCCCAGCTCCATAGTCTTCTCACAAAAGTACTGTACCAGCTCAAACTCCTCGTCTGGCGTAAGACATTCTATCTCCTGCTCGCTTCCTGCTCCTGTTCGAGCTGGCGTAACGGCTCTACCGCCATCATTTGGGTTTGGATTTGGTGTGCCTTGGTCTGGTGTTGGAGCTATGGAGGCTTGTTGTCGAGCTTCTCTGGCCCGGCGGACGGCAGCACGAACTCGCTCGCTTGCAACAGCATTAGTATTAGCTCGGATTGACCGGAGGGAGTCTTCTGTGAAGGACCAGAGGCGAAATTGCGTAGAGGTTCGGTATATGTCGTCTTCTAGCATGGTTGGAAGTTGAGCTGTAAGAGCTATATACCCAGCTGACTCTCAGTGTGAACAACTTAGCGATCAAACGTGGAAAAGGAGACAAAGGAACAGGTACATGAAAGTATCTCAATAGACTGCGCCTTGAGTCAAGCTGAAAGCCGTGGTGACGACGTATTTGAGTATGCAAGCCTGGAGCTTTTTGCTTTGGAGGCGGAAGTAAAATAAATAATTACACTTTTGCGCGGAAGCTAAATAGTGACGACTATCGACTCCAGACATCCAACATCCTAGCACCATATAACTCTACCTAGTTATATAGAAAAACAATGTATATGGAGTATGATGAGGGTAGTTGAATGTGATTTGGGATTGAAGCACCTATTTAGTTTCCACACAAAAGCCTTTGCTCCGCGCTATAACGCCAGTCTTGTTGATCCATCGCCAGACACCACCTTATGCTCACTCTCTCTCTCCTCGGCCCCTTTTCTCTCTCCATCCGCTTTCCTTCTCTCCTCCTCCTTGCGGAACAGTTCCAATTACTCAATTGGCAGATAGTCAAAGAAATGAAAAACAAGGGGAAATATATGGGGGATTGCTAGGGGAGGGTAGTATATGGGAGCGGTGATGAGAAAGAAAAGTAAGAAACAGAAATAAAAAAAAAAAAAAAAAAGGCACAAGAAACAGAGATGCTGGGAAGGATGTATGTAAGTAGGTAAGGATGATAGATGATATAATGTGGTCAATAGAGTTAAAAGAAATAGATAGGGAAGGAAAAGGGGGGAAAAAGGGAAAATAGAGGCAGTTTTGTCCAAAACGGAGATGATACATATCATGGCTCACCGAGGAGACGGGCGGTGATGTCACCCATGTATGCTTCTTCGAGTTCGTAGTCATCACCGTCCATGGGGTCGATACCAACATATTTGAAGGCAGAGACAACCCGAGGAACATCGAAGCCCATGCTGCAGAAACGGTCGATAAGATCTTTGTTGTATCCTTCGTATCTATGCCATGTTAGTTACTCTATAGTATGGGGGAGGGTACAATTCGGAAAACGTACGCCGCCAGCTTCTCTCGCTGCTCGTCTTCTTTAGCCTTGAGAGCCTTTCTCCTAATAGACTCATCCGTAGCGCCGCCGCTGCCTTCTCCAGTATGTCTCCGTGGGGCCCCGGCGTGCATCACAGCCCATTCCCTAGCAACTCGTTCAAACTCCTTTGGGTCTGAGAGAAGCATTCGAGCAACCTCTGCATCCTGAGGGTCTCGGGGCTCGGGTGTGCTAAGCAGGGACTGGAGCGAAAGAAGAGCCGATTTTATCGTCAAAACCGGTGACCAGGCAGACGAGAGTGTGTCCAAGCAGATGGCACCCTAGACAGCAGACATTACATTAGCATTCTATCTTCCTTAATATTGTACGCAGTATTGTATTTTTTTTTTTTTTTTTTTTTTTTTTATCCGGATTATGGAGAGATATACCGTCTGACTACTGATATTTGGGTGCCAGACCCGAGTGTCGAACTTCATAACCGGCGGACGGAACGGGTACTCGGTTGGAATTGTTATGTCGACCTTGAACGTCCCGCCTTCGTAGGCAGTGCCAGGCGGCCCGGGAAAGCTGCCCTTTAGGCGTGTGAGGTCATCTTCCGAGATAGGATCTACCGTGATTTGCGAGTGGCGGTCGGCGTGGATATCGGCGATTTCCTTGGTGATCCGGCGGGTGCGGTTGGAAGCCATGATGCGATGTGATATCAGGCTGACCACTGCTGTCTCTGGGAAGCCCTCTCGTTGTGCACTGATAGCTATATGACGTTGGCAGCGGTGATGGGCGTTGGGGAGCGGGGGAGCTAGACAAGACAGCCTTGGAGCAGTTAGAGACAGATGGTACGACCAGGCAGCGCCAGACAAGACGGAGATACAGACAACTAGAAGAAACTAGAAGAGCCAGGGAGAGAGCGAGGCTCAAATTGGAGGAACGGAGGGCCTGAGTAGCTACCTTTATATCTGGGCCTGGGATGCGGCGGACGGGAACAAGCCAGGGGGACTGCAGGCGTGTGCGAGACTGTGAGTCAAGGCAGCAGGCGCCGAGCGGTTTGGCCGGCCTCGCTGTGCTGCGGTGGTGGTGGTGAGTTAGTTATGTGACAGGCTGCGGGTGTGAGGGAGATCTCCGGCGTCTGCCTGGCTGCGTGACGTCGTCGCGGGTTGGCGGCCTAAGGGGGGTGCGGGATAGCGATGTCTGCGGTCCCTTTCGGCTCTGCTGGATAGGGGATCGAGGTTTGCTGGCGTGCTGGCGTGCTGGTCTGGTCGTCTGGTTCGGCGGCGGTGATAGTCGAGGGTTGGGCAGGGCGAGTGGTTGGCCGGTGACCTCACCTGCGACTAGCTCGCTATTTAGCTTAGGTCGTTATTTAACTAAATTTAGCTAACCGCCCGAGGCTGCTGCAAACAGTTGACGTGTTAGGCGGGTCGCCTCATTTTGGCTTGAAAGTACATCAGGGGGGAGACAGTAATAGCGTTGTATTAACTATTAGGTAACGGAGTGAATACAACAAGTAGTTAGTTAGTTGTCTAGATGGGTTGCGAGCCCTGTTTCTGGCTAATATCACACACGCTGGATCCTCGCTCTGCCCGGCGGGCCTCTACAAACCGAGTCGAGGCTTCAAACTCGTCCCTCTCCTCGCCCTCCAAGCTGGCCAGTCCGGCTTCTCGCAGCTGGGAGAAGTATTCCACGGCATCGTCAAAATCTTCCACGGTGGTCCAGCCGTCTGACTGGACTCGGCTCTGCAGCATCTCCCAGAAAGCCTGTGCCGCACTGTAGCCCTTTGACTCTTCGCTATGTTCAGAGCGTTCTTCGGGCGAGAAATGATACAGGCATTCGCCGGTTTCAAAGATCCTGGGCCAATCCCTAGGGCATCTCTGTTAGCATTTATCCGGATTCATGACCAATTTGCTATATACCTTTCAACGTCAATCAGAGTGTCCCTCAGGGGTACAATGTGGTCATCCCATGAGTTTCCAGCAAAGCTCACGAGCTGAGCCAATGTTTTCCCATGGGGTTTCCTAATTGCCCTGTCAAGAAGAGGGTTGACTCTTGCCGTCCGGTCTTCATAAAGGTATACCTGGATAGACCGTTGGACCTGGTCTCTGACACGATCCCTCTCTTCTTCGGGCAGCGTTTTAAAGTCTTCGGGAAGTCTCAACTGGATCTCTCCATGGTAATCGATCAATCGAGGGGTTATGGCCTGGAGAAGCAAAGGCGCAATCCAGACAGACTGCCAGTCAATAAGGCTAGAAATCCTCCCATCTTGGACAAATATATTACCATCGTGGATGTCAGGATACCAGAGTCAGAATCATCGGGAAGGAGCCTCGAAACAACAGATAAGTATTTCTCCAATAAGGCGATGTGGTCCTGGGGTGATTTTTGACTTCCTTTGCCCCTGGGGTAGCCAGATATGATGGAATCCCTCCGTGCATACTGGGAAATCCAAGCAATCTCGCGATGGGCTATGGACTCCACATACCCACTAGCAGATTTCCCTGCACCAAAGCAAAAGATCTTTAGTCAAGGATAAATGTCAATTAAATCAGGTTCGTAACTCACAAGGTCCTCGGTCCAGATCCATCAGTGCTCGCTCCTTTTCCCAAAACTCCCGGCGAGTCGTAGGGCCGATGACGAAATGCTTTCTAACCTCATCCTCAATCCCCTGTGCGACGTCACCACTGATATCTGCCGGCTGACAGCCAGGGAAAGCGTCTTTGGAAAAATATAGTGACCCATAGCTAATATGCAAATGTTTAGTACCGCCTCCTGCAACCTAGTGACAGGGCTGTACGTACTGGCCAAAGGTCACAGAGAGAAGTTTCTGCTCTATGGAAACAATATCATTGATTTATCACTCCTATCATGTAATTTCATTTCATCCCATGTTTGAGAGAGCTGGGTGCCTTTAGCCTCTTCCATAATGATATACTCTGCACCTACAGAGTTATCAGAAGATGAAGACCATGCTAACACTTTAGGAACTGGTATTTTAAGCATTGATCTTGCCTATGCACTAGGGTCAACTCTTGCAGTTTTTTGCCAGATATTCACGGTGCGGGTAAGACTAACAAATTCCATAGTAACAACTTCCGACATAGTCGTATACCGAGGCGGACCGGCATCTGGATGGGGGATTCGAGCTATTGCTACCGCTCCGTCATCCATCACAAGTCGGAAGACTTTGTTGAAATTGCCTTCTCCAATTTTTGACATTGAAACACAGTTATGAGAACCCAGAGTGCGTGCCACGGTGGCCTGGAGTTCCTGTATATTAAATTCTCGGTACCGTTCAAGTAGCTGCTGCTTCTCGTCCCAGAGCCATCGCCCGGTAGTATAGCGAAAAAACTCGCCTACATCTTCTCCATGGGACGCCATGGAATTGAAGTGCCTTTGTACTAAACGAGATGCTGAAGAAGTTCTGATTTTGATGACTGACGGGCACAGCAGGGCTCGCAGAGCATCCATCAAGGTCAAGGACGGATGATAATAACAAGACGGTGAAGGAGAAGTATGCCGCTGTCACGACATTCAAGAGCCTTCAATCTTTACTAGTTAACCAACGTGTTGACTAAGATAACTAGTGAGCTTTGAAATAATAAAAATGGGAGTGTTCCTAGGTAGGTTCTATAACTCATGGATATACGAAGTATGGGATTTGATCTTGTGACGCTGACGCTATGTATGTATTTCGTTATGAGCCACGTTGATGCTTCTAATTTATACATACTATTCTTTACGAGCATCTAAGTTGTTTAGATCCCAAATAAAGTTATTTCTCTTCCACTTTCGTAGGTAGGCGAAATTTGAGTAGTAATATAAAAGGATCACTAGAGTTATAGTTGCACGAGAATAGTTATAGTGATCAATACCTGTGACGACCTAATAACTGGGTTGCTTTAACCCCCAGCGTTGAGAAAGCTCCAAGGAATGTTTTTGTTCAAATGTGGGCGGATGACATAACCAAGCAGTTATATTACTAAGCAGAGCTGGAGCTCCAAAGTCTGACAACATCGACACCTTGCTCAAGCATTCAGCAAAGGCTTCTAGAGTGTTGAGGCGGCACCAGCGAGCAAGCCATACGGTTATTTATTGAGTAATATACGCAAGCATAGTTGATATACTGGGCTGAGACGTCAACCGAGTGGCCAGCTTGTCACGATGGTATGTATGCCTTCCGCTCTGATATGTCAAAAGGACTACTAAGCCGGCCAAATAGGGAAACCAACCGTCTAGCATGGGCGGCCAGGGTGGAGAGGGCAAAGATGATAAGGATAAGAAGGTATGCCTCCATTTTTACTCATGTGCAAGTATTCCATCGGAACATTCACTTACTAGGCTCTACAGAAGGAGAAGCCGAAGTACGAACCACCGCCACAGCCAACCACACGCATCGGGCGAAAGAAACGCAAGCAACAAGGTCCAAATGCCTCTGCCAAACTACCATCCATTTATCCGACTTCAAGATGCAAGTTGAAATACCTCCGCATGCAGCGCGTGCACGACCATCTCTTGCTTGAAGAGGAGTACGTGGAGAATCAAGAACGTATTCGCAAATCCAAGGCCCAGGCTTCGTCAACTCAGCCGTCGACGGACGATAACAACAGTGCTCTGGACAGAAATGCGGATGAGCGAGGTCGGGTGGACGATATGAGAGGCAGCCCCATGGGGGTGGGAAACCTGGAGGAGATGATCGACGATGACCATGCGATTGTTTCCAGCGCCACAGGGCCGGAATATTACGTCTCTATCATGTCATTTGTCGATAAGGACCTGCTAGAACCGGGAGCTAGTATTCTACTTCATCACAAGTCAGTCTCGGTCGTTGGTGTTCTCACGGACGATGCTGATCCGCTTGTATCCGTTATGAAGCTGGAGAAGGCGCCTACGGAGTCGTACGCAGACATAGGTGGTCTAGAATCACAAATCCAAGAAGTGAGAGAAGCTGTCGAGCTGCCATTACTACACCCAGAACTCTATGAAGAGATGGGAATCAAACCACCAAAGGGTGTCATCTTATACGGTGGACCGGGAACAGGCAAAACTCTTCTTGCTAAAGCTGTTGCCAACCAAACGAGCGCTACTTTCCTTCGAATCGTCGGTAGTGAACTTATTCAGAAGTATCTCGGTGACGGGCCCCGCCTTGTCCGCCAGATCTTCCAGGTCGCTGCTGAACATGCCCCATCCATCGTTTTCATTGACGAGATTGATGCAATTGGTACGAAACGTTATGACTCGACTTCTGGCGGTGAGCGAGAAATTCAGCGTACTATGCTTGAACTTCTTAACCAGCTTGATGGTTTCGATGATAGAGGTGATGTTAAAGTCATCATGGCCACGAATAAGATCGAGTCCTTGGACCCTGCGCTTATCCGTCCTGGCCGTATTGACAGAAAGATTCTCTTTGAGAACCCTGACCGTAAGTTGAACCCTTCCCCCAGAATCAACTATCGAATGCACACTGACGGGCCCTTAGAAAACACCAAGAAAAAGATCTTCACCCTCCATACTTCTAAGATGTCTTTAAGCGAAGACGTCGAACTCGATGAATTCATCACTCAGAAGGACGATCTCTCTGGTGCAGATATCAAAGCCATATGTTCTGAAGCAGGCCTTATGGCCCTCCGTGAACGCCGTATGCGTGTACAAATGGCAGATTTCAGAGCAGCAAGGGAACGTGTCATGAAGACCAAGCAAGAAAACGAGCCCGAGGGACTTTACTTGTAGTCCTGCCTTTGCTTCTATGCGCCGTCTATCTGTGTAAAATCATTCAAGCAAGCTCTTTTTACACGCTCATAAATTGATATTAGACCATTCCATTCAAACACATTTCACATTTCACCTACTCCGTATAGTACAGACTTAGTGTGGCATCCTCACTCACGCCGTTGGGTAATTCATATGAAGCCAAGGGTCGTTGAGGAGTTCCCGCGCATTACTTCGCTCCTCTTGCTCCCACTCGATCATTCTCTTCACAATCTTAAAAAACACTTCCTTTTTCTCCCCTGTGGCTGTTGGAATGGTGTTTTCGAAGATGAACTTTTCCCTAGGGCCTAGTGCTGTTTTTAACCCTACTGGGGATTGACTACATGCAAATCCAACCACTAAGAGAGCGTAGTTACTTATACCCAGTTTCTGGTTTATAAAACGGAGAAGTTCACTACCAGTTATCGAGTAGCGGTATTGGAGGCGGGCTCAAAAGGCTGTAATATATGGAAGATGGGTTGCATCATCATATTGATACTCATCCTCAGGGTCAACATCGTTAAAAAGTGTTTTCCTCTCCGAGATATCCCTTAGCTTTTGTTTGGGGATTAGCAGTTCAACTTCACCCAGGATCCAAAACTCACTGCTATGCGTAAACTCCCATATATCGGTGCTGTATGTATAACTAGCGTCAAGAATGACTTCAGGAGTACGGCAGATCTTAGCTTCGATTAGTCCTAGGTTTGGCACGTCCTATAGCAGCCAGGCTAAAATCTGATCATAGTTCAGATGGTGGTCTTGACATTTCTCCCATAATCGTTTCTAGATAGGTAAATAATTAGCCAAGTTAGTTGGGGTTGTTTGAGTCGTATAGTGAGGAAAGAGACTTGGTACGGAGTACTCCATACTCCATACTCCGCTGGGAAAATTAGAATTCCGCGGTAAAAGTGGGTCTTACAGGAAGGCGCTTAAATTATAACCTTATCTGATGCACGTGATATTAAAGCTTAATTATGCAAACGGCACAAACTTTACAAATCAGGCAACTTAGCTCGTTCGTTATTTCTCGCCTCTCAAAGTTGCTAAGACAGCTTTAGCTTACATTTCTAGAGTCAGTCTATCAGTTACACCATGGAGGGATTCGATGAGGAAGAGTTTAAGAAGTTTTTCCCCAGCGGCTTTGGGAAACAGACGAAAGAAGCCGACATCAAGACCCAGATTGATCGAACGAAACGAAAGGAGCCTATCGAAACACCCGGCGCGCGAGCAGCAGAAAAGCCGGCAAGCCCTTCGCAGGAAGCCGCCGAAGATAAAGATGGCGGAGATTCGGACTCAGACTCAGATTCACCAGAGGATGAATTCCCAGTTTCCCATAACCTCGTCTTTAAAACGCACGATCGAGCTGTGACGACGATAACACTCGACACTGCCGGAGCGCGAATGATTACGGGTTCGACTGACTGCACAGTTAAATTCCATGACTTTGCATCATTAACACCTTCAACATTACGGGCGTTCAAGTCGGTAGAACCAAATGCAAGGAAAAACGCAACCTCTTCATCCGAGATACATCCTGTCCACATTGCGAAGTTCAACCCCATTTCCCCCAGCCAGGTCCTAGTGGTATCGGCCACGCCGCAAGCAAAGATTCTGAGCCGAGATGGCGATACTCTTGCGGAGTTTGTGAAGGGAGACATGTATCTGAGGGATATGAAGAACACGAAGGGCCATATATCTGAAGTTACCAGCGGGACCTGGAGTCCAACGGACTATAACTTGTGCGTCACTGCCGGCACTGACAGCACACTACGTATCTGGGATGTCAATGATCCTAGAAGCCAGAAGGAAGTCATTGTGCATAGATCAAAAGTGGCTGGGTCTGCAGGTAGGAGTAGGATGACAGCGGTTGCCTGGGCATCGCCTACGCAGGGAGGACCAAATGCTCTGATAGCAAGCGCTCTTGATGGCAGCCTTGTTATGTGGGGAGGAGATGGACCTTTTACCAGACCGAGTGCCGAGATCAAAGATGCACATACGAAGGATTCATGGATCAGTGGGTTGGATATCAGCCCAGATGGACGGCTGGTGGTCACCAAGGGAGGAGACGACCTGATTAAGCTGTGGGATACCAGGAAATTCAAACAGCCGATAACGACTGTCTCACACGTATCTGGATCAAAGTTTTACCCGACTTCTAATATCCAATTTTCTCCAACTGGAGCGAACATCGTGACGGGTTCTGAGACCGGACATCTACATATACTGAATCCTGCTACCCTCAAACCCGAGCTGGTTACTCTTGTGACCCCCGACTCACCCCTGATTTCCGTCTTATGGCATGAAAAGCTCAATCAAATCGTCACTGGATCTGCTAACGCGGAAACGCATTTGCTATATAACCCGTCCCTCTCGCATAATGGAGCTCTCACGATAATGTCCAAGGCACCAAAGCGACGACATGTCGATGACGATCCAAACTTCACAACTGACATCTCTCTCGGTTTCTCGGGCGAGGGCATTGTTAACGGCAGCGGAATCGCAGCAGCTAGCTTTGCAGCTAGGCACCCCAATGTTGGACTCACAGCTTCAGGGCGATCGAGAGATCCTCGTCGGCCTCACGTACCGGCCCAGACGCCCTTTGCCAAAAGCCAGCCTGACGAGAAACACATCCAGGACAACATTCCTCTCAGTTCGATGAGAGATGAGGATCCTCGCGAGGCACTTCTAAAGTATGCTGAAGCCGCCGAGAAGAATCCTATATTCACCTATGCATGGAAAGACACCCAGCCCAAGACTATCTACGCCGAGCTGAGTGACGACGAGGAGGAAACCAAGGGGAAAGGCCCTGACAAGAAGAGGATAAAACGGAATTATTAGCTGGAGGTCTATAACGGCCATGACTACCGTGGGAGAGGGCGATATGGAGTAATAATATATTGTAGAATAAGTACATCAGGATTCATAACAGGCATAAAAAGGCGCAGCAAGCTGGGAGGATTTGAAACCAACTATCGAAATATATACCCTTGTGACATCTAAATTTTCAGACACTCGCGATTTTCTCCATAATACGAAGCCGAACTTTTGCCATCGAGCATGCTGTGCTACTTGATGCTGCTGGCGCTGCTCGATTTCTGCTCTTCTTGCATGGCGTAACCAACGTAGCTCTACATACGGCGGACACTGGACATAGTTAACCAAACCATCCACAAACCCAACGTCTCTGCGGCCGTCGTCGCCATCACCGTCACCAGCACCGCTCAAGGCACCTTTGATAAACACTCCTGACGCACCTTTTGCAGCTTTGACTCCACTGAATTAGTTTAGCTGCATATAAATCACAAGCTGGGCTTTCCGCGCCCGTTCTGGTTGGTTGGCGCGCGAGTCATCCAAAAATCCCAGCCATCCACCACGCTGGGGGGCGGCCGTCCAAATCCTCGCATTCCCTGGCATCTCTTCATGCTCTCGCCTCTCTAGAGTGCGTCGCGGACAAAGGCGCAACCGTCTTAGGAGTCCCGGTATGACGAGCAGGCGGATCAGTTGCTGTCGCTAAGAAGACGAAGAAGAAGAAGACGAAGAAGACTGTTTACCCCGAGCCCTGGTTGACTAAATATTTACTAGTTATCGACGGCCAGCTAGCTCGAAGACCTGACCAAAACCTGGCTCCGACCTGCGAGCGCCCTGAGAGCGGATGAAGGCTTGATAGCAGCCTCATAATCTGCCCTCTACATGCGGTAGACCCTCTACGGCAGCCGTCAAAGGAAGCCCTCAAGAGGCGTTGGCTAGTTAGGACGGCCGGTGTGCAGCATCAGGGACATCAAGCAATAGCCGGAACGCCCTGGTTATTTGGCCATCCAGTTACAAGCAGGAAGCAGCACTTTCGAGGCCGAGAAGAGCTCCTTTCCCCCCTCTGTGACAATGCTTGTCGCCTTTCTCCTCTTCCTTATCGCCGAGCAGGTCTCCTCCACAGCACTACCTTCGCCGTTACACCAGTCCTCCTTTGCTGCTGGCAATGCTCCCGTCCTCATCGGCGAGAAGCCTGGTGAAGGCGGGCATGAGAGAGACCCAATCAGCGAGTGGTCCTCTACGATAGGAATCGTCACTGCGATTGTAGGCAATGTCCTTATCTCGGTTGCCCTGAATATCCAGCGTTATGCTCATGTTCGTATTGAGCGCGAATATGAAGGGAATATACTACGGCTGAGGGCCGAGTGGAAACGGACCTCATCGCCACCAAGACCAGACGGGCCGACGAGCAGTTACAGTGACTACGGGACGGTAGACAGGGAGAATGCCCGAAGTCAGGATGATGTCAGTGCAACCCGGTATACTGATGACCCGGAGGAAGGTGGACGACAGCGACCACGCAAGGCGCACACTAACGGAAATGGACACGCTCATGCGCAAAGCCAGGAGAATCAATCGTCAGAAGACGAGGGAGTCGACGACCTTTTGCAGCGCTCTTTCTTATCCGACCGAACAGCGACCTCGTTTGAGAAGAGCATAGCCGGTGTTGACAGAAAGTCATACCTCCGTTCCTCATACTGGTGGTTTGGCATAGTCCTGATGACTGTGGGAGAAGCTGGCAATTTCCTGGCCTATGGATTCGCTCCAGCTTCCATTGTTTCTCCCCTGGGAGTTGTTGCCCTGGTTTCGAACTGTGTGATTGCGCCGTTCATGCTGAAGGAGAGATTCCGCCAGCGAGACTTTCTTGGAGTTGTGATTGCCGTTGCTGGAGCTGTCATCGTCGTCCTAAGTGCCAAAACATCAGAACACAAGATCGGTCCGGATGAAATATGGGGTATGATTACACGCTGGGAGTTTGAGACATATCTCGGAATCACCGTTGTTTTGATTATTGCTTTGATGTCGATAAGCAGAAAATATGGGAGAAAGACTATCCTGATTGATATTGGGCTTGTTGGATTGTTTGGTAAGATGCTTTTCATAGTTCTACTTTTTTCTATATTTGGGCTGACGTTGAAATGTATAGGCGGTTATACAGCTCTGTCTACCAAGGGAGTTTCTTCCCTTATTTCAAACACACTCTGGCATGCAATCACATTCCCTATAACGTATATCCTTGTGGCCGTCCTGGTGTTTAGTGCTGTGATGCAGATTCGATATATCAACCGCGCGCTACAGCACTTCAACTCGACGCAGGTGATTCCAACTCAGTTTGTGCTGTTCACCTTATCAGTTATTGTGGGAAGCGCTATATTATATCGTGATTTTGAATCTGCAACCGGAGAAAGGGTTGCCAAGTTTGTTGGTGGCTGTCTATTGACTTTCTTCGCCGTCTATCTCATCACGAGCGGGAGGGTCCAGAAGGAAGATGAATCTGAATCCGAGTCTGAGACCGATGAGGAGGAAGCTATCGGTCTTCACAACGAGGAACCATATCGAGACTACGTTGACTGGCAGCAAGATGGCGCACCAATACCCAGAAGACAGAGTACTGAGAGCACCGGCCCTGGTTCAAAGACAAAGCCTTCACCATCTCGCTCGCTCCAGAGCCTGGAAGAGGTCTATAACGAATCCGAGGATGAGGATGGACAGTTGACTCCGCGTGTCCGGATATCTGCTTCTCCCGGGTCTCTGCTACCCCCTATCTCGAGCTCCTCTTCGATTCTGGATCCCTCTCCACTGCCTGCTATTTCCAACCCCTGGGCAACCCCAAGTCATGAGAGAGAAGAACCAGACTACCTTGCTGCCACTCCTGGTAAGGATACCTTATCCCGCAGTGCAGACGTCTACCCTCCTCCGACCAATGTGGTCTTGCAATTCCCGGCTGCCCCGGGCGCAACGGATTCACCTCCTCGAATTTCACCTCCCCAACTTGGTCCACAGACGCCTCAAGGAAGCCCTCGACGCCGCTCCCCAACCAGAGCAGAGCAGCATAGCACGCACAAGCACTCCGGCCAGCCTCTACGAACTTCCGTCTCAGTGCATCGAAACTCTCTTTCCCGATTCTCCCCTGGTCCGCTTCTACCCCCGTTATCAGGTGGATTAAGCGCTGTTGTTGCAGACTCTCTACGACGGGGAGAAGGATCCCCCCAACAACTCAGGAGAAGCTTACGCGGAAGCACCAGACACAACTCCAAGAATAGGGTACGAGGAGGTATTCCGCTTTACCTGGACGCAGCGCTTGATCCTCGCCCTGTGGCCGAGACTGAAGTCGAGTCAGCTGGTACACCGAGGGACGGGCCTCAGATATCACGATCAACTTCAACTACAGGACCAGATGCATTCCCAAGTGAACAGCAGCGGATAAGGAGTTTGAGTGATTCGTGGAGTGGCGGCCTGTTGAACTTTGGAGGCAACTTACGGCTCAGCGGCCGTAGGTCAAAGGGGAAACTTCCCACTGAGACCTCCGAAGAGCCCGCCAGCCGCCAACCGGAGCCATGAAGCTATCCATTGCCTTGGATCCAGCCCTGTTTATACATATCACGATTCAAACCATCCTCTACCCTCACCTCTCAGTCCAAAATCTCTCTCTCTTTTCCCTTATTCGCCTTCTCTTTCGTTTCCTAGGCCCATGCTGGTCTTCCATTCTTCTTCTGTCTTTAATACATTTAATACTCCGCTATAGAGCCCAGCAGGCGATGTATCTAATTATCATCTAGCGTTCCGAATGGTGGTGATGGTTGTTTTCTTTTTCCTTGTTTTTTTCGCTGCTACTCTCGCTATTCGTGTTGATACTTGAGCGTTCATCAAAAAACCAGTCAGTCCTTTTATGCAAATAATCGAGGAACGAGTGACTTAGATTCTCTCTCTCTCTGTGTGTGTGTACATAAGATTCTTGAAATCCGGCATGAACGATAATAAGCTAACCAGAAAATTCATCTCAATCCCCTTGCTTATTGTTACTGGTATCTTCTTCGGCTCTCTCTTTGGAGTCGTCCTTGGAAGGTTTTCCATTCCCATTGCCAGCACCCTCACGTCTAACCCGAGCACCCTCTTTCAGCTTCTCCCATCGCTCTCTATACCTCTCGACCACGGCTCTAAGCTTTTCATTCTCACGGCTGACTTTTTCCAGTTCTCGTTCATTGTTCTTGATCAGCTCTTGTAGTTCCCTGATGCGAAGGTCTGAAGCAGCACTGGGTACTGCTGACGACATGGGTTCACCGATAGTAGAAGCTGCAGGGGATGTCTGGAGAGACGGTAAGATGGCGTGCTGGTTGTGCATGGCACGTATGGACTGCTGAAGAGCGAGTGACGACGACTGTGCATTCACTTCCCACATATGTAGGCGTTTCGCCAGTGTGTCAGACAGATGTCTCAGAGCCTCGTTCTCCATATGCAGCTCCTCTACGGTTTTCAAGGATCTGGAGTGATCGCCTTTGTTCTTGCGTGGCAGTAAAGTTGTGCTTCGATCCAGCTTGACAGCGCCCTTTTGTATGAAGTCTTCAGGGGAAGGGGGATTTTCACTGGCATCGACAAAGTCATCTTCGACAGACTCCAAGCTGTCTTTCACTGCCTCCTTTTCTTCCCGAGAAAGTATGCCGGCATAGGATATCATTCCACCTGTTGTGGGCACTACATAGAATGATTCAGCCGGGTTATGCGAGCCAAAGTGGCCGTCTTTGTCCTTGATGGCCCTCAATGCAGCACTGGAGATAAGCTTAGATACATCTGGGTCCTTGTCTGAGAAGCTGGTAAAGTCCGCTACGGCGGCGTCGGTGTTGGTCTTTGTGTCTGCAGCTGGAGCCTTTTGACCCGAGAGAAGTCGAGGCTGAGGGGCGTCGACTCCCAGGGGCAAGCTAGCAAAGGCCAAGGGAGCAGAAAGCTTCGATATGACGCCTTCAAAGGTCGAATAGAAGCGTTTGAATGGTTCATCCCCGGTGATTGACTTGAGACCGGCTATGGCGGTGTCTTTGATGTAAGGAGAGACGTACTCCTGCGCCGTGACGCGAGTCGGGCTGATCGGCTGACCCCAGGAGCGATTCACTTCCCGGGAACGATTCTGCTGAGAATCAGTTGACAGCTGGTCAGCCCGTCTGCCGTCTCTCTGTCTCGCCTGGACCGGGGAGCCCGCCATCCTCGCTCGGGCATTCTGAGCCGAAACCGTAGGCGAAACGGGGTTGGCATGCTGTCTTTGGGAGGGTATCCCCCTTGCAGACGCTAGGTTTCCGGCAATCGACGAATTTCGAGACCCGGAGCTGGTCTGTGAAAGCAACCGTGGTGGATGCTGTACATATTGTTGTTGCTGTTGCTGTTGCTGTTGTTGTTGATGGTGATGTTGCTGTTTGCTGTGCTGTTGGAACTGCGGCCCAGCAGTCAACCCAGACCCCCTATGCGTAACAGGACTGGCTGTTGGATTGGGAGCCAACTCCTCTGCGCCGCCCGAGAGCTTCCGCTCTGCTTCTGCAGCGGACGGAGGATTCTCATGTTGGAATCGGATGATGGTAGCCAGTTGCTTGTGGTGGTCTTCGAGCAGTCGAAGCGTCCTCGCAGCCTATCAACGCATCCAGATAGTCAGAACGAGACTCTCTCTCTCTCTCTCTCTCTCTCTCTCTTCGGTTCCTGACTAGCCAGCTCTTACACTTGGGTCTGTAATGGACAGTCGAGCGGTTGCAAACTCGCCCGCTGCGAGATCATGCTCCTCGCTCGCGGCGACGGGGTTCGACTTGCGGGTCTCATGAAGCGCATTCCGGGAGTGAGTATGAGCCTGGACACACGTAGATAGACAGACACGTTAGAAACACACACACAGAGAGAGAGAGACGAGCAGGAGGCTTACCAGCAGCAGCGGCGAGGACTCCATGGCCGCCAGAAGTCGCAGCAGGTATATCGTCAGACGAGGCCGGCAGCGGGCAAGCAGGTCATAATCCCTATTCCCTGTGCTCTGTGTACCCCCAGCGAGCCGTTGCGTGTCTCCGTGTAGGCGCTGTCAGTCGCACCGGCTGAGGTACAGCGACGTATAGTTCGTTATTGGCATCCGGACGGGCAGAAGCAGGAAGCAGGCCTGGCGATGATGTCAAGCGGGCGGTTTTGGGTGCGTCGATGTCGCGGTACTTCTTCCGCCCGCGAGATTCTGGTGTAGCGAGAAGTACCGCGACATCGCCCACTTGGCGGTCGAGGCGAGCGAAAGAAGCTCTGCGGCTTTGCTCTTCTTCCACATAGTTAACTACCATAGCAAGGACGGCGGGACGACGGACGAGCAGCCGCAAGACCAGCGGATCGAGACTTGAACTAGTTAGATGCTTGAAGAGCCGACAGCGACAGGGCAGATCCAGCCGTTCCTTTGCTCCTTTTCTCCGTCTTTCGCGCCCGCTGGTGGACAGGAAGAGGGCCCTGGGGTGGGTGGCCAGGTTGCAGCGGCCACCACCACGGAGCATACAGCGACATACAGACATTCATAACGCTCGACGGGACAGCCTTGCCTTGCCTTGCTCGACCAGGCTGCAGGACGACCTTGCTACGCCCAGTGCCGGAGGATTAAAGAGAGAACGCCGTCCGGGCTGTTCCCTTTGTCGAACACACGACTGCGAATGCTCATGTGCTGGCGCTCATGGAGAGCCATGGTGACCCTGCACCCGCAGCCGCCCCCACGAACGGCCTGAGAAAGGTGTTTACAATGCAGAATCGAAGCCGGACGACGCTGGGGAAGACTGACGGGCCCGAGACGGATCCTAGGAACAGAAGCTCGACCATTGAATCAAAGGCGGAGGAGGCGAGGCCGGCGACCAGCAGCGCTGCCTCGAGCCACAGCGACACTCCCAGCGGCATCTCAAAGCTGCTCTCGGGGGCCAGAAGACGGAACCGAAAGAAGGGCAATTCGTCTACCTCGTTGAATAAGGACGCCGAGCAGGTCGAGGGCTACGACTGGCAGGCCGGGGAGTCAAAGGTCTCCCTGCCGTCGGTAGAGATCAATGGGCATCGCCGCAGGTCCATGACGAACCCAGAGAGCAACCATGTCTCAGACTGCTCAGAATCAGATGTGTATGTGTCTTGCTCGTTTTATTTTTGTCCCGCATGCTGGATGCTGAATGCTAACGATGTACAAAAGCCACTCCCGCGGGGATCCGGTAGCATCTACCCCCGAACTCGGCAACTATAAGGATGAAATCGACAGCAACGCCGGCGGACTACGCTCAAATACAGCATCAGAGGTCAGTTTTGACAGCTTCAAGGGTCCCTCCAGGAACTCGTCCACCTTGGGAGTCTCCCCAGATAGACCGTCGACGTCTCCAACCGGCCGGAAGCTGAAAGAAGCATTCGTTCACCGGATGACGAACAAGAGCACCGATACCAGTCCCAACAGGAGCTCTGGGAAGCTATCCGGCAGCAACAATGTGAAAGATTCCAACGGATCTGTAGATGGCGGATCCTCCTTGAGAACGCTACCACCTATACAAACGGCACCGCCGTTGCCCCATCCAATCATAACAACAACTTCCCTTGACGCTGGTCGTCAAGGAACTGATAAACCCGCCCCCTCGAACGGAAATCCACAGACTCCTCCAACGTCCAGGAACGCACCGGAAATAGTCACCACTGTCACCCCTCCTACTCCTACTAACCGCGAGTTCAATTCCCAGCACGCTCCTCTGACCAACATCGTCAACTCCACAGAATCTACGCAACATGATACCCCCGAGCCGCCGCCGTCCAACATTGTTGTCAGCCCTTCAGGTAACATGATATCCCACCGCCGCGTACGGTCAGCGTCTGCCGCTCACCGATCAAGTAAACTATCCAATTCATCAGTCCCTCCCGTATCCCCCGCACCAGAGGATCCAAAGTCTCAGGGAAAGTCGTCCACGTCACAATTCGGGGCGGGTTTCTTCTCATCCATGGTTTCTGCGGCACAGAATGCTGCCACAACTTTAAGTAGCAGCTTAAATCCCCAGGCCAAGGGAAATAAAAGTTCCCAAGAGCAGAACCTTGAAGGGGATACTCGAGACTTAGGCGAGCAAGAGAATCCCGCAGCTACCCCTGGAGGCGAGGAAAATGTCGCCCCCCAGGATGGCAAAAAAGAGCTGGCTGTCAACACCCTTGGTACGGGTGATCTTGACTTTAGTCATCTTGGACTGGAGCATCTTGAAAAGGCCGCAGGTGATGATGAAGGCAGCAAGTTGGACGTGGCTGGACGACCTCGTGCAAAAACCGCAGTCTCACAACGTGACGAACTTGCTGCGCGCATGGAAGACGTACGGGCTGCCCGGGCTGTTTCTATGGCCTATGGAAATACCCCAGGAACTCCCATAGTTACCGTGGACAGCATTAATACAGACAACCAGCCTGCAAACCCTTTGAACACTGTGGTTAGAGATAACGCTGGTGAAAATACTCCCCCGGGGGGCAGCGTCCACAGTGAGACGGCCGAAAGTCTTAAACAAAACGGCAGTCTTAGGAGCCGCCGTGCTCGCAGGGATCGTGGTTCCTCTGCTGCTACAACAAATACTACAATCGGTGCACCTATCGGAACAAACCTCACCGCAAGGAATACCAGTATCCCCCGTCTCACCGGGTTCGCCGTTGCCAGTAAGAAACGAAATCGTGACTTTCATTCGCTTTTCCGCAGTGTTCCCGAGGACGATTACCTGATTGAGGACTACAGCTGTGCATTACAGAGAGAGATCATCCTTGCAGGCCGACTGTATATCTCTGAAGGCCATATCTGCTTCTCCAGCAACATCTTGGGATGGGTAACGACATTAGTCATTGCCTTCGATGAAGTCATCGCTATAGAAAAGGAGTCTACAGCCATGGTCTTCCCAAATGCCATTGCCATACAATCACTGCATGCGCGCCATACCTTCCGCAGTTTGCTCAGTCGAGATGCAACGTACGACTTGATGGTCAATATCTGGAAAATCAGCCACCCGACACTCAAAAGTTCCATCAACGGAACGCATATCGACCAGGGCACTGGAGATAAAACTGAAAAGACAGATGACGTCTTTGACGATAGTGCCTCGGACTTGGACGATGATGACGAGGTCTACGATGAAGATGAAGACGGTGCTGAGATTACTAATAACGGGAGCGAAGGCAACAGTGTAGCGGGCAGTGAAGCACCAGACCAAACACAACGCATGCTTCGAAAATCCTCTACCGTCCCGCTTTCTGCTATGGGGGCTCCTCAGGCTCCCGGTCCCGGTGAAGAAACAAAGCCAGGTGAAAACGGAACCAGTTCAAGCCCTGACTTTCCGGGTCCTAAGACCCATGCACCAACAGAATACAATGACCCTGCTGGACGCTTTGACAAACTGATCAAGGATGAAGTTATTCCAGCTCCCTTGGGACAAGTATACGCTCTCGTTTTTGGTATTCCTTCGGCTGCCTTCATGTCCAAATTTTTGGTGGATTACCAGAAAGTCACCGATCTGCAATTCGAGGATGACAAAAAGGGTCTCACGAATGAATCCAGGACGCGGTCATACAACTACATCAAACCGTTGAACGGCGCAATCGGCCCGAAGCAAACAAAATGTATTAGCTCTGAGCAACTTGACTTCCTCGATCTTGAGAAGGCGGTTCTTGTCACTCTCACCACCCAGACACCGGACGTGCCCAGTGGAAATGTATTTTCGGTGAAAACCAAATATCTCCTTACCTGGGCCCCTGGGAATGCCACAAGGATGGTCATGTCGTGTCTTGTAGAATGGACAGGCAAGAGTTGGATTAAAGGTAACGCACCAGTCGCTATCAGTTTACTATAATTGCTTTTTTACTAATAGACTGGTTAGGTCCAATCGAAAAAGGTGCTAGTGATGGCCAACTTACTTTCGGCAATGATCTCGTCAAAGCGGTCAGAGCTGCAGTTGCCCGTGGTCCTGGGATTAAAGCCGGGCCAAAGGGCAAAGGAAGACGCATCCGCATGGCAGCCGAAATGGCAGTTGCCGCCAAAGACCAAGCTGCTCTGGATTCCGCCAAATCCCAGCCCGACAACGGCTTCCTGTCAACCCTCTATGGCCCCTTTGCTCCAGTGGTGGATATTATAAAACCGTTCTGGAGCAGCAATATGACTATCGGTGTTCTCGTGATTCTTCTCGTCACTATGTGGTTCCGTGCTTCCGTCCCTGGCTATCCAACTTCTGGAGCTGGTCTCACGTCACATTCCGTGCCCGAACGGCTAATTGCATTAGAAGAACTATGGCAGCGAGAAGAGAATGAGCTTTGGGACTGGCTAGAGGAGAGAGTAGGGCTAGATGGTCTCTCATTCCCAGTTGTTGATAACGCGCATTCCCGAGACGACAAACAGCGGCCCAACCGCCGTGCTGAAAAGGAGTTTGAAAGTCGTCTACATCGCGATAGAATGTCTGAGCGTGAAGCCGAAAATGCCATCCGAGTTACACAAGAACGCCTCGAGACGCTGCAGAAAATTGTCGAAAAGCGGAAACAAAACCGCCAGGCTTCAGTAGAGGAGCAGACCGAACCTCCTTCAACCTGACTGACAGGGCAAGAATATGTTTCTAGTATCTTGCCTTAAACCTGTCATTATCATTATAACTTCGTTTACCAAACGAATCACCGCATTGTCGTTGTTTTCTATATTTTCCATCCCTGTACATCATACATTAGCCTTACACCGGCTGTTTCCTTTTGTTTCTGCATAACCGCATGTTTTACTTACCGTTGGGCGTATCTTCTGGTTCAAAAACGTCGAGTTTGTTTGCTCTCCTTTACTTTACTGCTTAATCGAGTGTTGGAGTTAGGCTGGCGTGCTATCATTTATCATATTCTCTATGTATAAAATCAATTTATCTCAAATGCATTTCTTAAGAAATCCTTCATGCAACTATCGTGTTTCTTACTAACGCTGCATATGTAGGCCTGCTTTTCTCTATGCCAACTACAATGAGTGATGGTATTTAGTTCATGTCGTTGGCGCCTTTGCCCAAGTAGAAACCAATATATTTAGTAAACGGGGAAAAATAAACAGAGAAGATAAAGCCAGGTATATCATTAAGGAAAAGAAATCATCTAAAGCTTCTTCTCAAGCCCTGTGTGAATATCCACCATCAACGCATTTAGCTCCTTCGCAAAATCACCCCCGCCCTCGATGTCCAGGGCCTTGGTAATCCACTTTTGGGCTTCCTCCCATCTTCCCATCTCAACAAGACACTTTCCGCCTCGCCACCAGGCTTTACCATTTCCCTGCTCGTTACACTCCACGCTAAGCTGCGCATCAACCCATGCTTCAGCCCAGAGTTGCTGCTGCATGTAGGCCTGTGCTCTGTTTGCATAAAGCGCAGATAGCTCCTCACGCACTAAACCAACAGGCTCCCATGCTGGTCGCCCAAGTGCCATCTCAATAGCAAATGTATACATCTTCACGGCCTCCGCAAAGAGAGACTTTCGGTAAGCAGCGTTGGCTGTGTCGCGGAGTTTCCCTATTTGTGCGCTTCGCTTGGGATTTACAGGTCGAGGTGGGGGAGGGATATTTGGGGGATCAAGACTGAGGAGAGTACGGTGTGTTTGGTTTATGGCTTCGAGTAGGGCATTGAGCTCGGCGGAATTGGAAGTGGGGTCTGAAAGTGCTTTGGACAATGGATCAAGGCGTATCGGGTATTGTATGAAGGTCTCTGCGTCTGAAGCCATGGTGATATATAAACTGTCTATCCTGAGTCAAAGGCTGCGCGCGGCCTTGAGGAATATAAGAAACAGGGGTTGATGGAACGGCCTTGTTCAACGGCGTTGTGATCGAGTTCCTGATTGAGAAAATTTGTCAATTGTTTTTGCCTAGTTGTACGGCAGAAGACTTGAATTATACTAACCTTCCGTAGTAATATAGTTAAGTATTTGAATCTGCTCGGCAAAGGCGGGTTTGTTCAAATCGAATTATCTGGCGATGCTTGTAGCAAAAGTGCTGTTAAACCGAACTTGAGACCAACTTGTTCTTCTGCGATATATGGCGCTAGTTCCTTTTTAGCCTAGTCTGTTATTGCCTTCTGGAACAGCGCTCGGACCACACTCTAACTTCACGAAGAAGTCTAGAAAAGGAAACTTATGGAACAACACGAACTTCATGGCCATGGCGTGGGCTGGAGAAGCGGAGGTCTTCACGCAAATTCAACTATTAAGATACTCGCAAAGGAAGCTTCGCGCAATATCTGCACTATTTGTTTTGACACCCGATTAAGTTCTTCTCCTAGATCTGTTAGACTGACTGGCTATTGGCCTTCGGCAGTTCGGTATAGTGGTTGCCTCTATCGCACCTGATGCTCTCAAGGATACAGATATCGACAAACACATCCCTTCCCTACTAAAAGTCCACGTATAAAAAAAAACTACTAAATGAGGTTTAATGCATATATAGATAAGACCTATCCCTGCCTGGTTTTACTTTAATATTCGTCCGTCTCATGGGATACCTTATTATCTCGGTCACAAAGAGAAAGTATCTTGGCTAAAATCTCCTTAGGAGTATCAACAACTCTCTGCAAGAACCTATTCGGCGAAAGGAAATCGGGGCTCGTTTGTACTGATGTCTCTTTGTCCGCTGTGTAGCACAAGCGGTTTTCGCTTGCTTTGTTTCTCACCTGTGACCGTGGACGATCCTCTGCGCCTCTTTTGCCTCGAACCGAGGAATATCTTCATCCTCCACAAAGTGCATAGTACTGGTGGTATTTAGCTCCACACCCTGCACATTACAGGAGATATTTACCCAATTATGAATTCATGGGCCTTGTTCTGACAACCTGCCTAGCCGCGTGTTGTGACACAGTCTCAATGGAGCAGCATGATAGCCATGCGTTATGTTACTAATGGAACCACTCTTGAAAGATTTGTTTGTTATTTGGGGCCAGTTTAACAAGCACCTACCCACTCTGGTCTGCAGTCCCACAGTACCGGTCTCAATTCCAATGCTCCGGCTTCTATCGTCATTTGGGGGCTATTTGTTGATCATAACATATTTTTAATAAAACCGTGGCTTATACACCAGGATGTATGTATATCATATATTATCCGCGGGAGATATCATGAATTTGCAGTTGATTAATGTGGATTGAATTGCTCGACCTTAATTCTCTGTGTATACCACAGTACCACTGGATTCTCCTTTCGTTTTTTTTTTCGGAGTTACAATTCATGATGGAACACTCCCATCTTTTCACAGCATTCACTATCTTTCTAAGCTTCTTTACTCTTACCCTAGCTCTACCAACCAACAGTCTTGCAACTACTGGCCATTTCACGATCGAGCAAAGACTCATAAACACCATTAAATCGGATTGGCCACCGAAAGAACTATGGAGGGGCCTCAGAAAACATCACAGACCTCTACCACCCGCTGTCTCTCGCATAAGTAGGCACGGAGGCTCTTTTGCCAATGGCACCGTCAAAGTCACTCCCGACGAATACGATACCGAATTCGTTAATGAAATTACAATCGGAAATGATACTCTCTTCGTTGACATTGATACTGGTTCTTCTGATTTGTGAGTCTTATCGTTCCATACATCTTTGCCCCAGCAACAAGCTAATGAACTGGGACTACATAGCTGGGTTTTTTCATCCCAGCTTCCGGAACAATCACAACGGAACCATCGCATCTATCATCCAGAAAAAACAGGAATAAAGCTTCCCAAACAAATTTGGGAAACCAGTTACGGTGATGGGACTGGAGCTGCTGGAAATGTATTCTTAGACAAAACCAATCTCGCCGGATTGGAAGTGTCTTCCCAAGCTGTGCAAGCAGACACGTGGGTGAGTTATCAATTTGCAGACAAAACAGTTACAGACGGGGTTATTGGTTTTGGATTTGATCATTACAATGGAGGCAAGCGATATGGCCTTGAATTTTTTGGGTTAACAACTTGCTAACACATATGTCTATAGTAACACCAAAAAAACAAAAGACTTGGTTTGGAAATATTATGGAGAAACTCGAAAACCCTATCTTTACTGCTTGTCTGAAGCATAAAGCTCCTGGGTTCTATGACTTCGGCTTTATTGATAAAACGAAACATATCGGGGACCCTAGCTATCTGCCTGTTGATAATTCAAGAGGATGGTGGGAAACTACCTTCAATGGATTTTCCACTGGACCCAATGATAATTCTACATATCGATTTAAGGCGGTTGTTGGTACGTGGCCATGAACGTATGGATATCATAAACCATGTCATACTTACAATGCCACCCAGATACTGGAACTACGTTCATGCTTCTACCCAGGGAAATTACCGAGCAATACTATTTCTCGATCACCGGTTCGACGTTTGATAGAGAGAATGGAGGTTGGATATTTCCATGCAATGCAACCCTGCCAGAATTCGCAATTCATATCAATGACTATAAAGCCATTGTACCCGGTGAGCATATCAACTGGGCACAGATCCCAGGAACCAACATATGTTTTGGGGGGATTCAGCCTGTGGACCACTCACCTGCTGTGCTTGGGGGGTCATTTTTAAAAAGTCAATTCGTTATTTTTGATCACGATGGTCCGAAGATGGGGTTCGCCGCTCAGAGATAACCCTATTTATAACATACTCCTCGATTTTAGAGTTTTGGCGTTAGGTAACCTTATTCTAAGATCTGTAGGAATTGAAGTGCTGTCTGGAGGTAAAAAATGACGGTTATAATTCAGGATCTGAATTTCAATTTGAACAATTATTTTCCTAGCCCAATGTTTTAGGTAACAAATGAGAATAAACTAAACGGTTTTGCTCGATTCATTTTGGAGCCTTTCTGGGTTGGATCCCTCTTTTACCTGGCTTGGTGTCAAAGAGTAGCTCGGCTTTACGTCAAGAGCAGGGTTATAATCAAAAAAATTCCGAGGCCGGAGGAGTAAAGACACAGGTTCTACCGGCATGATCGGGAAGTCTTCTGGTGAAGGGAAGTGGACTATCCCAAATGTGTGCCAAACAACTATATCAGTATTGTCGATGGACTGATTTGCTGTACCTGAGATCCAGGCTGGAAGGCCATGAGACGGTTCGCCCGAAGTTTGAGGAACATGCCGCCCAGCGGGGTAAATTTGGTCATCCGAATCTGAAAAATACTTCAGTTAAGTGGCTTTATCTGAATAAAGAAGAAGAAGAAGAATTATGCCGAAAGTGATGGGGGCTTACACTTGGTAACGTGAATAGCATGTCTAGCAAACCCAGCTCGTTTCCAGACCAGACTTCCTTCCTTCGGGAGGAGAGAGGGCACTTCCCTACTTACTAACTTGTAACTTACAGGCATTCTGCTATGTTTATTTAATTTGTTAATATTGGATATTTCCCAGGTACGGCTTGATGATCCATCATAGTCTGCAACGGACTCAGATGGAGTACAATATTTCGTCCTTTTGGCGTAAAAGGCGTTTCTAAATTTGTTCTGGGGACTTCCAATTTCACTTGGGCCATGGACAGCATCAACTTGGAAAACAGTGTTATTTGGCCCATCAATATTTGGATCTATGCGTAGGCAAAATAGATGCTGGTGATTGTGCGCATTTACACCAGGGTATAATTCGGTGCCCCAGCCTTTGGTATCCTCGTCAGGGTTCATAGCATAGGTATTCAAGATTCCAGTAAGTTTGATTTCCAGTTGGATAGTGCCATCTTGGTAGAATATCCAGTACACACAATATTCATAGTTGGCAGCGGTAAATATATGGGATACGACTAACTTTTGGCTCCTTGTGATAATAGTAGAATTATCCCTGAAATCAGTGTGCTTGAAGAGAATTCCAGCATCCTCTTCGTGAATACAAATGGCATCCTTGATAACTGTGCTTGCACCCGCAGCATTAACAATTGCCGCATCCATATAGTGTATGACACCCTTGCAGTCACAGCCAAGATTAAGACTGTTCGTCAAATATCCAGCCCCGTACTCTCCTATATCAAAAGCGTGTTTGCGTTGGTGAGGATGTTCTGGGTTTCCATAGGGAACAACCATCTCTGCAAGAGACAGACGATAAAAAACTGGCCTGCACTTTCCTTTGTCGTTGAAAGTGATATTGTGAAGTACGATTCCCTCTCGGTGATTGAAACCAACATGAAACTTCCAGTTTTGCCATTCTATGTGACGACCTTTAACCTTAAATGAAACGCCGTCCGGTTGAGTGATGTGTATAAGTTTAAGATCTTTCCTGAACCCTCCCTCTTTTGCTATCGCTTTGGGGTGGTAGTTTGGCGGTGGCGCTTTGCTCACATGTCGACGGATGGCCGGAACATCAATGTGGATGAATTTCATGGTATTAGGGTTGAAAATTGGACAAAAATCCAGGGGATAGGCGTACTGACAATCGTCAATTTCGGGTCGGTAGTACATTAGTGCTTGTTGGAGCCGGTCATTGTTTCCAAATCTTTCATCGTATCCAATAGTCCACGCTATTATCAAACGTCAGCGACAAATTAGACTTGAGAGCACTCGAGATTGCTACTAACTCACGGTCACAATATACTTTATGCATATCTTCCCTGGGTATGCCTATTACCTCGCACTGTTTAATGATATCTTCATCCTTTCTGGCCATGTGTTCGACAAATTGCAAATCTTCCATCGTTACTAATGGCTGAACGCCTTTCAGTAGATTCCATTCAACGACTGCGTTGGTAGTTAGATCAACTATTCCATCATAGAGTTTTCCATCAGGGGTAATAGCAACGACTTCTGCCGCTCTATGGGGCCTAGGAGAGTTTCCAGGGTCCTCAAGCCATGCCATCATCTGGGTTTTTCGTGGTTCCGATAGGGTAACAGTGTTAAATTTGAGAGGTCCATCATGAGTCTCTCTGACTATGGCAACTGCCGCATCAATCTCAGATGTAGAAAGCGGGTCAAATGGATGCAGTTGGGTCGCCTGGGGATCTCCAACCTCGGAGGGCGGCTGCTTTACTCTTTCAAAGTCCATGGTTGTACAGTAATGGAGGAAATATAGATCAGGCACTGTAGCAAGCGGATATAAAAATGGGTGTGAGTAAATTCAGGTGTCGTGTGTGTTCATATTTGAAGCACACGATACGCATATGACAATTATCACTGAATTCAATGCGGGGAAGGCAAGGGCCAGCGAGTGCAGTAAAGTACATCATGTGTAACGGCATAGACTGTAAGTATATAATCCATAACTGAGTATTCTGTCTTGGATTGCAGGTATAACTCCGCCACAGCAGGGATTGCTCATAAACTAGACCAAGATAAATGCATGCATCTTACTGCGTATCCAGAAGACTAACATAGCTAATGAGAGCTAATTTATGGAGAAGAAATGAAGAACAGGATGTGGTGTATACTCCGTGCTCGCAGTATATATATGTACGTCCGAGTTTCTGCTTTGGGAATTCACTACCAGCTTATGTAAGATACCAGTCCATATTAAAAAAGGACAGCTTGCTATCATTTGCCCGAGAGAGAGAGAGATCTACCTCTAGTATGCTATCCAGCAGGAGGAGTATTGAAGATAATATAAGAATAGCACGCCGTCTCCGTCGATTAACAAGAACAAGCCTCGATTCGTGGCAGCCCATCTAGAGCCGAAGAGTATAACCCGGTTTTACCAAACATTTACGAGCCAATGCACACAACCCGTCTGCCAGCCAAATCCCACCTCGGCAACAATATAGAAGAGAAGTCGAAAGAGAATAGGGTAGAGGATAGATAAAGAGAGAAAAAGACACCGTGTGAATGAAAAAGTAAGCCCATTTTTTCAAAACGCCATGACACTCTTGTACAACAAAGTGGTTCAAGCTCAACACAAACACCACAAGCTGAAAATGCAAGGAAGAAAACACCGAGAAGAAAAAGAACATTCGTGTCGTAGAACACACAAAGCGCCATCCTCCAAGTTTTCTAGGGAAATGTTATAGATAGTTAAAAAGGATGTTGGGTTTTTGTCGTTTGTGCGGCTATCTTTCATATTATGGGTTTGAGTTTGCTTCTTATCTTAGGATCGGGGGTGGAAATTCGCATATGCACCAGTTCCGGGGGTTATGCTACCTGTCTGACGGCCAGGTGTTTGATGGCTGTTCAAAGCTGCGTGGCCTGTGTTCGGGGTACTAGGTGTTCCTGCGGCAGAGAACATGACAGTTCCATTAGGACCGGGGGTTTGGTGAGGTTGATTACTAGGATAGAAAGGCACGGCAGCAATCTGGCCATTAAGTCCCCAGATCTGGCCGGAATATTTGGATCCATCGATGTTTCCATTGAACACAAGCTGTCTGATTTTCCAGAAAATTTCACCGGTGACGAGGGAGTCCGAACCAGCTTGGTGGGCAATGCCTACTCGTTTGACTCCTAGCTCGTCAGCAATGTCCTGAAGGCCGGACTTCTGGCCAAGGTTGGCTATAATCTGGGCTGCAGCATGGGTTAGTGGGGATCCATTGGCGGTTTGATTCCGGCCGGCGTGTTTCATGAGGTATTTTATATCAAAGAGCGAAGGGAAGAATATGTTGAGGAGTTTGTGAAAGTCCTTCTCGTCATCCGGCAGGGGCTTGCACAGCATGATTTTCATGAGATAGCCAAAATCGTATCCGGAGTGGAAGGAGATCCAGTGAACGTCATCGAGGAGGACGAGTCCAGAGCTCATAAGCAAGGCTCCAAAGTCCAGCGGATCGATGCCGTTCTTTTCGTGGAGAGAAAAGTCGATACCAGCCTTGGCCAGCATGCTAGTAGATTCCTGAGCGTACATGTCGTTTTCGAGAGAGAACTTGAAGTTAAATTGCCAGGTACATGGTGCGGGTACCAGGACGCCATTATACCCTTCCGAGTTCGCATGCGTAGCCGTAACTGGAGGAACTTCCCCATCCTCGGAGAAGAGGGTGATTCCAAGCTGTATCATCTTTAAGAGGTCAACATTACACCGTAGAGTCTGGTAGTGGTAGTCTGCTTTTGTGGTAAAGGTGCCCATGGGACGGGCGACTATGCCTGGGAACTCCGTGTCCTAGACGCCGTTAGCCACCGCCAACTAACAGTAATAAGTCACTTTTTTTTTTTTTTTTTTTGCTTATGAGGGGGATGGATGGGCTACCATGCTGATGTATGGGTATTTCTCTACTAATGACCGTAGCATGGCCATTTCCTGTGCCAGATTGTGCTTCCAGACATCACGTATCCTCGATTTGACGGCGTTAGTCTTGGTGTCCATGGTGAGGCGACCGTCATGGCCTAGATGAACCTGCTGGACTTGATGCTGTTGTATTTGCTGTTGCGCCTGTTGCTGTTGTTGTTGCTGCTGCATTTGAGCACCCCTTACAAACCCCATCTGTGCGGCATGGCTGGCGAGTCCGGTGCCACTCCCGTCGCCCAGCACCCCCGCGCCGGCTCCGGTAGGGAAGCCGGCAACTCCAATACCATTGGCACCGGGTATACTGAAGGGATTGATGCTCGACTGGGGGTTGCTGGGCCCGAACCCGGGGTGTCCGCCCAGCGAGGGAGGGGGCAGGCCGGCGTTGGACTGCGGGTGCCCAGCGTGGTGCTGGGCCTGCTGCTGTTGTTGCTGCTGGAGATGTGCTTGCTGGAGGTGAGGGAAAGGGCCCGTCATGCCCGAGGGGCCGTAACGGTTGACCGGCGGCGGCATCGATGCTACGAAGCGCGAGATGTATCACTGCGTGAGGGGGGTGAGGAGGTCGAAAGGAGCATGAGGATGTGAGCGAGCGGTTGGCCAAGCACCAGGCAGCTCACCCTGCGCTGTCTGCTCGCAGTATCGTTACTCCGGCGGTGTCTCCCGGCGTGTCTCCTTGGTCCGGCCGTCTGCTTGCTGTCGCTGTCTCCCGGCGTTCAGTTATCTGCTGGCAATCCGTCGTCGTCGTCGTCGTTGTCGTTGCTGGCCCGTCGCTTGTCGGCTTCGTCGTTCTTTTCTGCGTCTTCTTCGTCTTCAGCTTCTTCGAACTTCGCCAAGCCACGTTGCCGCATCCGGTTAGAAGCTCCCGCGGCCAACATTTCGAACCTTCACTGAATTTCGACGACGGCCGAACTTGGACTTCTTGCAAACTAGACCGACCACGCCAGACACGCCGGCATCGAGCTCAATTGACCAGCTGCTGCGTCCGGAGCACGATAGCGTCCTTACTGCGGACAGCGGACTGCAAAAATTCAGACTAGCCGGACGACCGTCGACCTCTTGCTGCATTGTTTGTTGAACCCCTCCGCCTTCGACAAGATGGCGCCTCCAAACCCAACCGGCTTCGACATGAAGACCTTCAAGGCCGCCGCCTCTCCTACATCAGAATGGGCGCTAAGAGATCCATGGAAGCGACAGTACGCTGGCTAAACTACTTTGTGTTTCTTTGCCATTTTTTGGTTGAGATTTGGAGCTAACTTGGACTCTTTGTATAGTGAGGCATGGCGATACACAGGCCCATTCTCTCGATGGAACAGATTCAAGACTGGCTTCCCAGGCCTCGGAATTGCGACTGTTGCCTTTGCCATATACTGCGGATACGAGTATGCGTTCCTGAATGACAACCATCACAGCCACAAGGAAGAGGGTCACCATTGATAGTCCATCGACACAATGAAACAAGATGCAAAGAAATGAATGCAATTCAAAAGGTCGATTATAACGTCCGGAAACCAAACATATAGAGCTACCCGCGGGGATCCTTTTTCTATTTTGGAACAGAGGCTGAGATTCGGACTCCAAGAGTCGTTGTACATATTCTATTGAAAGGCGCAAATGGGAACAACAACTTTGTACTATTGAGTCCTTACTTTTTTTTATTGCCTGATTATGTACCGCTAACCTATTTTTCGCTTTTGATATTCACATCAGGTCTATGCTGGTTCGTTATGCTAAAAGAGAAATAACCCATCTGCCACACTTTCTTCATTTCCATATGTAACCCCTTACTCTTCAAACACAAGCGCTATACCATCATCACCGGCAGTGACTATCCGTCTGCCTTCCTTATCCCCCTGTACAAAGTCCAATATGCCACCAGACTGCTCTCCCTCTTCATTCTCAGATACACCAACATGGCCTCTCCATTCTTTCAAAAGTCCATGGCCGGCAGCTACAGTGCCGCCCCGGGTATCCCATCGCCTAACCACTCCATCCATTCCGACAGAGGTAAGTAACCATGGCCTGCCCGATGACGTACCAGCAGAGGCAGTGTTGGTCTCGCAGTGAACGAATTCAACCTTCACCACAGCTGTTTCTTCATGGGCTCCACGGATATGTCGTCTAACAGCAAATCTATGGGCAACGTCAAACAGAGCAATGGACCCATCCACTGAGCCAGCTGCGAGGAGGTTCAGCGGAGGAGAGGAGAAAGACAGGGACTCGATGCCGTCTGACTGAGCTTGGAGAGAGGCAAGAAGAGTGCCAGCCCCGGAACCACCAGCTGCGCCGGCGCCTCCTTTACCTTTGGCCTTGGACTTTGCAGACGTATCTGTCAAACGAGGGAGCCCAACGACCTTGATATGACCTTCGGCACCACCAACAACAGCAAATGCGCCCGAAGGTGAGATGGCAACGGAATATAACCCCCCTTCCACAGCGAATCTCTGGTCCTGCACCGTCAACGCAACGACAGACTGCGTACCGGCAGAAGCAGTAACTCCAGCAGCAGCCGCAGCCCCAAACACATCATACACGTAAAAGCTACCTTCTTCGGAGACGGTAGCCAGCAATTGTCCGTCCGGAGTCCATGCACCAGCCGTACAAGGCGCCGTATGCTGAAAATAAGTAGCCACTATCGTCAAAGGTTCTGCAGCTTCCTCACTTGCATCCACACGGTACACCCATACACTGCCGTCACTGGCACCGATAGCAACCACATTCTTCGTCTGCTCATCGTTGCCGGCCTTACTTGACGGACAAGTAGCGATCCAGTTAATCTCCTCCACTTCCTGCGACTCGGCCAGGAACTGCCATGCCCTGCCCGCCAGATTCTCACTTGTATCCTTCCAGGCACGTAGTTTCCCATCCAGACCAGCAGTGATCACATATTCACCCCTTGGAGCAGTAAAGCACACGGCGTTCACCGAGTCCTTGTGTCCGTCTAAATGCGCTATGACGGGGAGGGATTCTCTCTCTTTACTTTGCTGCGGTGTTGTCTCGTAGCTCTTCGGCAGTAGCGGTTTCTCAGCAGCGGCAGTCTGGCTGGAGTCGAATATGTATGCGGTATCGTCTCCGGAGCCCGTGATTATGATTTCAGGGTGGATTGGGTGCTGCGCGATACAGAATATTGAGTCTGTATGCTTGTCGAAGTGTGCGGCGGAGTCGTTCTCGAGCAGTAGCTCCTCGTCCTCTTCTTCCATCGGGTGGTCATCGTCGACCTGGACTATCTCTTCTGCGTCTGCATCGTCTATGAACTCCTCCTCCATGTGCTCTCCATGGTCCTCGTCCATCTGATCTTGTTGCTGGCGCTCCGGCATCTTGTCCTTGATATTATATTGCTTTGCGATAAAATTTTGGTTGGAGGGGCGGGACGAGGGGCAGTTCGGAGTAGAGGAATAGCTATAAATCAACGGGATATATATATATATATATCACACGATAGCTCGAACAGGATTTATCTGGAAAGAAAAGCTAGAGTATCACAGAGTATATTGAATATTTATAGCTTTCTTGAAAATAAAGCGGACGGAAGAAGCTGGTAGAAGGTTTGTATTCTCAATGCCACTGATTATAAATAGGAGTTGTCTACGCTGACAAAATATCACGAGCTGTCAAAATCAACTATGAGAAGGTGAAAATATCTACAACTTCGCCTTCGCCTTCTGTCGAGCCTCCTTCTCGCGGTTTCGGAGCAGACGACGAAGGATCTTGCCGCTGGGACTCTTGGGAATGACATCTATGAACTCGACGCCGCCCTTCAGCCACTTGTGCCGGGCCTTGTGCTCCTCCACAAACTGCTGGATAGACTTGATGACAGCCGCATCGTCTTTGCCGGCAGCAGAGGGTCCCTTAACGACAAAGGCCTTGGGCAGTTCTCCAGCCCGCTCGTCAGGTACGGGGATGACAGCACAGTCGGCAACGTCAGGGTGAGAGAGGACGTGAGATTCGAGCTCAGCTGGCGCAACTTGCATTCCCTTGACCTTGATCAGTTCTTTTATCCGGTCAACAATGAAGAGATGCTCTGTTCCCTTGGGAGAGACGCGGAAGACAACTTCGTCTCCCGTACGCATCCAGCCGTCCTGGAATGTCTCTGCGGTGGCCTTTTGGTTGTTCAGGTAGCCCAGGACGACGGTAGGGGAGCGGACGACCAGTTCTCCTGGCTGGTCGTAGCCGGTCAACTCGACACCTTCCGGGGAGACAACTTTTGCTTCAAAGCCAGGGAGTAGACAGCCGGATGAGCCCAGCCAGGTGTCGTGGATGCTTGTAGATGAGACCACAGTGCAAGTTTCAGTGAGACCTGCATGCAATGCGATGTTAGTGTATCTGTCTGAGAATAGGTTAAAGGGGTCATCATCCTGGGCCTACCGTATCCCTGTTTTATAGCCCAGGATGGCTTCCAGGCCTGTAGCTCTTCTGCCGTCTCCTTGCCCAGCGGTGCAGCTCCTGTGAATATGGAAGCGACACTGGAGAGATCTACTTTGTCGCAGACTGCCTTGTTTCGCAGCATTGCAATGATGATTGGAGGCACTAGGAACAACGTGTTGATCTTATACTTTGCAATGGCTGTTAGGTACTGAGCCATGTCGAACTTGGGCAGGACGACCAGAGAATCTCCTCGGTAGGACCCAGCATGGCACAGGACAACGAGTGCATAGATGTGGCTCTGAGGCAGCAGGCCCAGGTTGACTGCCGTAGCCGAACCTCCCCTTTTAACACGAACATCTCGTTCCGGCTGCTCTTTGATCCTGATCTGCATGGTGTTTGCAATGACGTTCCTATGCGAGATCATCACGCCTTTCTATACATAAGGACTGTTAGTTTGGCTGTCGATACAGGAGTATTTCAAGAGGTTTAAATATAAATACCGGAAGACCAGACGTGCCGCTGGAATAGCACAGGAAGGCCGTCTGCTTAGCAGCTTGACCAGGTCCCCATTTGGCTCTTTTAACTGGTGGAAGCGAGTATCCCTCCGTGATGAACTGCTCGAGCGTCTTGAAACCTGCCGGTGTCTTCGCCGAGCCAGTAAATTGAGCAGGGAGGTCAATGATATACACCCTGCTCTTGGATATCCCGGCCGTTTCAGCAGCCTCCAATGCACTTGGCAAGGAGGGTAGACAGGTGAACAGGGCCTTACAGCGAGAATCTACCAGCTGATGGGCGAGCTCTGGCGCAGAGTAAGCTGCATTGGCCGCGCTCACGATGCCGGACAGCCGATGCACCGCCCAGCAGAGAACCAAGTAGTCGATCTGACTTCCAGTTAGCCAACTTTTATTTTTTAACACGAACACTCATAGCAATAGTGAAGACAGCCATGCCTTACCGAGTTGAAGCTGTAGATGCCCACGACCTTCTCCCACTCGGTCCCCTGATTCGGATGGAAGCCGAACTCCCTTGCCAGCGCTCGGGAGAGAACATCAACGCGCTCTGCCACCTGGGATATCGAGTATGTCCTGCCCGTGAGGCCACAGACAAACGGATCTCTCGACTCCGCGAACGGCATGCGACCGTTGGCCTCGTCTAGGATGAAGTCGCATATTGGTATATCATCAGGGACCCTAGGCAGCTTCCCGGCGCCGGCAGGCGGATAGAAGACCATCCTGTCGGCTCAGTAGTTAAATCAACTACTCAGCAACAGAAAGCAAACGTATGTGTATTTCCCATGCAGGAGTGAGCTCTTGAATATATATCGGTGTAATGCCGGACTATCTGCTTCGTCGCCGCAGCCCCAGCCAGCCTCCACCCCCCGGCTTCGCTTCTCCACGCGCCTGACCCGACCAACCGGCGCCCGAGCCGAGCCTTGAGTTAACCGAGGCTGCGGCGTCAACTGGCTGTGGCTCCGGCATTGACTCCGGTGATAAGAATGATTCTATGTTACTACATGAGATAGATGTCTACCGAGTAGAAGATGTAGCTACTCATGTCTCTCGAGGACTCCGAGGCTTCCCAGTCAGCCCCAAAATCCAGAATGATTGGATTCTTCTCCATTGAATGGAATATTCATATGTCAGAAGGCCGGTCAATCGAGATGTTAACCTCGTCCCTAGCCTACCGCGGCTTAGGTATTGACGAACTTGGGGGTAAGAAGAAGACCGACTGTAGAGCAACCGACCACGCATCGGGAGGATTTCTTTCATCCCTTGCAATAATCCCACGGAACAAAAAGGCCCACCTCCGCTCCATGGCAACTTCTAGCTGGCGGAGATGATAGGTGCGAGTTGCAAGCGTATTCAAAGAAGGACATCAAGGATTAAGAAGGTTGGTCACCGTCTCGCAGTTAGCAGCTTTGTTATAAATCGTCATACGGATGACTGCGCAGACAGCTAACCCAGAATGACAAGATGACATCTTGCCTCGAGGACCGGCAGGGCACTTCCTCATATTTATGTTAAACCCTCCGACCTCCCATTGCATCCTGTTGAAGAAGAGACTGAAGATACTTTTAAAGCTTCAACCCCCATCCAAGTCAATTCTTCCTGCATATTCTGCTTGTATATAATACAGCCATGACTTCTTCCGCCATTATAGATGCACTATATCAAGAAAAAAGATATATATATATTATAATTGCGCCGTAAGGGCTTTCGTAACTAATTAATTGATAAGGAAGAGATGAATCATGGCATGATAGCACCGAAGCTTGATCTCTAGAAAACCCGGGAAAAACAGAAAGATCCTTGCCTAATCGCAAGGGAGACACACCGGCCTGGAACCTAAGTAGGAGCCAAAGGACTTTATTCTTCTGGCTAAGGGGAGGACCGCGAAAGTCATTCTTATCAGCGCAAGAGACCAAATCAATGGCTGTATCCTCTGTACCCGTGGGATTAACATCCTTCTTTCCAGAGAAATATTTAGTCGCATCCACGACCTTCTTCGCTGGAACTTCTTTCTATGACCATGGCTGCGATTTGTCTTCGTCATTCCTCCTATTCAGTGGTTGTTGGCTCCCTTTGTGATGTCTCAGGAATAAAAAGAGAAGAAATGTATTCTATAATTCATTGTAGCTCGAGAACGAGTATACAAGCATGGGGAAAGAAGAGACATCCTTATCCTTGCCGGGATTTAAGTAGCTTTTATAGCTAACTATTCCCCAGTATGACTTAAGCGAGGTTTCGCCTAGCTAATAGTATTGGCGAGGTTTCAGATGTTAGCAAACGATATAGGAAACAAAGAAATCTAATAGAGATAAAGAATTATAAAAACCACATGTAAAACCAGTGGGTTCCTAGCAAATGGCGGCAAAAAGCAGCACGCGGCGGGTAGCCGCTGTCGAACCGTCACACCCTTTATATGATATGCTGCCCTAATCAATGCATGCCATTTAGTGAATGCTCCGACGGAGATAGGCCAGTAGCTGCTCTGGGCTGTAAAAGACAGGGAATTTTTGATAATTTTCTTTGTATAATATGAATGATGGGTATCATCTCGATGATCCCTTTCGAAAATTTTCGATAGGATACCGGATAGAGTCACTGTCTTCAAGTCTCATCTCCATCATATTCGAACTCCGGGATCGGGTCATAGTCGCCCTTCCAATGCTCTGAGGCGGGTACCTGGTCTGGCATCACGTACCGAGCAGTAAGGGCAAATCGAAGTCTACCTGACGGAATAACCGAGTGCTACAGTTACAGTAAGTATTGATCCCAATATGCACCACAGTTGGGGTTAAGTGATTTACCTCGTAGTACTTCTGTAGATCTGGCCCATGCATCACGGCCAAATCGCCATGGTTAAGCGCCATCGTACACATCGGAGGCGCCTCTCTTCTAGAAGTGGGCAGAGCCTGTCGAGCAGCCAAGTACTGTTCTGCAGTTATTTCTTTGGCGTTGAACTTCCGTGCAAGTTCGGCTCTTGCTTCTTCGTTTGCACAGCCTGGAAGAACCGGATCGTGTTGCAGATATATCTTGTCCTTGCCATCTCTCTTGCGGAAGCCATTGTAGTATTCGTCCTTCATGCGGATGAGCATGGTTGCCGGAGCCCCGAGTGAAAGGGTAGCTATTGTTGGACCCAGAGACGATTCGCCGTCATCATGGTACCCAATTGACATGTCCTCGAAATATCCAAGAGCAAGGAGTTCATTGGGCATTTGGAAGGCATTAGCGTCCACTGTATGCCGTGTCGCCCATTTTAGACGCTCGAGTGCACTGATGATAACCGGCGGAGCGGTGTTAAATGGTCGAGAGTCCACGCTCACGATATATTTATATGGCATTCCCTATGAACATGGTATTAGGTATAGAATATATAGCAGTGGAGGCTAGGGAAAGCCTACATAGTTGACAGCGAAGTGAGAAGTCAGAGTTCCAGCGACTAGGAGGAGGATTAAATAGTTAGCATTTATGACTGAATAAATCTAGAAAATATTGGGTACAGACAGATCCAGGCTTTGTCTTTGGATATGTCTTGATTTTCGTTTACTACCTGAATTTTGGTACCAACACGGAGAGATATATCTAAACTTTCCAAGAGCAAGAAGGGAAGAAGAAAGAATGAAAGGAAAAACTCACCAACACAAGGAGAGATCGGGTATCGTCTGAGACCTAGATCTTCCCGTTGCATCAGGCTGAAGAGGTCATCAGGCCCACCGGGACAGCTGTTTACCGTTCGGTTAGCTGCAAAATGGGTCACTATGCCGGCACCCGGAAGGACAAAGGTGTCCTTTCGGTAGTTCTTCATGTACTGGATCGTTGGCATTGAGGTGATATCCTTCGGAACAGTTGGCAGTTTGTGACCAGATGGACTCATCTCCAAATCAGGCAGTACGGATCGCAGCGAGATATGGTTCATAGGTGGGCTGTATTGAAATCCACATCCGGCTGTCGAACATTCCCATCGCCTCCAATGGATTCTGGCAATACACGCTCTACACTGCGGGCAAACGATGCCCTTCCATGCCATGCGTGTCCCAGTGACATCCGTTTGATCATTGGAGAAAGTTGAAAGGAGGTCCGGTACCAAGCTGCAAGGAGGCAGGACAACATTCTTTGGTTTGGACCGCTTTGCGAGAAACTCAGGGGCAAAAGTGAGCTGGGATGGCGGCGGTGATCCTTCCATCTTCCAGAATTCAGCACACAGCGGGTTAAGACACATCCAGCCTTGAGCAAACACTTGAGCAGTCCCAATTGAGCAAGAGAGGCAGATATGATCTGGTGCTGGAGTTACAGACTCGCGTTGTTCAAGGGGAATGGGGTCAGGAGAACCCTTGGGAGACCACCAGCTTTTTGTCGCGAGGTTGATCTTTTCGAAGCGCATCTGAGCGCCTTTGTGCTTTCCGACTTGCTCAAACCAGATATCTGTGATTCTGAAGAAGTCCAAGACATTGAAATTGTACGGAACCTTGGTGCGACAGTCCGCGTTCTTGCCCCCTATCCTGCATGTTAGATAGGGGAGCGTATAAAGAGCACATCGACTGAAATTTAGACTTACCTAGGATGAGGCCAACAGGGATCTCAAGTCTCATAGAGTTGATGAGGGAGCGAAGAATAGGCCCGTTCGGATCATGGTCTTTGGTCATGACTAGTTGACCTTCCTTCGTCTTCCTGCATGATCCGCCCCTATTTTTGTTTGATTTAGAGCCCACTTCGCCTCTGTGATGAGTCAAGAGATAACTTACACTCTGGTGATGACAACCTCATCGTCTATGTATGATCTGTCACCGCAGTCTCCATCGATGAGTACACCGCGGCAGATGTTGTCAAGGTAGTAGCAGCCTCCCTGTACAGAATGGAACCAGGGAAGTGCATCTCCAAGAACAACTCGGTCCTCAGCCCACACTGGAGGTTGACCATGTGGTTCTAGCAGCTCATCTTTGAGTGCTGGAACTACGATGTCGGCCTGGCCAGCTTGGGGCTCAATGCCATCTTTCTCAGTAGAAGAACGGCTGCTGGATCCAGATCTGGCCCAAGAGAGCAACGTGTTGGCTACAGCATATTAGTCAGTAAACATCCTAACGTGCCGTATATGAGGCTTTAGAACCTGGAAAGGGTGGTTTGTGGTTATGGTTGCGGCGGTGGTGGTATCTAAGGGGGATGTATATGTTTTGATTTCACAAAAGGGGTAGTGGTTGTTTTTTTTTTTTTTTCTAGATAGCCGACAGGATATTGTGTCACACGTGATATCGCTTGTTCCTATGGTATATTGAAAGAAATAGAGGGAATAAGGACATCAAATGAGAGTAAGTGAGGACAAGTAATGGTATCTCATAAGGAGTCTTCCCTGTTCAAATCCCGAAGGGCCTTCCTAATATCAATACAATAGCTGAGGTGGGTATACAGCCAACAACCAATAGCCAGTATATGCAGACGTGGCTTATAACAACATAGATAGGTATATCAAGGGATGATGGCCAAAAATATCAGTAATACATGGCAATATATGACATACCCTGGAGTAGTGTCTTCCTCTGAGAAGCCCTGGTCCTTCTAGTGACCCCAACGCGACCAACGACCTTCAGTACGCCGTTTTTGGTTCCAGCCATGACTCCAAAGACAGCTGAACCTGTACACGGTAATATAAGGATATTTTTGAAGCAGCAGGGGAATAGGTTCCGACAGGAATAGCTGCAATAAAGGAAGTAAAGTATTGAGCAGTGTATACCGGGACTTTTTCGAGGGATGCGAAATTGGGCTGGTCGACTTTCCCAGCGGGTAGGAAAGAGTAGAAGGGGCAGGAGTCCCCGGGGGGAATAGCGACTTAAATAGAGCAGCCAGGTAGCCTCTTACCCTCCTTCAAGGGAGGGGATATTCACCTGGGATCGTAAGTGCTGCTTTTTAGTCGACGGTGAAGCTCAATCTCGGTATGAAAGCAGCAAGTGAAATCCAATTCACAGATAGGAGTGTGAGCGCTGGAAAGCGGAATAATCACAAAATAGTGAAATGTGGATGCCTCTGTAGTAAGAGCTTTCCGCTCATGTTTGTGTGTCTCATGCACACCGTCAAGTTTTTCGTATAGAGTGAATGATTAATTAGTCAAAATACCACCGTAAAAACACGAAGTAGCTGTTGGAGCATAGAGGTCAGTTGCTGAAATAAGTAGTATAGTTTAAGGGATAGACTGACCGTATAAATGCTCCGAAGTTGACTGGAGAGCCGAGAGGATGTAAGGGTGAAGGTGAGATTGTAACCCCCGATGCGATGGTATATGGAATTTCTTCCAAGGCAAAATATCACCATATAAGAAGGTTGTAACGTACTGTATTATGGACTCGGCTTCAAGGGTGCGTAGTATGTATGTATTCTGCAACTCCAGCAGCAGCGCCAACAGACGGTTAGGGGTGAGGGTGAGAATGAGCCCCTCTACCCGATAGTATAATATATGGAACTGCTTCTTAGGCGAGATATTACCATATAAAGGTTGTTACGATGCACTGCAGTGTAGACGCCGCCAGAAGGATGCTGGGGTGCAATTTATATGGGTGGTCATGCAGCGACATCATCAATAGGCGGAAGACGTGAGCATCCGTACTCCGATGCCGTCATAGACAGCAAGGCGACTTTGCCGAATAACTCAACCAGAGACTTTCTCCGAGTTGAAGCCATCCATGGTACGGTGCTTATATCAAGAACTCTATCCATGACTGTGTAAAAGATGCCAGCTTCGGATGTGGTGGTCATGCTGTTGTTCATGCTGTTGTTGCTGGTACTATGGATAGCATTGATGTCCCCAAGCTCCCGTAAAGGAAATACAGGTGAAGTGGGGGATGATAACGATATAGTAGAGAGGCTGACCCCAGGTAAGGTAGCCTGACCCTCTCCAATAGACAGGCTGCGAGTGCCAGGGACCGGACCAAGGGACGCACCACATGGTGTATATATGTCGAAATCCGTGGTCTGCTGATGGAAGAATTGTAGGCAGGGGGTGGAGATGCGTTTTAGGTATTATAAGCATACATCGAAGTATGATGGAGGAATATCTTAGGAAAGGGAGGAAAATCATAGGAAATAAAGGAATATCTTAGGGAAAGGAGGAGTATGATGATGAGAAAGAAAGAAGAAAGGGAGAGAAAGAAGAAGAGAAACGATGGCCCTTTTATAGACAAATTCCAGGCTAATTCTACGGTGACTGAAGCCCAGCTGCAAGAGGAATAGGGGGTCAGGGGGGAGCCAGCAGTGATTCGTCTCATGCATTAACTGTTGGTAAACATGGCTCTGGAGCTGGATGAACAGTGAAAGATGGGACGGACAGTGATGATATGAGACGGAATCCATAGGTATATCCTGCTAGAGACAGTGACTCTGCTGCTTCTTTCTTTGCAGGCAGTGAAAGAGACAGTGAAAGGCGGACTCGGTCAGGGGTAGATATTGAATTCTGATATTGACTGTGACGCCTTGAAGATAAGTCCGATTCACTGCCCGTAGTCACCGCCACTGTCTCTCTCTCTGTCTCTGCAGTAGATACTCCGTAGATACGCCGTCTATATCCTGCTGTCACTGTCTCAAGCCGTCGACTGGCATGGCTTTTCTCCTGTAGTTAGCAGTTAGCACACCTACTTGGTCGATATATCACGCCAACCAAAAACGACACTTATCACCGTCTCCTCCATTCTATCTCTATCACCGTCTTCTTCTCATCATCATCATCTTCTTCTTCTTCTTCATCGTCGTCGTCGTCGTCGTCGTCGATGTCGTCCTCGCTTTCAACGTCCTCAACGTCCTCGCTGACTAAGCTCCCGCCCCCCAAAAAGCGACGTCGATCTTCAGCTTCAACAGCAAAAAAGGCGCCATCAAAGCGAGCATCAACAAGCATCAACTGCGCGCTCGCTGTCGTCTCTTCTCGTCCGGCCGAAGCAGCGATGGTGTCCCTGGCCGCGGCCCTCACTCGATAGTCTCCTTGCTGAACCAAATCGTCCGCTCGTTACCCGTCAAGCCGCCGCTTTCTTTTTTTTTTCCCGCGCGCACCAACGCATAGTTAACTACTTACACCCCCCCCCCCGCCGGGGCTGTGGCAGTTGGAGACCACAAAGGGATCGGCAAGACAAACAGGTAATGGTTTGAAGGTCCCCGACGGATCGAGGAGGAGCGTATCAGATTAGTAGAATTTTTTTTACTAGGGTGTGTGAGGAGGGTCTATAGTGATTATTTTGTTGCAGTAAGTACTTCGAGGTTTGTTATATTGCTGGGGGGGCGGTGGGGGGGGTTATTA